CTCCTTTTCACTACACAGGTTTCAGTTGGCTTAAGTCCCCGAAAACACAAAAGGAATGAGTCTTGTATTATCCCCAGTGCAGCTCGAACAATGTAGGTTATCAATATTGATACTGTGTTGGCTCTCAGAGGGGAATAGTTGCCATTCAGAGCTCAAACATAGAACATGACTCAGCCAAAGTATAGCATTTCTTTGAGACACACAAATTGGAAGGTCTTTTTGCAGTCTACGTAACACCCCACTCAATCTAAAAAAAAAAAGATTATTTAAGGTTTCTTGCCATGACTGCTGATATTTCATTGTAAAGTGTCTTGAAAATGACTACATTTCATTTTCAATGTTTAAGACATAAAAGGACCAAACTCCTATATTTAAAAATCTGTTATATTGGTTTTTAAATATAAGTCTCCTAATGAAAATGTCTGCCCCTTTAAGACATGTAGGTTGCCAAAATTATGAAACAGGCGTATCTCGAGACACATACCATTCTAATCACTTAACAACCTCAAAAGGGACAGCTGATTGGCTGGTTTGATAGTCCAGCTTTGACACAGCTGCTAAGAAATGACATTGTAGCTCAGTTTTTCTAGAGAAAATAAACACTCATTACATTGTGTGATGTAAAATAATTATCTCTGTCAAAAATGTATAAAGCATGTTGTAATATTTAGGAAAGAAAATGTTATGAAAGCATTTGTGTTTTAGGTATAAGTCCTAAAACAAAAATGCATGACCATTATGATACGACATGGAGAGATAACACTTCAAAAGGATGACTAGAATAGAATAGAATATAATTCCTTTATTGTCATCGCACCAGGTACAACGACATTTAAAAAAAGCAATCCTCGCAGTGCATTTCCACATAAAATGAATAAATATATATCTATATAAACATATACACACATAAACATATGCTCACACATCCATACCAACATGCATACCAGTAGCGTGGCGTGGGAAAAAAATGAGGGGAAGCCAATAATACGTCCTTTCTTTTGGGTCGGGGGTGTGGTGGTCAATGTAATAACGTAACCAGATGAGTGATTACAGCACCCATAATTGTACACACATTTGTATCATACAGATGCAGGACTTACACACGGCTGTTATCTAACCGACAGGTCCGCACGCACTCTCCAGCTGAAACTCTAATAAGCATTCATTCACAAACTAAATCAGGAGACCTTTCACGTTTTACGTCCGATTCGCATATTTTTTCCTCGCTGTACACAGCTCCAGTTTGGGCATCGGCCTGTCATCAGATTGTATTTGTTGTTGCTGCTGTAGCGGAAGTTTAGTACAATTATTTTTGATTAAATACTCTAAATCTCCACCCTAAATAATTGCACTTGCTTCAGTTGCTTGCTACTTTCTAACGGCAGTGAGAGTGATGCAGTGACGCTATCTATCTTCTATCGATTAGACTTATGATTCGAAAATTATAAAAGTAGGGTAGACATGTGGATATTATCCGACTGAACAAAACGTGCATTTATCTAACAGGTTCGTTTTCCACAGACCTTATTTCAAGCTATTTTCCAAAATCCTGTGGAGAAATCCCATTGCTTTTTGGGTTTTAGGACGCGTCACTGCAACACTAAATTGATGCGGGAATACAGGGGAAGCCTGGCTTCCCTTGGCCTCCAGGAGAAAACGCCACTGATGTATATGCCCGCACATTATTTAAATACAGTTTACAATATAAAAAACACAGGGATGATATTTTGCATCTCTGATGTCGATAAGTTAATACAACTATTAAAAAGTAGTGCAGTTGCAAGTTGTAACTGTTCAGTTCAGCGTTTGACGGTGTTCAGTTCTCGTATGGCTCTGGGGTAGAAACTGTTTTTCAGTCGGTTTGTCCTTGATTGAATTGACCTGTAGCGTCTACCGGAGGGCAGAAGAGCAAACAGGAAGTGTCCAGGGTGTGAAGAGTCTGCAATTATTTTGCCTGCTCTGCTGAAGAGTTCCTCCAGAGAAGGCAGTGAGCAGCCGATGACCTTCTGGGCTGTGTTGATGACCCTCTGAAGGGCTTTCCTGTCTTTTCTGAGCAGCTGGCACACCACGTGGTTAGGCAATATGCCAGGACACTCTCTATGGAGCAGCGGTAGAAAGACACCAGAAGCTTCTCCTCCAGGTTGTTTTTCCTGAGGATCCTCAGGAAGTGGAGTCGCTGCTGGGCCTTTTTCACAAATGTTGTGGTGTTGATAGACCAGGATAGATCTTCAGCAATGTGTGTGTTGAGGAACCTGAAGGCGGGAACCCTTTCCACACAGTTGCCGTTGATGTACAGTGGATCTGGTGTTGTGCTGTTTTTCCTGAAGTCTATAATGAGTTCTTTTGTTTTTATGGAGTTCAGAACAAGGTTATTATCTGAACACCACACTGCCAGTCTCTGGATTTCATCCCTGTAGGCTGACTCATCTCCTCTCTCATCAGTCCAACCACGGTTGTGTCGTCCGCGAACTTGACGATGGTGTTGGTGGGGTGAGTGGGGGCACAGTCATAGGTGTACAGGGAGTAGAGCATGGGGCTCAGCACACAGCCTTGTGGTGAACCGGTGCTGAGTGTGAGGGTGGAGGAGAGGTGAGGGCCTATTCTCACTGTCTGGGGGCGGTTAGTTAGGAAGTCCTTAATCCATTGGAAAATGTTTGGGGAAAATCCTAGGTCAGATAGCTTGGAAACCAATCTTCCCGGGATGACTGTATTAAAGGCAGAACTGTAATCAACAAAGAGCATCCTCACATAGCTCCCCTGGTGTTCAAGGTGGGACAGTGCACTGTGAAGAACAGTGGCGATGGCATCCTCTGTAGACCTATTTGCTCTATACGCAAACTGATTTGGGTCGAAGGTGGGTGGGAGAATGGTTTTGATGTGCTGCAGGACCAGCCTCTCTGAACTGAACTGAACCATTTGCTTCAATTGGACCAGAGCTGCTAAAAAAAAGTCATTTGTAACAAATGAAATCAAACCATATGTAAATAGTATTGATTTATACAGCAACTAAACCCTCAATGCTTTTGTTTTGGGGTTGGCAATCATTTTTTATATCCAGATTAAAAGCTAGCTACATTTGTTTATATACCCTTACCTATGTCTAGGTAACATGTTGTTTTAACAGCATTTAAATGACTGGATTTCAGTAGGCTGTTAGACCCTGTGTCATAACCAATTTCAATGGTGGACAAAAACGTCTCTTTTTCACCCTCAACAGAACTTTCATATATTCAATGTCATACAGATTGATCACCTGGCCTATGGCTATCTGAACTTTAATATTGAAAACCTTTTGCGCTGTATTTATATCATTCTTAGGAACAAGTTGCATCATGATATGCTTAATACCTGTGACCTGTAACAGTGTCTACCTCTGGACAATATCACAGCCATATAAAAATACAATGAAATATCAAGGTGTTCACATCATTTGTCCTTTTTTTTTACTGACTTTAAGCTTTAAAATTGCTCTATTGTTTAACTGGGGCAGCTTAAGTTCCCCGGCATTTTAATGGCCCATATCCACTTTCTTGTTGACTTCCTTTTTTCTAATACACGAGGAGGGACTATGCGGTGATAGCCCTTTATTCTCCCATGATAAAAGATCCTTTTCAGCCCTGCATTTACCCTACATGAAGCTAGCTAAGGGATTACTCTATCTAGGAGGAAATTATCTTCACTTTTCTTTTAGAATCCTTACCAAACCTCCAAAAGTTAAAAACGTGACTTAGTAACAGCACCAAACATGATGTGTTTTGTAAGTACATCCCATTGAGATAGAGTCCAAAATCCCAAGTTTGCATTCTTGACTTCGGTTTCAGTGGCACTTGTCTCTTTTGCCAGGGCGGCCCCTCCCAAGCCTTTATCTCTCTGCTTCAGGTCATTCACAGTGTTCCCATGTATTGTTACAAGGATGAAAAAAGCAGTTAACACAGAAACAAAGCATGTGAAGTCACAGCATGCCTACAGATTTGTGATACTTACAGTAACTTGAATGCATTTGGGGGAAGGATGGAAAAAATCAATCTACATGTGGACCTGTGAATAGAGACTATATACAAACACAGGGAGACAAATGATAAATGGATGAGATACACAATGTTTTGACAGTTTTCATCACAACACCAATCTCTTGCTGGGGGTTGATCCTGTGTTTGAAAGCATGTTTCTAGGGCAGGGTTATGTCCATCAGGAAAGTAAACTGTGGCTTCTGAATACAAAAGTCATGACTTCTGCGATAAGATCTATTTGAATTGGATCCCCATTTTATGTGTTTCCTAAGGTACTTTGTTGTTGCTGCAGTTTGATTTATTTATCTTCTTATTAATTTTCTTTGTGACGATTTAACCTTCAAGATTTATGGTCCATCTACATTTTTTGTAATCAGATTATGATATTTTCTCATAATTTAGGAAAGGCTTATAAAATGATGATACTTGTGTTTTCGAGCTTCTAAACAGGATGAAGGACCCTCACAACATTAGTGAAACAAAGGTGTACACATTGTTCAAAAACGTATATGATAAACATATTTTAAAGTTTCATTATAGATGTTTTACAATAGATTTTGAGACTGTGGAAAAAAGCTAAGACTTTAAACTTAGAAACTACAAGCAACACAGGAACACATTAGTGTTGCTGTCAAACTTGTTTGCATAAAAAAACACAATAAGCAAGCAAACAATCAGTAATGAGACCTACTAGCCTTGATGGAGGTTTTACAAAATGATAGATTTGAGAAAGGAAATGAGAGATATAAAGAGAGGAAGAAGGTCAGAGAGAGAGAGAGAGAGAGAGAGAGAGAACTTAACATCACCAAACTCTCATCCTTCCACCCACCAGGTTGCCTGGGGCTGTTGGTGGGGCAGCCTGTCCCCATTTGGGGCTCACTGATTGGTTCACATGCAAGCGGGGCTGAAGCACAAAAGAATCCAGAACACCTTTTGTATTTGTCCCCCTTGAATACTAAACTAATTGTAATCCCGCTGTCAATGTCAACGATGGGATTGTTGGGAGCCATAGGCTTTTCCTTAGCCTTGGTATCTCTAACTCAGGTATATCATTTTATATCTTAACAAAGTGGATTTAACTAACATGTGTATTACATAGTTTGATTCAAATGTGTTTGTTATTTGCAGATACCTCATAGTGCTGCACAGGGTAAGTGAACTTACGTATATATATCTGTAATATATAAAATAATGTTGGCTTGTCATTTAAAGCAAAGTATTATATTATTAATATTTATACTTGTGCAACATTGATGATATTGTGTGTATTTGTGATGTGTTTTTGTTGTCTGTATCCAAGCTCATCCCTTCAGTGTCATGTATTTCCATCTCTTTCAGAATGCAAAATCTTGTCAGCAGTGGCCACAGGTCCCTCATCAATTCTGGTAAAATGGGAAAAGTATCCTCAGGCAACAAACTACTTTTTGGATTTAAGGGTGACAAACAGTACACGCAATGCACCAGTTGTGGTGACCCTGTCAGGTACCTCGACAGAGAAGGATGTCTATGGTCTGCTGCCAGGAACTGACTATAAAGTGACTCTCAAACCCTTCGTGTTCTACTTTGCGATGTGTGTGTCTACATATGAGGCGTCCACAGGTAAATAATTCAAGACATTTGCGTAGAATAGTTTTAGTGCCTCTTAAAGGTAGGGTATGTACGTTTGAGAAATCGGCTCGAGATACACATTTTGTTATATTCCATGGAATGCTCTTAACATCCCGATAGCAATGAATATCTTAAGTGCTTTGACAAAAAATCCATAAAAAAATGTCATCTGTGGAAGCTGTAGTACTGTAAAAAGCACGACCAATCATTTTAGCCGGCCCGGCTAAAATAACTGGATGGCCTACCTGCCTGTCATTCTTCCATCTGTGCACACACTTATCTCGTGCCCTCATTGGTCATGTGCGCATTCGTGTGTGTTGGAGGAGGGGCTCTGTAAGGAAGTGGCAGATTTTCTCCGGTCGTGTATTTTCAAATTCTAGCGATCTCGAGCCGGTTTCTCAAACTTACATACCCTTAAATTGTGAGAAATACTGAAATTATTGTTGTTTTTGTTTGACGGTGACATACAATTTTACCAAACGTAATAAAAGATAGAGAATTTAAGAATCCCAAAACAGTCATTTGAAAAGAAAGGAATAAAATGAGCGGTATCACAATGAGTACATTCATATTTCATCTTTACGCGCAAAAGGGCGCCATTACGCACGGATATAACGTACATTTTAACATCCTTAACGATGTTTTTTCTCTATTGCTCTTTCTTCACAGTGCCCGACACAGCGCAGATAAAGATTGGCACGCCACTGTCGAGTACTTCAGTCAGGGTGGAGTGGACTGTGGTTCCCTCGGCGTCGCGCTACTACCTTCTGTTGTACCAGGCCACAGGACCGGTGGTCAACGTGACCTCCACCGACACCAGTGCTGTGGTGCAAAACCTGAAGCCCTCCACCAACTACGACTGCTACGTCTTCACAGCTAACAAGGCCGGCATGGGGAGCAAAAGCAAAAAGAGGACCATCACGACCTGTGAGTGATCCCTTTCTGTACATGTGGAGCCTAGAGGGGGAGGATGTAGATAATCTAAAGACATAGATACTCCAAAAGTGACTTGTGTTCCCCTAATGTTGTGGCTAATAATGACAAAGCAAATATGTAAATCTGGTTATCTTATTATTTTATAGTTTTATTTTTCCTTATTTTACCTCTTCCAGTTTGCGTTAATTTTAAATGTTGCCTTAACCCACTCATTCATTATATCCACATTATGGCTGATATTTTGTGAAAACACCAATGTTAAACCCCACAAACAATATCGTTTCAATACATCGTGTACAATGATCAATGGCAAATGTGTAGAACTTTTCCATGAAATCAAATGAATCTGGATGATTCCAAAAACTGTTTCTGTAAAAACCAGCAGGATGGGAGTAGAAGTAATATGCTCAATTGCATCTGAGCAGATGGTGCTGCTGAGATTTTTAGTAATCTTTAAATTCCTTATCTGCATAAACAATACAATAATTATATTTAAGTTAATTGTATTTGGGGGAACAACGCAAGTTTAAGACTCAAATATTTTAAAACCTTGGGAGTTTTTTATACAAAGTACGTATTTCTTCATGTTTTCTGATTAACATGAACATACCCTTTAACATGGCTGAATGTGTAATTGGCAGTAATAGCAGAATATGAATAAAACAATTAACAGTGACTCTTGGATCAATGGAGCTGTTTCAGACTAACAGCTTATATCTTTCTGTAGTGGTGCAGCCCCCGACGGGCCTCACAGCAACATCCACCGGCCTGGGAACAGCCAGGGTCACGTGGCAACCGGTGAAGGATGTTCTGATATACCATTGCACCGTCCAGGACATTGATGAACCCAACATCCGACCCGCCTCGTACAACGTCTCAGACACTAAGCTGGATGTTCAAGGCATCCTCCCATGCTCCACCTATCTGATATCAGTGTCCTCATTCAACAAGTTTTTGGTGCCGAGCGAGTCCACAGAACACACATTCTCCACCAACAGTGAGTCTACAGAGCCAAGACACTTTCAATAACTTGTTGATTATGATCTAGGTCAGCTTTTCTTTCAGAGGCGTTCCTTTCAGACATGCAGAATATGATCCTCAGGGGAAAAAGGGTTCAGATACCCTGAGAACCTATTATTTAACGAATATTAAATATACAGTGTATACATCTTCATAAATATATATTTAACATTTCCACGTATCAGATACATGTGTGTATTAAAACCACACTCCAGTACGGATTGGTGTAGAAAATAGGCCTTGAATGATAGGAAACTCAAATAGTCCCCACTATTTAAAGTTCTATAGTGATAAAGCTACATTGGAAACAACAAGTCCATGTTAAAAACGGCAGGAGGAGAGCTTAACAGATGTTTCAGACAGTTACATTATGATGCTTTAAAGTTTTTTTCAGTTAATAAGTTCTGTGGTCTGAGAAACCAATTTACCATTTTATCACGAGGTGTTAACATGTAAACTTTTACATGGAAACCTTTGTTTTGGTCAGAAAATTGTATAAAAGCAGTTACATAAACATAAAATAGATACTAGAAGGAATTATGTCTGGTTTTGCTTCCTAACAATATATCTAACAGCTCCTTTCTGATGTAAAAAATCACTTTACTAGTTCAGCCTTCTTTTTTTCAGTTGTTTTTTCATGCAACATAGAAGAAACAAACTAATGTCCTGTGTTACTTACAGAGCTGAGACCAGTTTCAGAAGTTTCCGTAGAATACGCCTGCTCGCCCCAATCTGCCACGGTGCAATGGTCGGCAGTGTTTGGGGCCGACTCCTACAAGGCCTCTGCGATTGGTGAAAACGGCACGGAGCTGACGTGCACCAGTGTGAGCACCAGCTGCCAGATCACCAGACTGAGCTGTGGCCAGAGCTACGACGTGCACGTTACTCCTATGTCAGAGAACTGCAAGAACAAGATGAACGCCACCTCGACCAATTTTCAGACAGGTGAGACCCATCAATCACAAAGAAAAAAGCAATGATCAATTAACTGACATACATACATACATACATACATACATACATACATACATACATACATACATACATACATACACACATACATACATACACACATACATACATACACACATACATACATACATACATACATACATACATACATACATACATACATACATTCATACATACATACATACATATATACATACATATATACATAGATATAATAGGACATGCATTCTGGCATATTTTCTTCAAGGTCCTTTTGATAAGATGATCAATAGAGATAGCATGGCAATCTCAAAACCATCCATCATTCAGAGGTATATTTGCAGCCATTGCTTCAAAATGGGCGCCATTGTTTTTTCCTCCAATGACTCAGCATTAACTGTTTAGCTGTTGTAAATCTCACCTCACATTTTTTTATAGGCTGAGTTACACTCCTCATTACATGTCAAATTAAGTCCATGTGTTGAATCAGCGGAGTGCCACTTTAAATAGGAAGCTTTCACACTACAAGGCTGACCACTATACAAAGTTTAAATCTCAGTTAATAGGACGATCTACATTACCCTTGAATCATTACTTTTTTTCAAACAAATGTGTTTTTATTTGTTTATTTCTGTTTCCCAAATAGCACATTTATGTACATTTACATTTTAAATACAATTGAAATGAACAGCATGTCTTACAATAACAAAAAATAGGTATGAAAACATATAAATAATGGTGAGAAAATACCAAAAGGTCAACAAAAACAACCTAGAAACTCAGCACTGATTTAAGTTATCATTTCCCATAAATGAAGTGATCCAACCAACCAGTCAACCAACCACTAAATGCCACTCAACTGACTGAATGGCTCTGCGTCTATTCAATGATTGGATGACGAAAATGTTTACCGCTCCACCCTGCTATCTATTTTGTTGCAGATAGTTGATCCCTTCATCTCACATATCACTCTATTCTGTTAGAGTGCTCAGTTGAGATTTTCTGTCCAACCCCACCCCTGAGACCACATTGTGCACCGCCAAGCTGTCGTGACTTGGGTGATGCCTAATATGATTTAATTGTTCAAGAATACAGGCATTTAATACTTAATAAATAACTCACTCCGGTGACCTTAGACCTTTTTGGCCCAACAAGCTATTTAGATTTAGAATTGAGTCATTCTTACTATACTGCTTTTGTTGGGCTATCATAGGCCTCGATGAAGACTTTGTTTTACTAGTGTTCCACCAATAGGGGTTTTTCAATGACCTCTATCAATATATAGAGAGCATTTGATCAAATACAATAACAAATTAGATTATTTTTCTGTTTAGTTGAGTACTTACATGAATGATCAACTTGAATAAACAATAGTGGATATCCTAGCAGTTTTCTCAATAAGAAATATTATAAGAAATAAATATTCACCTTGTGAGCGCAGCGCACCCTAAAGAACATTATTTGGTTGACTTATTGATCTGTTAATGCCACTAGTTTAACGTTATTTTTGATTTGTGCAAAGATCTACATTTGAATTTTGATATTAAAATGACACCAACCTCACCACTGATTAATAATTACATTAAAAAGTTAGGTATTTTAAGAAAGTAATACATATTTTGTCAGGTCAGGATATGTTACACATCAGCTGCTTCTATACAAATGTTCTTACATTTTAACAAAGATGAACTTTCAATCTATTAATTCTGACTACGGTCATATCAATCAGGACAGGGGTCATTAGGGAATAGCTGTTTACAACTTTCCACCCCTTTCCAGTTTTGTAGTGTCTAAATTCACACGTTTATTTGAATACATCACTGTGTCTCCTTGAAAACTGGGTCTCTCATTGAACTCCACTGTCTATATCATATTGTGTTGTGTTCAGGCTCCTAAGAAAGAGCCTGTGTTTGTGCTAAACCTGAAACCTCATACAGTGAAAAGCAACACTGCTGTGTAATCTTCAGTATCAGGGCGTTTTAACCTGAAAAGGGATTTGAGAAGCTCACCTTTGATGATGATATTTAAACCCCATTTACTTCTTCTTTTAACCTCTCTTGCCTTTTTAAATGTTATAATAGTTAATCTAATGATTTTAATCTATCAATCTTTCAATCTATCAGTCTTTCTATCGATCAATCAATCTATTGGTCTATTTCTCGATCTCGCTATCTAGGATAATTTAGAAAAATTAGATTTCACAGTAAATAACTGATATCAATTTCCTTTAAGCTCCCTGTCCTCCCAAGAACCTGCAGCTGGAACGAGATTGTTCCAGCACAGGCATCGACTTTTCCTGGGATCACACAAACAAGACAGAACACTACAGGGCCCAGTCAGTGGACTCCGAGGTACTGTATTGTGGACTAAACCTGTTTGCAGATACAATGTTTGATGTACAATGATTAAATAATTTAAGAGCATCCTTTGAATTAAATAAAGAAAAGGTTTGACATGTTGCCTATTTGGTCTCTCACTGAGATGATCACTATCAATATCACTTTTGTGTTTTATATGTTATAAAGCTACGGCCAACAAACAGTTAGCTAGGTTTAACATAAAGACTAGATACAGTTGGCCATAGCTAGCATAGCGCTGTCTGAAAGTTAAACATTCACCTTTATGGCACCTATGAAGCTCACCAAGTGACTTTTTTGTATGGTTTGTTGACTTTAATCTGTCCAAAAACTGCCATGTAAATAACAAGTTGTGTTTTTTAGGCGTGCCTCACTGTTTTCTAGCTGGAAATGTGATTCCTGTAGTCTTAAACAATGTATGATCAACCTTTGGACCAAGACTAACTGTCTTCCCCTAAACCAAGCTAAATGGCTGCTAGCTTGAGCTTTATTTGTATCAAAACAATGGGGAGAATGGTATACATGTGCTCATCTACTGTTAGCAATATGGCACATAGCCTACTGTTCATATATGTCCACAATTTTTCAATGATATCTGTAATTTAGTGGTCAAAGTTATTTGTAATCTCTCTATAGGGATTGGTCCAGGAGTGTTTGACTGAATACAACACATGTTATTTCACACAAACAGTGTGTGGGCGACAGTATTACTTCACAGTGTACTCTGTCGGAGAGCATTGCAACAGCGAGATCAGCTCTACAGTTGACATTCGCACAGGTATGAAAACATTGTCACACATACACATATCATGTTTACAACAAAACATCACATGTACATTTGTCCATTTTCTTTTTAGTTATTTTATATAATATCCAGAGTTGGGAGAAGTACTCAGATCTTATACTTGAGTAAAAGTAGTACAAGAGTGTAGGAATACTCTGTTACAAGTAACAGTCCTACATTGAAAATATGACTCAAGTAAAAGTACAAAAGTATTTGCTTCAAAATATACTAAAAGTACCAAAAGTAAAGTACTTAGTAGATTGGTCCATTTCAGAATACTATATGTTTTGATTATAATTATTGATGCATTAATGTGTTTATCAAAGCTGGTAAAGGTGTATACTTGGTATACTGCAGAGTAGCTTGTGAATTTACTCCAGGTGTAACTAAAGTCTGATTTGAGTGTTGATTATATTTCACATCATTAATCCAAATCTGCAAAGTAACTAAAGGTCTTAAATAAATGTAGTGGAGTAAAAGCACACGATTAACCTCTGAATTGTAGAGGAGTGGAAGTACAAAATAGCACAAACTGGAAAAACTAGTTCAAAATTGTACTTAAGTATAGTACTTCAGTAAATCTACTTACTAGTACCTACTATGATTATATCCCCACCAGCCACAAAAAGGCAAATAAAAACAAAGACCAGATAGAAAAACATTGTTTTAATTGTGAATGAGTCTATAGCAATTTCATTTCCAGAATTTGAAGTTGCTGAACTTTTGTACAACTCAATTTCAAACTTTGTTGAATAGCTGAACCGAGCTCTGGGACAGTGTTCCATTGTCATGTCAGCACCCCCTGGTGGGGTCTCTTAAAAAAACATTTCAGATGCAGTCCTATTTCAAAACAACACTATATATTTAACATTCCTTAGCTTGCATTTTTTTGTAAGTATCCTTTTATCAATTCCAAATAAAAACTGAAAATCAAGTAAAATAACATTTGCCCGTTTCCAGCACCTTGTGTTCCCCAGAATATACAAACCTCAGCCGACTGCAACTCAGATGTTCTGCTCAGCAAGTGGGACCTCGCCGAGGGGGCTTTACGTTACACTGTGGAGGCTTTTGGCAACAGGGAAAATGACAACTACTACAACTGCACCTCACAGTCCAACAGCTGCGCTATACAGGGCGTCAAGTGTGGAGAGTACTTGACCATCTTCATCACAGCTTTTGACGACGAATGTGCCAGTCCAAAGACGCTGGCGCCTGTGGCTGAGACAGGTGAGAAGAGTAGTGCATGCTAAATATAGAATATGATTAGCAGATACATTAATAATAAAAATAAGCTTTAGTACAAGAGGTATAACTTTTTAAGGATAAAGGAATGTGTAAGGCTTCACTTCCGTATGATTGTGATTTGGGATGAATTGGCAACCTTGACTCTGATCACCTGAAACTGTGCAAAGTGTTAAAGGTGGAATTTATTTGCATGTTGTATTGTAAGTCGCTTTGGATAAAAGCGTCAGCTAAATGCAATGTAATGTAATGTAATGTTAATTTGACCCCTCTCCTCCAGTCCCATGCATTCCTCAGAATGTCACAGCCGTAAAGGAATGTGGAGCCGACTCCATCTCGGTAACCTGGTCAATGTCCGGCAGTGCGTTATTCTACGTCGCCATGGCGATGGACAATTATGGCGTCATTCACAGCTGCAACGCCATGGATTTGATGTGTAATATCGAGGGGATGAAGTGCAGCACCAACTACACGGTGTACGTCATCTCCTCCAACTTCTTTTGCAACAGCTCTGTGAGCGAGATGATCCCCATAGAGACAGGTACTGTGAGGCTGATGTTTTATTTTCTATCAGTTTCATTTCAAAGTAGCCAAATAATGTCTTGTTTCTTCACCTTTATTTCATTCCAGCTGCTTGCCCATCGGACCACATTACTGCCTCTCTGGACTGTGCAGCCAACGAGGCTCTGATTTCGTGGCGCGGTCGGCCCAATATTATGTCCTACACCGCCACCATCTTGGATGAAAACCAAGGGCTCCTCAGCTGCAGCAACACTAATACCAGCTGTAGAATACCCAACCTGAAATGTGGCCAGCTCTACACTGTCACGGTCAGCCAACACGATGGCATGTGCCCCAGCATGCCCTCTGAGGCCATCCACATGGAGTCTGGTATGAACACGTTCAGCTCTAAAACATGGGATTTATATATGTTAAAACATCATATTTTATGTTATCATTTATTTCATATAGTGGTATGAAACGAGAAAGAAATACCTCAGATTATGTACTTAATTGCAGTTCTTTAATAAATGCTTTTACTGTAGGTACATTTCCCCACTGGTTGGTTAATTTGATTTCTTATCACAACAATTTTGCAATTTGTAAGAGAGAAAACATGTATTTTCTTAATTTGGAAAACTTGATTTAAGATAATAATAGGTCAGATACAGCATGTAGTGCTGACTCCTAGTTGCCAACAATAAATCAGTTGAGTGGTAGAGGCTTCCTTCTTATATTGATGAAGTTATATCAGGCAGTGTAGAGATGAGCCTGACAAGAGGAGTCCTGAGAACGGGCGCTGTACAAAGGATAAACCTTTTACAAACATGTCTCTGGTGCCACCATCCGGCCAATCCTTTCATCCATCTTACATTTGTTTTCTGGTGTGTTATGTGCATTGCAGCACAGATTGGCCACATCATAACTGCCTATACATTAGCCTCTACATTGCGAAGTCTCTGCTTTACCCTTTGCCTGGACACAGTGTCTTTATCAACCGGCATGTAGAAAACATTTGAGGAGCGTACTTAACATTTCTATCTTTTATCTGTCTAGTTCCTTGTGGGCCCAATGTGACTGCCGATTTAGACTGCAGGTCACAGGTACTGACCCTCAGCTGGGATGCAACAAGTAATGCAGAAGGCTACACAACGGTGGTTTCAAACAACAATGAGACAGAGACCTACATCAACACGGAGCCCGGGCTGATGCTCAGCACACTGGAGTGTGGACTCGATCATAAACTGAAAGTAACATCCTTCAACAGCACCTGTGTTAGCCGACCCACAGTGTTGTCCAAGAGGGAAAGTAAGAGTTGTTTCACCTTTTGACATACATAATATGTCTTCAATCAATCATAAAAACGTGTAAAGCATGCAAGTTAAGTTAAGACTTAGTATGAATGTATGGCTTCTGGAATGTGAGCAGCTTTCTAGGACTCTAATTTCAACAATTTCCTTAAAATGTGAGCTAATGTGAATTTGTTCTCCCTCAGCACCTTGTGTGCCCACGGATGTGATGGTGACAAGAACCTGTGGGAAGACTTCTGCAAAAGTAAAATGGAACGAAAGCCGTGGCGCCCTGCACTACGAGGCAGCTGCGGTGGATGAAGCCGGTCAACCCTTGCTGTGCTCGTCCAATCAGACTTCATGCACGTTGGAGGGCCTCGTGTGCAGCCAGGTTTACAGTGTAGGGGTGACCGCCACGGACGATACCTGCACCAGCAATAAGAGCTCTGCTGTGATACTACGGACAGGTATAGATGAGCAGGAATCCATTTCTAAGATGTGTTTATCCTTTTTACAGTCCATGTCATACTCTTCCATGTGTTATTGCCCCTTGCTCAGTGCCCTGCCCTCCCGCTCAGCTCAACGTCTCTGTGAACTGTGCCAATAACTCTGCCATGTTAACCTGGAGCAGCAGCCCCAATGCAGTGTCCTACACTGGCAAGGCAGTGAGCGCAGACGGATACGTTGTGAACTGCGGCGCAGGAATGGAGCTCGGTTGCCAAATGGATGATCTGCATTGTGGCATGGAGTACACCTTCACTGTGTCTGCCTCAGACGGCGAGTGTCAAAGTCCTGACAGCAAGCCGGTCAACAAAACAACCGGTGAGATGGAGTTTTAGTCAGATTATTTTTCTTAAAAGTCATTTTCTCTAGGCGTTACAGTGCACCTCCATCTTCCTTTCTTTCTGGATGAGTCCTAAAAAACACCCTCTTCCTTCCCATATTATATATTTACAGGGTGTATCTGCGTATGCTTTGGAAAGCTCTGTGACCGTCTCAGCCCTAGGTCTAAGTGCACATTCAGTATAATAATACAGCCATACAATATAATTTCACTTTATTTGATGCATGTCAAGAATGAAGGGATAGAATTAGCTATTCATGTTTTTTATGATTATTTGTATGTTGGTCTCAAACCAAAAACGCAGAACATACTACAGTATATAGGTTATATATAGTTGTACATATTTTCTAGTATAAGATTTAGATTGGCACACAACACTAGCGCAGGAGTCAAGGCACCACCTCTCAGTGAAGTACCAAGTTCGAGCAAGTCCCAACGTAAAGCTCCAGAACAAAACCTAAATGGGCTTTGCTTTAATGGTGTGCCAACTACTTTTTTTTAAAGGTCAAGATAGTATTATTGTATCTGAACCAAAAGGCGCACCTGTGCCATTGGAAAAATAAGACAAGAACTAATACTAAATATTCTCACTTGACTAACCTGGAAACGTTACAGTCTTGTTTTATTACTTACTATGAGCATTATGTCTGACAATGAGTGTGTTACTAAGGCAATAAGATGTGTGCGGTGGAGCTCTTCTACAAATTATTAATTATTTTCTTAAGTGTGTGTGTGATCAAACTGCCACTAAGTCTCACTTCTTGCCTCCTATCAGCCCCATGTGCTATGGAGAGCGTGCTCAACAGCCTGGACTGTAGCACCAACAAACTGACCATCAACTGGGCTCCGGCAGGCATGGCGTTAAACTACAGCGCCACCGCCCTGGCCGGAGACGGAACTGCTCTTCACTCCATAACAGAGGGTTCAAACTGCTGGATGGATTTACAGTGTGGGCAGCAGTACAATGTGACTGTCAGAGCCATCAGCAGCACATGTGAAGGACAAAGCAGCGTCCCAGAAACAGTTAACTCTGGTAAGCAGTGGGCCTTTTGTAAATGCAGCAAACTAAAGGTCATGATCTCTTGACGGTAAAATGTTCGCTTTACTAATTTTTACTACCAACATCTTTTCTCTCTCAGTTCCTTGTGTACCTGTGAACGTCCAAGGCGTAGTGGAGTGCTCCACTAAAACGCTGCAGGTGTCCTGGGATACAGCTGCCGGCGCAGATTCCTACAGCGCCACATTAAACGGAGCGGGAGGTTTCTCTTATTGCGCTACAGCTGGGGATATCTGCGTCTTCCCTGATCTGGAATGCGCTCAGACGTATACGTGTGGTGTTGTGGCCCTGAATGACAGGTGTAACAGCTCTGAGAGCTCCATAATCTCAGCAACAACCGGTAAATGCACTTTTTTAGTTATAAATAAGTCTGTGTCTCTTATTTTGGAAAATCAGTGTAAAAGCTTTTACTGTATAATGTCTTTTTTTCTTGAACTTCCTTTTGAGAATGTTTGTGTTTCTGGAAGCATTTAGAGCATAACATTTTCAATATGTTATTGACTATTTATTTAAAGCCTGGTGTGTTTCAAGCACAGGTAATGCAACAAAGAAAAGCTAATGCTTAGATTAGATCTGTCAACATATACAAAAAGTGCAATTCCACAAGTTACTAGTTTTCTGCTCATGCTATACATACAGCTTACATCTCCCCCCCTCTTCCAGCTCCCTGTGACCCCACAGATGTGGCAGCCCTTCTGCATTGCAGCTCGGGCGTGGTGGATGTGACCTGGTCTGACAGTGCCGGAGCAGATAAATACACTGTCCTTGCTGAAGCCAACGGACACACGGACTCCTGTGAGGCCAGCAGCTCTTCCTGTGAGCTGACCCAGCTGCAGTGTGGGGGGGACTACACTGTGACCGTGCTGGCAGGGGACGGGAAGTGCAACAGCTCCATACACGCCAAAACCAACGTAACAACAGGTAAACATACACACAATTAGGAGTGATGATGAGGAGGAGCAGTTTCATTTACCTGGAAACTGCTGCTGATCATTTTGAGTTTATTGACGATCCAATTTTAGGGTTTATTTTCTGTTAAGTCACTTCTTAAAATTATATTTATATACAAAGGTATTTCATACATTTTTTATTAATTGATTATTTTTACTTTTAATTTTGCCTTATTTCATTATTTGGTTTTTCTTATATACACCTCTGTTTGGTCAAATGTATATAACATATATAGACAGTTTAAAAGTTGTAATCATTGTTCGATTGCTGTGTTTCAAACTTTGTTTTGAAAAATTAAATATAAATTAAGTTTAGCACTATAACAATTATAAGCATTATAATAATATGTGAATGACGATTGCTAAAATGAAGTAAAAAAACAACCCACCCGATACTCTCAGAGATCTTCTGAAATAACCCTTAAAGACGGCATCTGTTTGTTGATGAGATTAGTTTTGTAGACTGTATCTCAACAAAAGCTTCCTCTCAAAAGACACATTTAATAACGTGTCACAATCCCCTGCCCAGCCCCCTGTGCTCCAGAGATAATTGACTACTCCCTGGACTGTTACTCCAACAATGCTACGGTCACCTGGGTTAAAGACGAGGATGCCATGAGCGTCACAGTCAACGCCACCTCCACCCAGGGACAGAGGACGTCCTGCAGCTCCACCAACAGCAGCTGTGTCCTGGAGGTGCTGCAGTGTGGACAAATCTACACCGTCCAGGCCGTCGCTCAAGGAGTCCAGTGTGCGAGCGAACCCAGTCCTTCTTTTCAGATTGTCACAGGTAATTGAGTTCTTTTTTAGTGGTGGGCTGGATAAAGTGTTCAGGAGGTCATTCAAGTATGAGGTGTTCAGGAACTGACTGCACTCCCCTCTTACCCAGCGCCCTGTACCCCTACAAACGTGGAGTACACATACTCTTGTGTTACTGGCATCGTCTTCCTGAGCTGGGACGAGACTTTGGGAAGAAAGAGTTTCCAAGCTGAAGTGTCTTCTGGAGACCACATGGTGTCGTGCAGCACCACGCAGACCGACTGTTCCCTGACATCGCTGCTCTGCGGGCGCATGTATGACGTGAACGTGATCGCTCTGGCCGACCACTGCAACAGCAGCGTGCCAGGGGGAACTCAAATACAGACAGGTAGGAGAGCGAGAAGGACATGATGGGATCTAAAGGGTGGTGGATGACACAATGTATGTACTTAAATAAAATGTTCGGGTACCTGTACTTTATGTGATAATATAAATGTTATTCTACATCTACTCTATTACATTTTGGAAACAAATATTCTACTTCTAACTCCACTCCACAATTAAGTTATGAATTACTTTATAGATTCAGACTAAAAATACAAAACATAAATTAATCCTAATCAATTATGATTATTATTATAGGTTTACCTAAACGCCAGTGTATAAGGTAATTAAGATTAGCCCCTCCTTTACCAGCTGCAACTTTAAAGTGTATAACACATTAGTGTTTCAATAATTATAATAACAATATAAAAATGATTAGCTTTAAAATAGAAAATACTTTAAATCAATCAAAACTTGAAAAAAGTCATTATAAGCAGGCTGAATTTGGTAAACATCCAAAGGGAAATCCATGCGATGAGGCTGAGTCGGTTAAACATATCTTCATATCATGGTGTACATTTATAAGTAGGAAATGATGACACAGTTACGGGAAATAGAGCGGGTAAAGGACAGTGTTAAAAAGTATATAATATATAATGTGTCAACAGTCTACAAGATGAAAAGTGTTGAATAAAGAGACACCTTACTAAAAAATACAAGTAGGTGTAAGCAATTTGCTTTCATTAAATTATGTTTCTTATTTTGTTTTCCCATCAGCCCCCTGTGCTCCCATGAATGTCAGTTCCTCGCTGGTGTGTGACAACAACACGGCGGCGGTGAGCTGGCAGCTCAGCCCGGGTGCGGTTCACTACAATGTGAAGGCGATAGGCAGAGATGGCGATGCCAAAGAATGCAACACTAACAGCACTAGTTGTCTCATTCCCAACATGCACTGCGCCCAGATCTACCTGATCACTGTGACCCCCTTCTCTGATGGCTGCCAGGGCATGTACAGCTACCCACACACTTACATTGCAGGTGAGCTGGAAACATGAAGTTTGACAAACACAAATGGGCATCAAGTCAGTCCTATGTCATTCTATTAAATTAGAATGCAAAGTAGTAAAATACAAATACTAAACGTGTGATTCATTGGTTGGTTAATGAGGCATACTGAATGTTGATGCAGTTCCTCCAGATACCACCATTTGTCAGTGGTGGAAAGTCACTAAGTATATTTACCAAGTAATTAACTTAAGTACAATTTTTCTTTTCTTTAGTATCTTCATTTTAAGCTTTTAACTTTACTTCAGAAGTGAATATTGTATTTTATACTAAACTACTTTTACCTTAAGTTATTTTAGCTATGCAAAACAGTAGACAAATAAATGATGACGTAGTGTGGATGAAAAGAAGACTTTGTTAATCCTGGGAGGAAATTCCCAACAGCAGTATATTGATGTGATTAAAATTAGCTGCACATTTTAACCTGTTAAGCCCCGAGCCTGTTTTCCAGGTCTCAGGCTCGAAAATGACATTCCCAGAACAAATGACCATATCTTCCGTTCTAAAAGGGGAAAATTAATAATCTTTTTTGTCAAAGCAATGATAAACCTATGAGTTGGATGTAGAAGAGTCAGAATCAATATAGATTTATTTTTATTTTAAAGTAAATACAGATTGAACATAGTAAAACAAATTAAATTATTTTGTCCGTCCAAAAAAAAACACATTACTTGTAGTGAAAACCACCCTTGAATGATGGGAATGGGATAGCAGACTAAAAGCTTTAGGAATACAAACTATAACATATAAGTACCCTGTTTAAAGATTGATGCAAAACAAGTTAAATTTGACCTTTTTAGAGAGATTTAGCAAAGAAAACCCACTTCTGGGGTCATTTGGGTGGATGTGACCTATCCCTGGCCCCTTGGTCGATTTTGATGATTGACATCTCGTTTTAACCGCTAGAGCCAATGGAATCGAGGGGAACTTCCACATACACACACACGTTATCAATTAAGGAGTGAGAGTGACGCGTAGCCAAAACTGGAAGCTGCGATCAACTCTGGTGGCTACCATTACCAGCTAACATTTATTCTCCGATTTTTGCATAAAAATTGAATTATGGATTATCAATAATGTTTTCAAAGTGACAGACACATTGGATTAATAATAACAGAATAACAGCTAAAGGTGAGCATATCTCCATGCAGTGGCGGTTCTAGAACATTTTACGTGGGGGGGCAAAGTGGGGGCAAGAGGTCATGCCAGGGTGGCATGGGAGGGCCACGTGGTATTTTATACTGTATATAACCTATTTATTGTTAATTCATGCCCTAACACAAGTGTTCTTAATGCACAAGAGAAACAAGGTGTTCAGACAAACAATCGGGTGCCCTTTGAGTCCCCCAAGCTTACCTCAACCATTTTAAATGAAAGGAAACTACAAAATGTAATTTAAAGCAATGAATTAATGGAACAGGTTTTTTTACATTACAATGTCAAACTAAATATATATTTAGTTTTTCAAAAATTGGTTTTCTTAGTATTAGACAGACATATTTGTATGTCCTCACTAAGCATTATTACATATTAATTTAATATCAAACAAATCAAAATGGCCAATTATCCCAAAATGTTGCTGCTAATATAATCATATTGTCAACTTTAACTGATCAAAAATAAATTCTGAAAAAATACTTGAATTATCTATGAAATTGCAATATTGTCCCTCAGTTTGTTTCAACCCCGTCACGCCATACCATTTACCCTCCTATTAAAATAATGGATCAGTCCATGTGTGATCTGCATTGAGGGAATTACATCACAAAAGTGTCCGTTTCTTCTCTTACCTATATTTCAGTTTTTGTATTTTCAGATTAAGATTGACAAGCTCAACATTTCAATTTATAATTAAGTACACAAATGACATCACCCATCTCTTCAGAGAGCTGAAGGTGACCTGTGCAGCAACACATTTCAATCAATATTTGTCAATACTAAGAGCTGCTAGATTGTGCTGCTGTAATGGAATATGTAAGGAGAATAAGAACATACCATGTGGTCCAGCTGGAGTTTCATCTGCCTCCTGATCCCTGCCTCTGTTCCTCTTTCTGACACTTCATCTTTATTCCTCACATACATTTCTTCTTCTTCACTAATGTCTTCATCTCCTCCTCCTGCTCTGACCCTCCTGGTCTCTTCATCTCCTCCTCTTCCTCCTGCTCTGACCCTCCTGGTCTCTTCAGTGAACTCTCTTTTCCTCTTTCTGTTCGTCCTGATCACTTCTCATATGTCTTTGTGTTGTTGTTATTGAATCACTCCTATACTCTGGCCTGCAGGAGTCTACTTGTGAAAAGCACTGGTACAAATGCTTGTATAACTTTACACGTTAGGGCCATGTAGCCTAGCTAATATGTAGCATATCATATAACATCAGAAAGTATTGATCAAGCGCACACAGGCAGCTGTGTTTGGATCCAGTTTTTACAGTAAAGGATGTATCCTGGTTTCATTGATCTGGCCTCATTGCTGTGATGTGTAGTTTACGTGGATTTAATAGTAGGCTACCGCGTAGTTTAGCAAAGTGATCGATCTCCCAGCTAACGCTGTCTGCGTAGTATTTTGTAACGTAACGCCCCAAACAGCGCCCGTCTGTTAAACGCTATCGATTCAAACGGCAGCGTTTTTATTAATATTTAGTTTCAAGCTCTCGTCCTTAGTAAAAACAAAACTAGTGGAAAGGGAAATGCTCCCAGGGGAAGCTGATCCATAGGTGCTGGGACAGCTCGCTCCCTCTCTGCAGCGGTGTGAGCTGCGGTCTGTGTGAACGCCGCTCCGCAGTTTAATGCAGGGCCGTAGCTGCGTTTTTAACGGGCCTAAAATTATATTTAAAATTATTCACTTTTAACTAATGTAATGCTTGTTTTGTTGCTTGAGAAGCTTGTGGAAATAGTGTAGGTTTGTTTTAGTACAGTTTTAGGGAAACAAAAGTTAGGGGGGCAGCTGGGGGGGCAAGGCTCTACAGTGGGGGGGCAGCTGCCCCCCCGTAGATCCGCCCCTGTCTCCGTGTTTGGCTACCTAAAGCTACATCGTATGTTGTCTGCATTTGCTTCTCCTGTCACGAGTTCTGATCGCTCAGTGATGATAGTTATATTTCTATAATCTGTGGAATCTCAGGATATTAGCTAAGCTTGTTTGTGCAGATCCGATAAGTATATCGATCGGTATAGCTAGAGTTCTGTGCTAAGTGCGTTAGCATGTTTTCGCTCAGGGCTCATTTAGACCCATCTTGTGAGACTTGTTTTGTTTCGGTAAAAATGGTTTGCATCATCAGTTAGCTGAGTATCTTCCCGTTTGGAGGTTATGACACATACACTCATAGTTTTTTAAATATTAAGAAGTGTTGTGTTTAAAAAAAAGAAGAAAAAAGACCCGCTGAGGGGGTCTTTGGGGCTTAACAGGTGATGTGCACAATAATTATAGCCTAATTTTATAATGTTAATATTATGAAATGGGCCATTCTGCATAACGAGAACTTTTAGTAATTGGGATGGAAATACTTTAACTTAAAATCTTTTTAAGCCAATAAATGAATATTGGTAATACTGTGTAATATTATGTGTTACTATAAGTGTTCCTAATAAAAGTTCAGTGTGTTTGCAACATGCCACAGGTATCTTAGTTCTTGTATTAGATTCATTATTTAACATTGTTGTTGCCTTGTGCCCACTCAACCAAACCCTACTCTCTCTTTCTCCTCCTCCTTTAAGGCCCCTGCCCCCCCACCAGTGTTCAGGTGTTCCTGCAGTGTGTCGGTAACATGGGCGTTGTGACCTGGACAGCTGCCCTACAAGCAGACCTGTACGTGGCCACAGCGGTACCCTCTACTGTGGGTGGGCACAACAACACCTGCACCTCCAACGGGACAAACTGCTCCCTCATGGACCTCTACTGCGGCGAGACGGCCGTTGTCACCGTGGTTACCATTGAGAGTGGCTGCATGAGCGAGCCCAGTCTGCCTTTTACTTTCCAGTCAGGTCAGAGAATGTATACGTGGATAATTAACGAATACTTACACAGTGTTATTTTGGATTACTTACTATGAGAAGAGTGCATGGGTTAAATGAAGACTAGAGACAGAAGGATATTAAAGGAGATTATTAATTTCTTCGAGAGCTGTCATTTGGATACAAGGAGCTTTTTAATGAGATTTGGACAGAGCCAGGCTTTCCTAAAATGTCCATTTATTTGTGTTTTAAATACTGTTTTCAAAGCTGAATAAAATAAACAGCAATTTCCCTTTTTGGCTTTATTTATAATTTAGTAATTGTTTGGATAAAAAAGTGTATTCTTACCTAGTAGAAAATAACATTACTTGAATTCCCAAAATTCCACTTCAACACAGACTTTGTCAATATGTTAATATGAAAAAAATATTAATTTGATCAATGTGTTAATATGAGAAATTGGTTACATGTTTATTACGTACAAGAACATCTTAATTATTGTTCTATGTATTGTTTGAACTGTTATCATATTGTTGCTGATCTGCAGAAATACGTAAGGGAATCACTTCATTTACAGTTTTTTCTCTTGTTCTCAGTCATCTGCCCACCCACCGGACTGATGGGATTGACCACCTGCAGGAACAGTGACATCAGAGTGGGCTGGGACCCAAGTCCAGAAAGTGGTGTTGAGTACTTCCTGCACTCTCAGGAGGATGACGGGGCCACTGCCAACTTCACCACATCCATGACATCCCATGTGCTCGCTGGGCTAAAGTGTGGCGAGCTGTACACCCTAAAGGTCGCTGCCACTGACGATGAGTGCACCAGCGTCTTCAGCGAGCCTATTCAAACTGAAACAGGTTAGTATAACGTAAAGACCTGTCTTGAATGCTGACTTACAACAATGCAGAGCTAAAAGCTGGTTGTATATCTGTGAATGTAGTTTTTTAAATCCTATTTCTGTTAAGAACACAGGGTGAAATGTTGGTATTTCTGGTTTTTATGCACCCCAAAAATGGATCAAACTTCCCAAAAACCTGCAGTCTTCACCAACGCTGAGTTGTTCTTGTTCTTCTTATTAAGTGTTAATGTTGATGTAAAGCACTTTGAAGATGTGCTATATAAATAAATGTACCTTACCATACCTTACCTTCTCTTTCCTGCCAGCTCCGTGTCCTCCCACCAACCTGACTGCCAGAGCCTACTGTGGCACCAGCTCTGTAACGCTGTCCTGGGCACCAAGTATCTATGCTATATCCTACACCGCTACAGTGACCGGTCCCCAAGGCCATGTAACTTCCTGTTCATCCAACACAACAACCTGCTCAGTGAAGCTGGATTGTGGACTCCAGTACATAGCAGTTGTGTTTGCTTTCAGTGAGACGTGCAACAGCAGCCTGGGAGAATCTCTAACCTTTGACTCTGGTAAATGATACCTGCATATGTCCAGGTTGCTCTGAATGTTATGTAGCTCAAAACCAATGATTCTCCCCCTCTCCCCTTTTACTTCCCACAGCTAAGTGTCTGCCTGACAGTGTGGAAGCAGACCTAGACTGCACCGCCAACTCCTTCGCAGTGCAGTGGAGGGCGAGAGTTAGCGATGTCGGTTCTTACACAGCGATCGCCATCGGCAGTGACGATACCCGTGTAACATGCAACTCCACCAGCACCAACTGCAGCATCCAGAACCTAAACTGTGGCGTCACCTACAGCATTGTCGTCACAACACCATCAGTTAACTGTGGCACCATCAGAGGCTCCGACTACATAATGCAATCAGGTAGCAAAAGAGCCTGAGTCTCAATCTACATAAAACTCACTACTCCTTAACTTTTCTTAACCTTAACTTCTGCATTCTAACATAATACTTCTCACATTGCAGATATGATCACAATTAAGAAACTCTGTGTCATTTAAGTCTGCCCTCAATAAACACCATCTGAAAAAAGCATATTTTAAATACAGCTTAATGCCTATAACCAAAAAGCTTTATAGTTTATAGATTTATAACAGAAATCCTGTTGAGCTGCAAGATGTGCACAAAATGTGCTATTTAAATAAAATATATGTATTATTTGACTCTCTAACTCCTTCACCTCTTCACCCTCAGCCCCATGTAAACCAGATGGGGTGTTGGTGGATCTGCAGTGCAGCACTGACATGGCGGTGGTGACCTGGGAAAACTCCGGGCCAGACCAGAGCCAGACGGTGTCGGCAGTGGACAGCAGAGGGATGACCTCCACCTGCAACTCCAGCAGCTCCAACTGCACCTTCGACCAGCTGAGCTGCGGGGAGAGCTACGTCATCAATGTGGTCGGCCACACAAATACATGCAGCAGCGACCCAGCTGTTTCAAAAAGGCTCAACACAGGTAGTTAAAGCTTAGCAAAGGACAACGCACAGTCCACGCTATTGGAAATTCATGGTCTCCAGGACTAAATAATCACCATGTAATCAAGAGCAGTAACAATACAAATATAGGTATGCCAGTGTACTTAAAAACACTTACAGGTACTACTGTATCGTAATGCTTTTTAAGCTTGGTTGGTGAACACAATGTGATGCAACTAGTGTGATTACAAAAAAAATGTCTTCCCCGCAACACTAAGAACTCAACATTGGTTGAATAATCAATAATAAATACATATCAAAGTCTTTCAAAAGTTGCAATCTACAAAGCAAATAGCATCTTATTCAATAAACTCTTCGTATTATTTGTATATTAATCTGGAAAGTAACTTTAAGGTAAATGTAGGGGTGTAAAAAATGACAACCTTTGCCTCTAAAGTGTAATACCAAATACTATCAATATAACAATTGTTCAAGGATTACACCAGAAAGCTTCTATGCTTGTATCACTTGGTTACTTAATAGAATAGGGTACAACAATAGTTGAAGGAACTTCTCAGATATACGTTCAAAAACATTATAAAACTATAGACGGAGACACTATGTAAAATAGGGAGAAAATTACCCAAGGTCATATGCAATGTCATTAGAAACACTTAAATAACACTATTCCATCACTGATGCTGGCTTAACGTTGCTCGATAGCCACAGAAAACTGACATTAAAGTGACCCTGCCTCATATCCCCCCCCCCCTCCAGCTCCGTGCATTCCCACCCACGTTTCTGCACAGGTGGACTGTGGGACTGGGATCACCGTGGTGATGTGGGACTCAGCTCAAGGGGACACATCTTACACCGTCTATGCTTGGGGAAACCTCGGCCACAACGCTGAATGTAACAGCACGGACACCAACTGTGATTTCCCTAACCTGGCGTGCGGGCAGGACTACTCCATCTCAGTGGTGGCTCGCCATGAGTCCTGCGTCAGTTTGCTCAGCGAGTCCATCAACGCCTCCTCAGGTAATGAAACAAAAGCAAATCAGCTGATAAACGGTGACGGAGATGCTGCATGTGTCTCTGCAAAGTAACGCAATGCCTGAAAGGAAATTAAAGTTAAATAACAAATGCAGTCATGAATATTTACAACATAGCCAGAACTTATGAGAGAGACAGATTTGATGAATTTGAGCTGATCAGCCTTGGCTTTATCATATTAGGACACACACATTTTCCCAGATTCTTTGCCAACATGAGCTACTAACCGTAAGCTACAGGATACAATGATTTGTGAAAATAACTTTGACTTTGAAAACCTGAAGCCGAGTTGGCATTACATTTCTTGGACAGGAAACTTCCTTGAAAATGTGCAATACAGGGTGCTGAACAATACAATGAATTTAGCAGAAAAATAAGAAGTTTTTATTGGATTAAGGATTACATTTATGAAGCAGTCTAATGATCCACTATAGCTGACATTGATAAGCTTTATCAATAGTAATTTTTTGTCAGGAATAAGAACACACAAATGGCACAGTCTAAGGATTCATGACTATTACTGTTTATGTTGCGTGTGATACCACTTTACCTTTTTGGAGACTTGCTGACATAAATTATTGGGCTAATAAGCAACCTCTGTATCATTGTGCTGAAAAACACATTTTCCACTGTTTCCTATGGTCGCCACTAGGTGCCTCTAAACCAGGATCAATAACAGAAAACCTTTATTCGTTCAGCCCCCCTAACCCTAACCCAACAGAGGGGACATTTACATTGTTACGGAAAAGGTAAAGAGCCAAAATAGCGAAATATTAAATAAGAGGCATGCATAACATATTTGAGATAGAAATTACACAAATAAAATGTACTAAAGTACCCATCCAGGTGGACACCCATAAGTATGGTAACTGTTTTATAAAATGTATAAAATAAGTGTAGCATGTAGAAGTAGTGAAATAGCAGCCAATTAACAGTAGTGAAAGTAAACATATATATTGCAGAGTTATGACAGATTCTGTTACAGTAGTTGAAAAGTCTAACTAAGAGAAAACAGCCAGTAATAATAATAATTATAAAGCAGTATTTACGTGTTTTAGTCTTTAAAGAGATTTATTTTATTTAGAGAAAGTGTCAGGCGTGTTAATAATTCCCTCAAAACTCATTCTTAATTTATACCATACACAGCAATTGTGTATTTAAATGTCCCTCTCTGTCCAGGTCCTTGTCCCCACAGCGGTCTGCAGGCGACCCTGGACTGTGACACCAACACCGCTGTGATATCGTGGACGCCAGGCAGCGGCATCCTCTACTACAAGGCCTCGGCCTCTGTCCTTGCCTTTAACGCGGTGGCCCCTCTGACCTGCTCCACCAACGGCTCCTCCTGCAACATCAGCTCTCTGACCTGCGGACAGTCTTACAGGTTGAGAGTCAGTGGGCAGGGACAGAACTGCCCCAGTCCGGCCCAGGACTGGCTGCAAATCATCACAGGTGTCTTCTTATGCTTTGTAGAGTTTGGCTGCCAGCTACTTTCATCTTATTTTTTCAACTAGATTCGTTTTTAAACGGTATATTGACTTCTTTGAGCCAACCATCCTATTATTTGTACCCACAAAAATCTTGAATTCATCAAAAATATTTCAACCTTTTTAAACGACTTTTACCAACTTTGTTAGCTGTTTTAAAAATAATTTTCACAACAGTTTGTCTAATTATTTCAAGCATCATTTTATAAAATATTATTCTACTTAAATACTATTTACCAATTGCTTTGATCCTCTTACTGTTTGGACATGAGCAGAGAAAAATCAGTATCTATCTCTTCAAAAAATATTTTAAATCTATTCTTTAATACAGATTTACTCTTTTATCGCATGTAATGATGCATTTAAACTAACTAACTCGCCATTCTTCTTTCCCTTCTCCAGCTCCCTGCCCTCCAACCAATGTGAAAGTGAACTCTTCCTGTGAATCGAACAACATCTCGGTGTGGTGGCAGGCCTCAGAGGGCTCCGTGTCCTACACAGCCGTGGCCGAGGACGAACAGGGCCGTAGCTGGTCCTGTTACACCAGCAGCAGCAGCTGCCAGATCTCTGGCCTGCCCTGTGGACAGCAGTACCACGTTTATGTTGCTGGTGTTGACGAAGAATGCATTGGAGCCAAGAGTGATGTTAAAGTGATTCATACAGGTAGGTATTATAAAGTCATATTTGGTGACTTTTAACAACATGTGTGAATCAACTTGTGAATCAAGATGAGTTCATTCACATCTTCTTCATGTTTCACATACATTCCTTCCTAAATGTCGTTATCTCCTAGTGGTTTTATCCAAAAATTATCTGTGCTGACAGAATAGTTTGATGCTATAACCAGAAAGTACAACAATTACATTTAGACTAAATCCATATAATACATTCCTGTACATTTTCATTATTGTTTAAGTATTATAGTATTATATTCAACTTTTCATGAATAACAGAATAATCTGCTAATATTATTACTATTTACAGACGTATAAATGAGTTGGACAAAATGTTTCAAACGTGTTTCAAAAATATGTAGCAAAGCTTTAAAGTTTGGTTCACAATGTGCATATGCACTAAAGATTATTTATAACAACTGTTAGTAATAGTTAATTTTAGATATTTTTATTTCGATTCCAGCTCTATTTCATTATGTTTTGTCATAGTTCATTGGTATTGTTATTGGGAGATTATTTGAATAAGTTCGCTCATGCAGCTCACAACACGTGAGGGTCTGGCTCGTCTCTAACCACTGTCCCCGTTCTGTTCAGCTCCCTGTGTGCCACAGAACGTACAGAACGACCTGGACTGTCTGTCCGGCGTCTTAAATGTGACCTGGCAGTCGACGGGTGACGTTTCTCAGTTCCGCACCTCCGTGGTCAGCAGCATAGGACACGTCAGCACCTGCCAGACGGTTAAGCATCACTGCGTAGTGCCCAACATGCTCTGCGATCTGACCTACAATCTGACAGTGGTGGCTCAAGATGAGGCTTGCAACAGCTCCCATAGCCCCACACAGCAGGTCCTTACAGGTGTGTAAACCAATATATCAGCTCTTTAAGAACAAAAAACCTCAACAACTGAATTCAATGAGAGTATAAAGTTATTCAAAGGAGCCAAGAGTGATGTTAAAGTGATTCATACAGGTAGGTATTATAAAGTCATATTTGGTGACTTTTAACAACATGTTTGAATCAACGTGTTATCAAGATGAGCTTATTCACATGGCGTCTTCTTCATGTTTCACATACATTCCTTCCTAAAGACAACTTTATGTGGGATTGTCCTTATTTGGCGTCGTAGTGGTTTTATCAAAAAAGTAACTGTGCTGCCAGAATAGTTTGATAGATGCTACAACCAGTTTGTATTAAATACAAAACTTTGTCTATTTGAATAAAAAGAGTCTGTTTTTACATTTTTGGTATTTGGCTGTTATTTTCATTTTAGAAAATATTCTGTCCATTATATATATGTAATGCCGCAGGACATTTTAGTTTTACTGTCTTCTTCTATCCTCACCTCATCTCCTCCTCTTCTTCATCTCAGCTCCGTGTCCTCTCCTGAACTTCCTCCCCGCTGTAAACTGTGCCACCGGCGTTGTATCTGTAACCTGGAACAACAGCATGTCAGGGGTTGTGTACACGGTGACGGCGGTTGATGCTGCAGGTCAACGGCAAAACTGCAGCGGGTCAATCGGCTGTGATCTCACCACGCTGCAGTGTGGGACGGACTACAACGTCACCATCACACCCTCCAGGGACGGATGTGTGGGCAGAGACAGCCCCACAAAGATGATCAAGACAGGCAAGGATCAATATTTTAGTTTTACTTAAATAAAGAGGTACATACTGTCGTGTCAAATGTTCATATAATCATTTAAATAATATCTATAGATTATGTCTCATACTCTGATTGCCTTTTACTCGTTTAAATAGTATTTTTAGCCCTATATGTGTTTAACAGAGACATAAGTTTAGGATTTACATTTCAGGAAGGGCAAAAGGTGGATTTGCAAATGGTTAAAGGACTGGGGGGTTTTATGGTTTAATGATTGGGATGTTTAGATAATGTCTAAAAGAATTGATGGGTGGGACCAGTTGGCTGTTTTCTCTACTATATAGTGTGACTGTAAGCTGTGTTCTGGGTGCAAAGCCATGTTATCCTTTGAGGATGAAGTTGCTCTGTTCCTGCATTTGAGATCGATTTAAATTGTATATAGACTTTCTTTATTACTTTATTAAATATAGCAAAAGTCAAACTTTGTCCGTTTCTCTTAAGGGATTTAGAATTTCCTCCACACTGTTCTTTATTTTTGGGATATAATAATTTACTCTTGATCGATCCTATTTATGTGTCTTCTTTTTTGACACCGTGAAAACAGTCATGTTGAATAAACCTAACCGCCACCTGTTCCTGGTTCCCTGCAGTCCCCTGTGTGCCTCACCTGTCTGAAGTGGAGATCGACTGCCTGGCAAACTCTGCCTGGGTGATGTTTGAAGAGTCTGCTGGGGCTGAGGAGTACGTCATCATCGCTACCGACAGCCAAGGCTACGAAGAGACTTTTGAGTGTAACTCGACGTCAGAGGGAATGTGTTCGTTGCCGTCGCTGATGTGCAACAAAAATCTCACCTTCACCCTCGAGGCCCGCGACCAGCAGTGCCCCAGTGCACAAAGCAATGCTGTCATAACTGAGACAGGTAGAGAAAAGAAAGTTTGAACACAGTCATACTGTGCTGTACAGGCTGAAATCAATTGAAGTGATTGGGGCTGTGATGAACAAACAGTTTTTGAGCGTGGTGCCATACACACGCTGTTTTTGGTTGTAATATAAATGGTATTTCAAGCAATAACTTTGTCTTCATTGGAGAGCGCATCTAGTTAATCAGAGTAAACAATCCCTATGTGATGTTGACTGGCAATAGTCACCACAACTGTTTGAAAATTGATACATAGTCTATACATAGAGGATTTATTGGTAGAAACTAAGAAGATATTAGCTACTTTTCTGAGAAACCCCCACTAAAGTTTGATATGTTCAGTGAAGGATACTATCTGTAGCATCATTATCCTAATCTAATGTAGCACTGTAGTTGTTGTTGTATCTCACAGTGTTACTCCTTCCCCAGCTCCCTGTCCTCCTTCGGACATTAACACATCAGTGGATTGCAACACTGGCACAATCAGCATCGACTGGATGACCATTCCTGGTGCGGTAACATACACGGCTACGCTGGAACAGATAAACGATGGCACCACCTACTGCTGCACCACGCAAAACCACAGCTGTAACATCACCGATCCTCCGTGTGGAGAAATGTTTATTTTGCTCATTGTAGCTGAGGGACGAACATGCAACAGCACCCAGAGCGAAAGGAAGATCGTCAGGACAGGTATATAAACTGAACATGTCACATCATGCATACACTACTATTTACAGAAGGCGGTTAAAGAAAGTGGAATTTAAGGTCACATATTATGCAAAATCAAAATGTTCATGTTTTTTTACATACATATTTGTCCCCTCTGTGTAAATTGATTCTGAAAGTTTCAGGAAAAAAGATTCCCTCTCTTTTTGTCCTGATCCATTTATATAAAGTCTGAAAATGAGCTGATCAGATTTGGTCCACTTTGTGATGTCATGATTTTTTGGGATGTGTAACCATTAGCCAATAACCAACTGAGGTACCCCCCCCCCACCTTATCACCTGAATCTCCTCCTAGAGCACCAATGTGTTTTTTTAACCAAATATCTCTCAGAGGGGCGTGGGGAGGGGCTCCTTATTTTCATCTAAAGTAACAGACAGAGAATCAGCACTTTTGAAACAGGCCTGAAACAGAGGGGATTATGGGATGCTGTAATGATCTGTTTGGTATTTGAGAGACATGTTTTGTATATATCTGAGACCTATAATATATTGAAGAAAAATAGTATAATAGGGGACCTTTTTTAAAGAAGAAAAAAATGATCAGGTGTAAAAGAAACAATTAAAATGCTACATTTCTAAATTGACCTTTCCCCGTCAGAGCCATGCATTCCTCAGAACCTGAAATCCAGTCTGAGCTGCAGCAACAACGTGGCCTCCATGTCGTGGAACTACAGCAGGGGAGGACAGGTTTACAGAGTGAGTGCCGTGAGTACCGATGGACATGTCGACAAGTGCAGCTCCTTCGAAAACCAGTGTGATCTGACGGGTCTGAGCTGTGGAGAGTATTACACAGCGACTGTGCTGGCAGAGGACCAGGACTGCCTGAGCAAACTGAGCAACAGCGTGACAATCAAGACTGGTATGTTTAAGCTATAACTGCTAACTTATGGATACTTCTTAAAGTAAGGCAAGGCAAGTTTATTTATATAGCACCTTTCAACACAAGGCAATTCAAAGTGCTTTACAAAAATGAAAGACATTAAGAAAATGGCATTTAAAATCAGTCATTAAAAAGAAAAGATAATAAAATAAACATTAAAAGAAAAAGTACATGGATAAAAGTTACAGTGCAGTTTAAGATGTGAATAGTTCAATTAAAAGCAGCGACAAAAAGAAAAGTCTTCAGCCTGGATTTAAAAGTAGTCAGAGTTGCAGCGGACCTGCAGGTTTCTGGGAGTTTGTTCCAGATATTTGGAGCATAATAACTGAACGCTGCTTTACCATGTTTAGTTCTGACTCTGGGGACAGAAAGCTGACCAGTCCCTGAAGACCTGAGAGATCTGGATGGTTCATAATTTAGCAGGAGGTCAGAAATGTAATTTGGGCCTAAACCATTCAGTGCTTTATAAACCAGCTCAGTATTTTGAAATCTATTCTTTGACACACAGGAAGCCAGTGTAAAGACTTCAGAACAGGAGTGATGTGATCCACTTTCTTAGTGTTAGTGAGGACTCGAGCAGTGGAAGATCTTGGAGTGGTTGTTATGATATCAAATGATCTCCAAAATACATTTAATATCATAATCGATTAAGTTCTCAGTCATTCAAAACTCTAAACTAAACTCTGTAACAACGACTTTAAGCCACACATCTTTGTCTCTTCTTGCCAGTGCCCTGCACTCCTGCAAACGTCTCCTTGGCGGTGGACTGTGAGGCCAACACTCTGACGACGTCCTGGACAGAGAGCTCAGGAGCGGACTCGTACATCGCCACGGTGCAGGACAGTTACGGACAGACCACCAGCTGCCAGGCCATGAACAAGGGCTCCTGCAATGTGACTGGGCTCGGCTGCGGTCAGATCTTCCATGTGTCTGTTGTCTCATCTGATGGGTACTGCAACAGCCTGTCCACTCCTATGGAGGACACGCCTTCAGGTAGGATGGAGACAGACGTGTACCGTACGTTTCGAAGAACATAAACAGATTTTAAAGCATGCAGAGGGAAAAGATGACACTTAAAAATACAGTTACAGTTGAGCTTCTTTTGAACCTCTATGGTTTATAACATTAATTGATATAATATAATTGTGTGTGCTAACCACACACTTAAAAAAAAAGAACTAATAACTTTAGCTCATACAAAGCTATATCTACAAAATGTAAATACAATTGTGTATTTTAAGCTGTTTTGCTTTGTAATTATCCAAACCACTACTACATTTGTTTTTGATATAGAATTATTTCAGTGCAATTTTAACTTTAACTAACAAGAATACATATCATATTGCTGGTAGTATTAAAGCTTTAGACAATATTAAAGGTAGGTTAGGTAAGAATGGAGAAACCAGCTCGAGTAAGCTAGAATTTGAAAGTACACAACCAAAAAAAATCTGCCCCTTCCTTCAGACTTCCTTACAGAGCCCCTCAACACACATGAACAATGAGGGCACGAGATGGAAGGCTGACAGGCTGACAGGCAGGTAGGCCATCCAATTATCTGCCGCGGGCCGAGGCAGATAATTGGATGAAATATTTGTATATATTTATTGTCAAAGCATTACATTTATTCATTGCTATCAGGATGTTAAGAGCATTCCATGGAATATAACAAAAAGTGTTTCTGAAGTCAATTACCTACCCTACCTTTAAGTACTACAATCACTGTATATTTATGATCATCAGTAAGCTTGTCTTTCTTTTTTCGATTTCTTTGAAGCAATGTAGTATGTTTAAAGCACACTAAAGTTGTAACTGTCCTACCTCTCGTCTCAGTTCCCTGTAAGCCGAGACTGATCCAGGCAGTGATGAGCTGCTTCATGCGGACGGCCACGGTGATGTGGTACCCGGCCGATGGAGCTCTGTCGTACACGGTAATGACCTCCACCGCGTCAGGCCACAACGTGAACTGTGAGACCAACACCACCAGCTGTGTGCTGGAAGGGCTGCTGTGTGGCAACAGCTACTCTGTGTCTGTGACGGCTTTGGGATGGTCCTGCTCCAGCATCGCTCACATGCCAGGACAGCTGGTCACTGGTGAGGGATAGCACCTCACAAAGCTACATGCCTAAAGTCCATCCACTCAGTTTTGTGTTTTAAATATTGTCAAACATAATAAACAAGGTATTCTCAGGTTCCTACAAAAAGTATGGAATTGTATTTTAGTTTCTCCAGGTCTGTACAGTATTCATAAGAGAAAAGAGTGTACAATATAAATGTATTCCAATATTTGATTTTACATGACACAGAATTGCAGCTAAAATTATATGCTTTGACCTCGTCTGGGCCGTTTTAATGTGCTACAGTACCTAGTGACAATCTTCTGGCAATTATTTGGCTACTTAATAGCATAGGCTACAGTTTATAGTCAGAATGTCACATACATGTCAGTTAAGTCACATAAACACCCAGCTATGTGTACTAAGATATTACATATGGTCCTAAACATATACAAAGAAGAATAGAAATGTAGGGACTTTGAAATGGAAAGTGTGTAGGTAGTAATTTGTACTCATGAACACCTTCTCTCTCCCAGAGCCGTGCATCCCTGAGCAGATCACCACTGAGTACAGCCTTTCCATCGGCCAGGTGCTGTGGGACATGACTGCTGGGGCTGATTACTACACAGTGGAAGGGGTGACAGATCAGGGCCAGATGGTCTCCTGCGTCACCAACGACACTTACTGTGCCATGTACAACTTTGACTGTGGCCAGATGTACAATATAAATGTCACAGCAAACAATCAGGTCTGCCAAGGCACGTCAATCTCGACCGAACCCTCTTCAATAACAACGGGTAAGAAAACACATTGATGAGTTTTTGCATTGTCAAGGTTCTTAACGGAGTGAGATCTCTCTTTGATAGTCTGCACTGATAGTGTCAGTATGAGTGTTAGGATCTAGGACCTTAAAATTATGTTTAGCAAATGAGTTTTTGACAGGAAGTTCAATTAACAACTGTTTTTCAGTCAATTTTCATGTAAACATGCCCAACTTTTTCTTATTCCAACTATTCAATTCTGATGGTTTGCTGCTTTTTTTTTTACTTACTATCACTAGGTTTTGGGGTGTTGGTCAAACTAAACAAGACATTTGAGAGCATAACTTTACTGAATTAACTGAATTAAATGAGGAATTAATCAGCAGCATAACCATGAAGGAAAGAAAAAGTAAATGTCGCTTTTGGCACATTTTAATATCTTTTGATATTTCCAATTGTTTTAATGTATGTAGTACAGATGAAAAATTGTATCTGCATCCTTTAACTTGTTCCGTCTCCTTTTTTTTCCATCAGAGCCTTGCCCACCCCAAAACGTGCAGACCACTGTGCAGTGTCAGAGCGACGTGGGGGTCGTGTCGTGGGAATCCAGCTTTGGGGTGGTGGGCTACGAGGTCAGCCTGGCCGGACGCGACGGCCACTCTCTGTCCTGCTCCACCAACGAAACGTTCTGTACAGTGGAAGGCCTCCACTGTGGAGTTGTCTACTACACTAACGTCATCGCCATCGGAGAGACGATCAACAGTGACGAGTCCACTACTGTCCTGCTGGTCTCAGGTATGCTGCTGTCAAACACTGGCTTCATTATAGTAATATATTACACAATGGAATATACTATATTATATGGAATACTCTTTGCCCTTGCTGACTGCTGTGAATCTGATCAAGTATTTCAAGTGAAAACATTAGAGGATAATAATTATACATCTGTTAAAAAAAATTCAAACAGTCTCTTACATTTCTCTCAGGTAGAAAAGTAACAACATTTGGTTTGGAAACACTCACATGGCAATATTTCATATACAAAATAAAAACCTCTTCATGGCTTGAATCACCAACTGGGTAAAGATAAGAGCCCTGTGCTTGGTAACTGAGCACTATTTTCAAAATGAAATGTCTTCTGTTGATTCTCTGAAGACTAGGGTTGGGAACCGAAACTCGGTTCCAGATGAGAACCGATAAGAAAATGCCGGGTACCGGGTACCCATACAAAATACACAATTTCGGTTCTGCTTAACGGTTCCTAAACGCGGTAGACCCTGTATTCCAGCGGGTCCGTCTGCACCGCGGTGCTGCGGTGACCCGGTGGAATACAGGGCGGACCTGGAGAATCACAGAACGGCCGGTCGTCAGCGGGCCGTTGACGGCCGGCTCGGTACGCTGACGGCCGGCACCGCCCTTCATTTTTTTAAACGGCATCATATAAATTGCGCTGACAGGCGACAGAGGTCCACAGTTGCCCCGCAGCGATGCTCCCCCCGCCCTCCCGTAGACATTTCACGAGCTCAGTCACTTCATAACACCAAAGATAGGTCGCGGTAAACACTCTGAAGTGAGGCTCCACTACACTAAAAAAGAAAAAGAAAAGGCAAAGTGTAATGCCTGTTAATAGCTTGCCACAGGCATAGCTCAGTTAAAATAAAGCACAGCTATTGTGCAATATATTTGTATTGCATGTATATTTTTTAGTAACAATTTCAGTTAAAGCTTTTAAGAATAAATATATTTTTGTTATCTAAACGTTTGACCTCTTTATTTTACAATTTTGGAATCGAAACGGGGAATCGATAAGAACCGGAATCGATAAGCAGAACCGGAATCGAAATCGGAATCGATAAATTTCAAACGATACCCATCCCTACTGAAGACTAACACTGTAAAACAATATTTTGATGACTGTTTTTTTCTCCTTGTGAGATAATTTTTTTTTTGAGATAATCCTGATTTAAAAAGGAAAGTAATGTGCCAAGGAATGTACTTCAGAGTAGGGGTGGGCGATATGACGATATATATCGTTGTGACGATATTAGGTCTCCACGATATGCTTTTTCTGAGATATCGTATCTATCGTGATAAAAAAAAAAAAAAAGAAATTGAAAAAAAAAAACTATAAAAACTATAAACTTTTCTCTTCAGTTATGCTAAAGTATTTTATTGCACTTCAAGTCTAAAGTTTACATTTTAATTGTTTGGCACTGACTTTTCCTCATTGATGTTTTATGTTTTACTTAGTTATGTTTTACCCTCCTTTTTATGTTTATTGATGTTCACTGCTAGTGCTACCTCAGAAAGTTCATTTTTATACTGAGAAACTGTGCCTTGAAGCCATATCAAAATGTTGAATTGTTCATTCAGGGATTCATTTCAGAAATAAAACCAGCTTGAAATGCTATTTTGGTCTGTTACTCCTTTTTGTTTTAGTTTCTGTTGCCTTGTAGGTGCTTGTACTGTTAAGTAACTTGAAAAATAACCATAATAACCGACATGAAAAATATCGTGATATATATCGTCTATCGTGATACTGCTTGAAAAATATCGTGATAATATATTTTTCAATATCGCCCACCCCTACTTCAGAGCATGCAAATGTAGGAAACACGGAAAGATAGCATTCAACAATACAAACAACAATAATAAACATTTAAATTGCATATGTTTTGCAGTAGTAAATGTATCTTTGTATCCTAAAGAATGCACCGAATGTACATATAATTGTCCTTTGTTAGAGAGAGAAAACCTCCTCAGGGTTGATTCGCATCTATTTTTATTGATAGTGGGCATTCCTAAATTACATACACGGCTTCCCAAAAGATTTGAAAATATGCAAAAAACGAACTTTTAAATGGCAGTAGGCAGGCCCCAAACTAAATCCTTGCATTGAATATTAAGTAATTGGATGGTGTTAACATAAGCGCATCATTTGCAGTTGATGTAGGTCTACTAGATTTTGTGTGAAGATCAATGCAGTGTGATCAATGAAATTGAACCCATATCCTATTTGTCTTTCCGTCCCTTCTGTGTCCAGCTCCCTGTGCAGCTGAAAATGTCGAAGCTAATTTGGATTGCGACAACAACACAGCCAAAGTCTCCTGGAGCTCAGCCAACGGAGCAGACTCTTACACTGTGAACGCCGTAGAAGATGAAGGCCACGTAGCTTCATGTGAGACCGATGAGCTACAGTGTGTTCTAACTGGTCTGCACTGTGGTCACACGTATAACATCAGCCTCACATCCAACAGCGACCACTGCCAGACTGAGACAACAAATATTGTCACCTTAATCACAAGTGAGTTGAGAAACATCTAATCTCTACGTAGCTGGAGTTGAGTGAATTGATCTCTGATATTTACTCAACATGTTGTGCAGGACCCTGTAAACCGCTGCATGTTGCAGTAGACCAGCAGTGTGGGAACAGCACGGCCAACATGTTCTGGGAGGAAGGCAAAGGAGTGGAGCTCTACCTGGCTACTGCCACCTGCAGCATGGGAATGACCATGCAGTGCAACTCCACCAACTCCACCTGCAGGTTCTACAACTTGAACTGCGGAGACACATGCACGTTCTCTGTGACTGCGTACACTCACATGTGCTACAGTGACATCAGCAGCACTGTGGAGATCCAGACAGGTAGAGCTCATTATTCTCAAATAATTAAATGGTTAGGTTGTCCACTGATGGATTCAGGGATTGGGTTTTTGGTAACATAAAGACGAAGATTGTCCACCCTCATCACAGTTAGAAAAAGTGTCCTCTTAGTTGCTTTTCAAGAAGTTTCTCTCTACTCTATTTATTTTCTATTTATTTATTTTGCATGCAACAGTCCAAGAAAGAAAAACGGATTCAGGTGTCTAATTTTGGCAGTATTTAATTAAAACTGTCGAACCAAAATACCCAAATTGTAATAATTAAAAGATATGTTATGTTTCATTGTGTCTAAACAATTGGTTTATAATAGTGGATTAATTGATAGGTCGATTCATCTATAACAATATTAATAATTGATAAATAGTTTTAATAGTTCTCGAGTGAGGGAACAATGAAGTGTGAGATGGGCCGGAGAATCGGAGCAGCGGGAGCGGTACTGCAGTCGCTTTACCGCACCGTTGTGACGAAAAGGGAGCTGAGCCAGAAGGCAAAGCTCTCTGTCTACCGGGCCATTTTCGTTCCTACCCTCACCTATGGTCATGAAGGATGGGTCATGACCGAAAGAACGAGATCGCGGATACAAGCGGCCGAGATGGGTTTTCTCCGCAGGGTGGCTGGTGTCTCCCTTAGGGATAAGGTGAGAAGTTCAGTCATCCGGGAGAGACTCGGAGTTGAACCGCTCCTCCTTCACGTCAAAAGGAGCCAGTTGAGGTGGTTCGGGCACCTAGTTAGGATGCCACCTGGGCGCCTCCCTAGGGAGGTGTTCCAGGCACGTCCAGCTGGGAAGAGACCAAGGGGTAGACCTAGGACCAGGTGGAGGGATTATATCTCTTCGCTGGCCTGGGAGCGCCTTGGGATCCCCCAGTCAGAGCTGGTTGATGTGGCCAGGGAAAAGAAAGTTTGGGGCTCTCTGCTGGAACTGCTACCCTGTGACCCAACCACGGATAAGCGGGAGAATAATAATAATATATTTTATTTATAAGCGCACTTTTCATTTGCGTAAACAAAACTCAAAGTGCTACAAAATTAAAAATTAAAAAGGGTGAAACAAAACAACAAAAACAATAAAAACAATAAAAAAACAATTTAAAAACAATTAAAACAACATAATAAAAGCTGTGACATTCATGCCGGCATGGCATAATGTGGGGGATTTAAAAATCTAGTTAAAGGCTATTCTAAAAAGATGCGTTTTTTGGCCTTTTTTGAACGCCTCCACAGTCTGTGGTGTCCTCAGCTGGTTTGGGAGGGCATTCCACAGTCTCGAGAAGATGGATGGATGGATGGAAATAGTTTTAAATATTTCTTGAAACAAAATTCATTTATTTTAGCATTTAAAAGATGAATAATGTTCAATAATACAGTATAAAACTTTTTCTATACATTGTACAAAACAAATCGATTTAATATCTAAATGTTAAACTAGGGCTACCGGTTCTATGGAGATTTGAAAAACCCCTACTTTAATTTTCTGATATCATTTTTAATCAAATGTATTCATCTTTTTAAAAATGTTTTGCCATTTTGTCTCCTACATTTCTGTCTGTCACCCACTTTTATAAAGACACCCAGACAATTCATCTTAGGTTTTTGTAATTGATAAAGAAAATGTTGTTCTCCAGAACCCTGCCAGCCAACTGGCCTGACAGTCAGTGGGTCATGTGACAACGATACGGTGGTGTTGGATTGGTCGGCGGCTAAAGGTACGTCAGGCTACGTGGTCACCACCACAGGAGATATGGGATACACCTCTGCTTTCCAAACCGACGAGACAACGGTGGAGGCTGAGCTGCCGTGCGGACAATCATTCACCTTCACTGTAAAAGCTCAGGGTGACCGATGTGACAGCGCTGTGAGCCTGCCTCAAGAGTTCCAGACATGTATGAGTCTCTTTTATATTTTTGATAATGTGGTGTACAATATATTCATATAAAAATGATGACGTAACAATACATCTTCTTCTCAGCTCCCTGTGTGCCCGTGCATGTCCAGAGCTTCACATCGTGTGAGGACAGCCTGGGCTCAGTTAGTTGGGCTGAGAGCGATGGGGCGGACTCTTATTTGGCCATCGCAGTTGGACAGGAAGGCCACACCCACATGTGCACCACAAACACCACCAGCTGCACCTGGGACGACCTGCACTGTGGGGACTTTTACACCGTCCACATCATCGCCAACGACTACATGTGCAGCAGCATGCCGAGCAACAGCACAACATTACGAATGGGTAAACAAGCTTTTGTACTGTGCACAGCTAGAAGAAAGAAAAAACTGTCCTTAAATGTGAAGTCAAGGATTTTTTTTTTAACAGGGTGTGTTAAAGGCTAGACATTAACATAAGCAACATTTTTTTTTAAAACGACAGAATGGAAAGATATGTTTGAAATGAACGTAGAAAATTAAAAAGTTAAATACAATTGAGTGAAACCTGCTTTAAGTGAGGCTCTGAAATAATCTTAAGCTAAAAAGCACATGCATCACCAACACATCTGAAACAATAACAAACACACATTTTTTTACTCCTAGCTTTCCTAAATGATTATTTGTGTTCTGTTTTCTGTGTTTTATATAATTACAATTTATTGGCAGGGTTTTAAATGTTTGTAAGAAAAATCAAGACTTCCGATTAATCTCCTTGGTCTCAGTGAAATTGTAACATGTGTTTAAAATTATGTTTGACCAAATTACTATAATTTATTATATTAGTCAAGATACTAATCAGCAGATCAATGTAGAATGATAATAGTGTTTTTTTCTTTGCAGCCTTAATCACAGCTAAACTTTTGTCTTCTGCTTTTAGCGCCGTGTATTCCTCAGAATTTGACAACCTTTCTGGACTGCACTACGAAGGTGAATATTTTACTATCACAAGCCATTTCTCTCAATGTTCATCCCTAGTAAAATTGTAAACTTTTCTGTCTACATTTCTGACCTTCTGAAAGGGTTTGAATATATAAACTGAAAATGACTGACGATACTAACTAACTATATTATTATCTGTTTGTAAGGTGGGATCGCTGACCTGGAATGCCAGTGACACTGCTGAGTTTTACACTGTGACGGCAGAGTCCAACAGTGGCCACAAAGTGCAGCTCAGCACCACCGACACCTGGACCTTCATTTCTGAGTTTGAGTGCGGCCAAGAGTACTTCCTGTCTGTTCAGGCGGCAGACTCTGTGTGCACAAGCCGACCAAGTCAGCCATCAACACTTGAGTCAGGTAGATTACTATTTTCTAGTTATACTCTATTTTATAGCAGTATTTTATTGAACATTTGAATGACTAATATGACTAATTATTTCCTTATATTCTGTTATCTAGTTTGTTATTGATTGTTAGCTTTAAAACGTGTTGTTTTCTGTTCTCCCCTCAGTGTCCTGTCCGCCCATTGGTGTCTCCAGCTTCATGAACTGCGGTTCTAACATCGCTGTAGTGTCTTGGACCGCCTCGGCTGGGGCGAAGTATTACACCGCCACGGTGACGCAGGAAGACGGCCAATCAATTAGCTGCTGGTCTGACGGCGAGCAGTGTGGCATGCCAAATGTCCAGTGTGGACAGAACTACACTGTAATGGTCGTCGCCTCCAACGAGGAGTGTAACTCTGACCCCAGTGAGGCCGACACACTGCAGTCAGGTGAGACAATTTTATCCTCTTCTTTTATGCCTTTTTTTATTCAGCAAACAAGGTCTGCAAATACTATTGGTCAAGTTTATTTTAGGTGACTTTAAGGGTATTTAATGTTTAATTGTATTCAAAACGCTCTCAACTGTAGTTGTTTTCTATTGCCCATGCATGTGATATCAGACATCTTTAAAATTAGGCTTCTTTAGATGATCTCAAATGTTTTGTATCTCTGTGACTAGATAATTAAACGTACCCCATTCTCCTCCCCCTGCCTTTTTCAGTGCCGTGTGTTCCTACTGACGTGGAGGTGACGATAGACTGCTCCAAAAATCAGGCTCTCGTTGGCTGGAGTGCCAGCGAAGGGGCTCTGTCCTACAAAGCGACAGCTGAGAGCGTACAGGGAGCCTTGTCCTCCTCCTGCATCAGCACAAACCTGACCTGCACCCTCACCAACCTGATTTGCGGGCACACATACTCCGTCCAGGTGGTGGCTGAGGAGGATATTTGCTCAAGTTTACCCAGCCCAGATATAGACTTTGAATCAGGTAAACAAATGAATGGGCATGAATCACCTTTGGATGTTTACTTGTGAATCTGTTAAAGTGTTACTTCAGTCCTCCATTTCTTCCCTCCCTCTCTCAGTTCCCTGCACGCCCAGCATTGGCTCCGTGGCTCTGGACTGCTTCACAAATTCGGCCCTTTTGAGCTGGACTTACGCTGAAGGCGCCCTGGCCTACACTGCGACAGCCCAATGTCCTGACGGCCAAGTTTCCACCTGCCACTCCAACTACACCAACTGCGAGTTGAAGGGCCTGCAGTGTGGTCAGACTTATGATGTCACCACCGTGGCTTCAAATGAGAACTGCAGCAGCCCTCCAAGTGCCATGAAACAGGTTGAGTCAGGTGAGCTCTCATATTAATAACACAACATGTTTAGACCATCCTTTCCACTGATATGGATGTGGTCTGAGACATAACTGACTTATTAGTTGACAATTCAGCCAGGAGAGGTTAGCCAGATAAAGATTTCCAGGTTGCTGTTAAGTTACTACAGAATATAAAGTCTGTTAAATCAATACATCTGACTATTCCTTCTCTCCCTTTCCTCCTCCAGTGCCTTGTCCTCCTGAGGATGTTGTGCCTGTCCTAAACTGCTCCACCAACACAGCCCATGTGTCGTGGCAGGCCAGCAAAGGGGCTGATTTCTATATTGTCCAAGCCTTCGGCATGGAAGAACATGAATCTGTTTGTGAGACAGAGACACAGTCGTGCGTCCTACCAGAGTTCATGTGTGACTTCACCTACAACATCAGCGTGATTGCTGCCAACAGCATCTGCAATGTCTCAAAGAGTGACGTCTCGCATCTGCAAGCAGGTGAGGAGGATTTAAGAGATTTAACACATTGAGGCCTTGGAGCAGGATAGGAGAAAAGTGAATATATCTAATTGTATTCTATATACAGTACCCATCCTAAAAACGGAAAGAAAGAAACACGTAGATCTTATGGTTCTGAATTCCATAAGGCTGAAACTAATTTAGGCAAAAACTAATTCTTGGCAGGACTGATATTGCTAACAAAAGATAATTATTGCACCTTTTCTGATCCTGAATCAAATCAAAATGATTGTTTCTGTGCCTGTGCAGTGCCCTGTGTTCCGCAGCAGGTGGAGGCCTGGTTGAATTGTGAGTCTGGTGCTGTGGCTGTCTCCTGGGAGCCTTCTAAAGGAGCATCATCATACACCACAATTGCCCAGGGCAACGGGGGCTACGAGTCAACGTGCAACAGCAGCACGACAACGTGCGTGTTCGATGACCTGCTGTGCGGCCTCAACTACTCCATCACTGTCAGCGCTTCAGATGATACATGTGGCAGCGCTAAAAGCTCTCCGTTGGTGATCAACACAGGTAGAATACCTGTAATAATTAATGTTATATTAAACCTCTTTTTATACATGTCTATGTTCACACTTGTCTGTGTGTGTGTGTGTGTTTGTGTGTGTGTGTAGTGCGGTGCATACCACAGAATGTGAAAGCAGAGATGGTGTGCAGTAATGACACAGGTGTGGTGTCGTGGGAAGAAGGAGAGGAAGTGTCCTCCTACATGGTGCGAGCTTTTGGGCCCGATGGTGACAACATTAATTGTAACAGCACAACAACCAGTTGCCAGCTACCCAACATGCATTGCGGCCAGCTGTACAACCTCACAGTGACAGCTGAGGATGGACAGTGTGACAACAGCAACGCTTACCTCGACCTGCAGTCAGGTAAGATTATCAGTAGGGTAAGTGGCATTTTCTATGCCTATAGAGTTGAGTGAAACAGTTTTTTATTGGTTATCTGACACTAAGTTACATTTAAACACTTTTATTATCTATTTTTAACTAACCATAGATAGTTAACAGTTTAATAGGATTGTTTTGGGCTGTTATTATTAGTAATGGAAGGTCAGTCTCAGATAATAATACATTTGGTCTGAGAGAACGTACTGTAATATAACAGCAAAACATGTGACAGGGCAGCCTAGAGATGAAGATGTTTCATAGACCTGTCCTTTCGGGACCTGGTTAAACACCAGTTGGTAGAATAAAACGTTTTTTATTGGTAAACTTAGAGCTAAACATGTGTGGCCACCAATGTTCCCCTTTTTGCAGTTAGTGGACTTGATGGGTGTGTTAAACTTGCTTTGGAGAATAAGTATGCAACACTACAGTCAGATGAGAATTATCTGTTATTTATATCTCTTTTCCTCAGGATTTTCTCAGGAAGAACAATTTAGTGTTTGATATTTGCTTGATTAGACAGAACATTCCAATGTTTAGAAATATTAGTTATAAAGGAACTATATCGCCTCACTACTCTTTTTCTCTCTCTCCCAGTACCTTGCAGTCCGACTAACGTCAAGGCGTCCCTACTCTGCGACTCAAACTCTGCTGCAGTGACATGGGAGCGAGCCAGTGGAGCACTCACCTATCGTGCAGTGGGCGTGACAGAAGATGGCAGCCATCAGACTGAATGTAACAACACCATGACCTTCTGTGACCTGAGCGACCTGCAGTGTGGACAGACCTACAATGTGAGCGTGTACGCCCAGGATGAGTCCTGCTCCAGTGTGGAAAGCAACAAGGCTTACGTACGAACAGGTATTGTTAACATCTTGTGAAGGCTTGTTGTGACTTTATACAAATAGTCAGAGTATTATGTATTGTTTTATTAATCTTTGCCTCTCCCTGCCTCCCCCCTTTTCTTTTCCTTTCAGCCAATTGTCCACCCCAGAATGTGGTCGTTGATTCACAATGTGATGAAGGCACCATCGTTGTATCTTGGTCCCCCAACACAGACGCCCAGTACTTCCATGTGGCGGCAGTGAGCAACACAAGAGCGAGACTGTACTGTAACTCCAGCGGCACTGCCTGCACCATAAAGGATCTACCATGTGGACAGAGCTACAACGTGACGGTGCTGTCTGTGAGGGATGGCTGTGAGAGTAAGCCCAGTGCTGTGGTAGAGACTTCCTCAGGTAAACCTCAAGCAGAAACCCACTTTTTTGTCAATTCACTGCAATTTATTAGCACAATTGTCAGGATTTAGGACTGAGAGTAGGACAAAATTGCCAAAATAGGCATTGTCAAGATTCTCCACAAGGGGGAATAGCTGCCCAGTTATTTTCAGACCAAAAGCAAGGCTTTAAATCCTGCGCCATCTGACGAAAAGTAAATACATGGGTTCTACAAATTAAACACATGCAGCTACTGAAGGCAATACGTTTTACAACTACCTTTCTTGAGACCAATGCTCAAGATATTTAGAAATAAATATTGGCCGAGAACCAGCGATGGGATTACAAACGAAAATAATCAGTCCTTATAGATGGTGGATATCCACATGAACTACAGCTGCTGTTGTTATTTTGAATGCCTGTACAGTATATGATACACGTTATCCGCAGATGTAAAGTGTGAAGGTGTAACGTTCTGATTTCCCTCCACAGCTCCATGTGTGCCCAGGAACATTGAGGGCCGACTGGACTGTGTATCCAACAATGCCTGGGTGACGTGGGACGCCTCAGAAGGAGCCCTCAGCTACTCTGTACTGGCCACGGGGGTCGGAGGTCACAACTCCAGCTGCACTTCCACCAGCTCTCCCAGTGCTGTCCCTGATCTTGAATGTGGGACGCTTTACACCATCCACGTCACTGCCGTCAACAAACACTGCCGCAGCAATCACAGCGCCACCTTTGAGCTTGAGACAGGTATTCAACATGATTCTCTTCTCTCAAAATAACAATTCAAAGTGCTGGCTTGTTGTCTTTAAAACTCTTCTAGAAAGTAATCAAGTAAACATTGTATCGTATTAATATATTACCAAACACACTCTTAATGTTGTCTGGGACATAACTGTTACACTGACATCACGGGTCTGTGGTTCCCACCCTTTTTAATATTTTCAATAGCTTCCATGTCATGTGACTCCATATCAATGCAGCATAATACGATAGTAAAGTTCTGGACTATTTCATCAAAACAATGCATTAAAACACTAAACACAACTTGTCCTTTGACCCCTTGATTGTTGATAATATTGATGAGAGCAGCTTCAATTCAAATGTTTCCAGTATTCGAGTTATGGCAGTTAGTTTCGGTTTTATTTGTGAAATGAATAGTGTTAGATTGGGAGGTGAGAACAGCATGTTGTGGGGGAGTGAATAGTTTAATGGGAGAGTTGATAATTAGGAGTTAGGATTCCTTTACAATGAGTAGTGTTCCCCCCACTTTACAGCTTGTTGATCAAGCAGAGATGTTCCCTTCTAAAACCACAGATTGTTTAATTGAATAGTTGTCTGTAATAAAATTGTTATATAAAATAATAATTTTTGAAGGAGAACAAGGTTTTTTCTTCACTTTTCTATCCCTTGAATCATTGTGTAACCTCTCAAATTAATGTTATGACCCATTGGCCCCTACTGTATGTTGAGAGCAGATTGATTGTTTGAACTGATCATCTGCAATATAGTTTTTAATTTTAATTGGAGCTTTATAATATATTATCTTATCAAATGTACATCTGCTTACTCAAAGGGAAAAAATCATCAGTGATATCGAAAGGAATATAAAAGTATGTGATGGTTTTAAAGGGCTTATGAAGGACTAATGCTATAACTCATAAAGGCTTATAACATGATGCCATTTCTGAAGGTTATGAAAGAACAAGACATTAGGAGAATACCAGGCTTAACTGTTCTAAAATGTACTTGACTCTGACTTATTTTATTGAGTATTTCATACTGCTTGTGTTTGAATCCTCACGCTATCCTTTTTCTTATGCGTCCTGTCCCATAGGTCCTTGTGCTCTCTCATCTATTAGCGCAGTGATAGAATGCAACAGCAGCACGATCCTGGTTGAATGGGAAAAGATGGACGACACACCCCTCTACCTGGTGACCGCTGAGGGCCACGACCAAACCCTCATTTCCTGCAACAGCTCCTCCAACTCCTGTGTACTGCCGGATATCCACTGTGGCATGCATTATAGCATCATAGTATCAGCTTCTTCTGATAAATGCAGCAGCCTCAGAAGCCCTCCAAAGAAGATCAAAACTGGTAATTAATTCGCCAGTATATCTAGAACTAGCGTTTCTCTTAGTCCTGGGTCAGTTACTCCTGGATGTGTTTATCCTGTTTAGTCAACCACATCCTGTTTTTATTTAGAAAAGTTTTATTTAAATAGAACGACGAAAGGCGTTTTAGTCTTATATTAGTCAAACCTATTTCACGTATAATTGTATTTCCCTTATTATCCTATCATAAATACAGATACTCTTCTTATTTGGTTCCTCCTGACTTGGCTCTTTGGTGATTTGTATTATGCACAAATATTAAACTACCGAAACCCGACCACACGACAGACAGAAAGGGACTTTTTAAATTGAAATAAAATAAGAAAAACTCTATTTATAAGAATTGTATGTAAAGTAGTTATATGCAAAACTATTTTACAAGACATGCTTGAGCAGGGCATTTGAAATTGCCTCAAACTATACATAAACTCAATCTAGTCTATATACAGTAATGGATAGATTATTGGCAATGCAGTGTGTCAAGTTTTTCTAGTTGCCAGGGGTATTGTTATTGCTGTTGTTTCTTTATGATATTTATGTGAAATTAATTATTTCGTGGACACCCGGGAAGAGATAAAGCAGCTTGTAATATAAAAATAAAACAGAACCATAAAACGTTTTCTCTGCCCTCCTTAGCGCCCTGTGTCCCGGACAATGTGACAGTGGAAGCATCGTGTGAGGAGAATGGGGCCACAGTGATGTGGGGACCCTCCCCTGTGGCGAAGTCGTTCCTCCTGACAGCAACAGGGAGGGACGGACATGTTGCAAGCTGCGACACCTCAGAGAACAACTGCACCCTGACTCACCTGCACTGTGGACAGCTCTACAACTTAAGCATCACTGCCAGTGGAGACAACTGCACCAGCCAGCCCAGCACCTCAACCTTCAGGACAGGTAGAGACACGATGGGATATTTGTATTTATAGGACATTAAAGTGGTATATTGAAATCTGACAACAAGACAATTGAAACATCAAAGAGTGGAGGTAAGGAGGATTTTCCGGCAAGACATTTTCTATTATGATACTCCAATATTCATAAGTTATCAATTTTCAGGGTTTGAAAAAAAGCTTTTACTATCGTTTACTATTATTCTGTATATTCATCAATATAATTAACAATATGTACCATTTAGCTGCTACTTTCTACAGTTTTGTTTCTACTTACTACACTGAATTTTACTGGACTATACACTTTACTAGTTACCTCTCCTAGTTAGATGTATCTCTCCCTTTCAAATCTTAGCCAACAAGGATGAGTTAACATTATTGCCAAAAATGTAGAACCTGCAAACCAACTTTTCCTGATCAAATCTCTGATTGGAGTTATTTCCTCTCTGTGGTCGCAGTGCCCTGTGAGCCTTCCGGTCTCGCAGTGGATATGGATTGTGAGGCCAACTCTGCCATGCTGTCTTGGGATGCCAGTGAGGGCGCTGTGGAGTACTTTGCCTGTGCCCAGTCTATGGATGGAGAGGCGTTCTACTGTGAAAACACTGCAGCTTCCTGCACCATCGAAGGCCTGAAATGCGGAGGCGTTTACAATTTCTCTGTTGAAGCTTCAAACGGCGTCTGCAACAGCTCGTTCAGTCCACCTCTGCAGGCGGGAGCAGGTAAAACAAATTGATATTCACCATAATGGGTCAAACTAGTTGATTTAGTTCATTTTTACACAAATAAACGTAATTGTTGAGTGGTGAATATATCAAAATGAGTCCTAGCAGAAAGTACAGAGAAAAAGTGTATGTCATGTTTTCAAAGGGATACATTTAACAAGTAGTTGCTCTGAAGAACAAGGGCTAGAAATGTTTTCTTGGCTAATTTAACTGGTAAAATGCTCAACTTATCTCTCCCTCCTTAGCTCCATGCCCTCCAACTGGCGTCAATGTCAGAATACAGAAGATAGACCAAGGTCACTGGGCCATGACGTCATGGGACAGCGTCAACTGTTCTGATGTTGAGTACCAAGCGAAGATAACCGGCCGAATCCAAAACAACCCACAGTCCCTGATGGATGTCTCTTCTTACTGGCTGCCCAGGAAATACTTTGAGTTCCCAATGCCTTGCAGCACCGCTTATAATCTCACTGTACGCTCCAGAAACGCAGCTGCAGCCAGCGGACAACCCAGTGCCTTTAGTGGAGTCACAGGTAATGCTAGACTGCAATTAACCCCAACCTTATATACAATAGAAGATTCATTGTTTTTTTTAACTTATAAATATTTTTATTAAAAATAATCTTCCTTTCTCTTTTGAGTTTAGATTTACGTGGAAAAAAGGTCAACACTATACTCTTCTATACTCTATCATTTATTTGGAGTATACACACATTAAATACCTTGCTTAAAACACACTAACATGTAATTAGATATACTGAAAATAGTTATTTATGTATTTGTCATAAATACAAATTTGGAGGCTGATGTATAGCAATTGTGAGAATATAAAACATATAAGAGAAGTTTTAATTGTTGACAAATTATTAACATTTTTAAACACTAATTTGTCTTTATATCAGCTTAAAACTAGTTATTTTCTGTAACACAATTACAGTATGACCATTTATTTATGTTGGTAAACTACTTATTAATGTGAAATGGGCCTGAAATTAAGCCTTCAAATTATGATCGATGTTTTAAATGTAACAACAGTCATTATTTTAACTTCATTTCCACTGTGTTCCCAGTCCCCTGTGCTCCGCAGAATGTGCAGTTCACCGGTGACACAGACTCAGCCGAGCTTTCCTGGGATGCGTCAGTGTTTGCCACGAGATACAATGTCTACAATTTGTCAGGGGAAGATCGAGTTGAGCTTTGTAGCACCACCGGGCTCTCCTGTCAGCTTACCAACTTCGATCCTGACGCCACTGGAGTAACGGCCAGCAATGAAGAGGGAGAGAGCATCCTTAACCAAGATATTACAGGTGAGACAGGCAGGGCCAAAACATCAGACATGAAATATCTGCCTGGCTCTCACAGAAAAAAATAATGAGGTGTGTGTTTAATGCATATTCCTCACCTTCCTTAGGTCCAGCAGTAGTTCGCAGAAGAAGAGATTTGCAGGACAGTGCACGCTATGCCAGTTTAGACAAAGGTCAGTGTAGTGTTATTACTGTACATCACCTTGAAAAAGTATGTACTATGATCTGTACTATAAAACAACTGGTAATATCTTACCCATCTTTCTCACAGATCTAAAAATCCCGAAAGTGCTGAATGTAAAAGTAAGTGGACTTTCCTTGTATGTGAATTGGACGTCAGTGAAGGATGCAACCGAGTACAAAGTTGTGATCGAGGAGCAACAGAAAGACCAGCAGGCCAATCAGCAACCTAGAGTGAGAATCGTGCAGGGTAATTTTTACAAAGAGAACGACCTCAAGCCGCGGACCAACTACTGCATCAGGCTGGCAGCCAAAAACACCGTCAACCAAAGTGAATACTCCAAGCCAATCTGTAGAACCACCGGTGTCTCCTCATGAAAAATCATAGATCCACTTAAATGGACACTGGACTCAGCAGAAATATCTTCTTAATTGTTATATGTTTGTTTTCTTGACTCTATAGCATCCTTAACACCATTTGAAAGGTTCAATCTTTAAGAAACTTTAAAAGGAAAATTGTAAAAAAGAAAGTTATTACTACAAAACTACAAAACAATGATTCTGTTTCATCTCAAGAATGCATCACGATCAAACCAGGCGAAACATTTTAGATTTGAATGCTTATGAATCAATTGTTTTAGTAATAGCATATATACTTTTTCATAACTGTGGCTGGTATCCTAGAATAACAAAGTATTGCTGAATATTGTATTTATCAAAAATGGATTTATTTTTAAGATTGACCATTAGATTCTGTGGATGATTGATAAACTAGAAAAGTAGTATACAAAATAAACTGGTAATTTATCAAGCAATATTTTTCAAAGCCATTCAGTATATATTCTTAATGATGTCCTATGTGTCTTCTCACTTTGTGAACACTTTTACAGATATTGAGTAAAATAAATCTGTGAAACATTAAAATATCCCTCTGTGTAAACAAAGATGTTTGAAACCTTTCTTTAAAAAAAAAAAAATCTAAACTTAATGTGTGTGTGTCTGAATCCATCCAAAACTAGTGAGCTGAAAAGTTCTTGCAATCTAATAATCCTATTCTTGAGTTGAGACATTTATCTCTTAACTCCTTTATTCCAATCATCTTTCATGTTTCCTTCCCTCTCTATCTCCATCTTGTTCCTCCCCAGACACCTTTTCCCATCAGCTTTTTAAAGGTCACCTATTATGCAAAATCCACTTTTTCATGTATTTTATATATACATACAAATGTGTCCCCTTTCTCTCAATTTGTCCTGATCCATCTGTACAAAAACCTGTCGGAAAATTAGCTGAGATTTTGGCCACTTTGTGTGCAACCATTGGCCAATAACCAACCAAGGTAACACCCGCCCAACTTATCACCTGAATCTCCTCGTAGAGCACCATTGTGTTTTTTTTTTTTAAACCAATCATCTCGAAGAGAACCATGGGGTGTGGCCGGTGTGGCAGTTCATTTGTATTTAAAGCTTAAGACACAGAATTAGCACTTTTGAAACAGGGCTGAAACAGGGGTTTATGGCATGCTACAATTCATGATATGTTTGGTATGTCGAGCCAAACACTTCAGAGACATGTTTAGTATATATCTGAGGCCTCTAATATATTGTTGAGAAAGAGTATAATAGGAGACCTTTAACTTTGAATGATCAACTATTCCATTACCATTCACTCTCCCACAACATGCTGTTCGCACTACATCCCTTTTGAACTACCACTTTTCATTATGCATTCCACAAATAAAACCAAAACTATCTGCCATAACTCGAAGGTTGGAAACATTTGAATTAAACCTGCTTTCATCAATATTATCTACGCACAATGGGTCACAAGGTTATGTGTGACTCCACTTCGAGCGATATAACTATTAACAAAGCACTTATATACTAATAAAGGACTGGCTTATCTAAAGCTAGTTGAGTAGCACTTGAAATGTTTGGCTCTATGAAACCTGATGTACTTATATGATTCTGTTTTCTTCAAGGTTGTGTCTTCCTGGTCGAATGTACTTATTGTAAGTCGCTTTGGACAAAAGCGTCAGCTAAATGCAATGTAATGTAATGTAATGTTGAGTCAAAGAACAAGTTGTATTTAGTGTTTTTAATGCATTGTTTTAATGAAACAGTCCAGAACTTTACTGTTTTGTATAAAATAGAAGGTTGACTACAATCCAACAATATACTACTTGTCCAGTGTAGTAATACAATGCTGCATGATTTGGAGTCACATGAAGCCTATTGAAAAAATTGCTGAATTTGAATTAAAGTATTCATTAAACATTTTTTAAAAGAGGGCAAAAACCATGGCAAAAACCCAATAAAAAGAAAAGTGTCCAACTCGTCCAATGTATTCATACCCAATGCTGCATTAATTTGGAACATAATTGTGTACCAGGCCAAGCAGAATGTGTATGTATGGATAAGGTAAGTCAATAGATAAGCAAAAAGCAACAAAAAAAACAACCACAATAAATAACATAATTCGTGATAAATTACCAGTTTATATTTCAAACTTAATATCTGGAAAGGTTTGGAGCACTTGTATTAGAAAGTGAGTGCATAATAAAACATGGTTGAGCTGAAACAAAATCAAATAATCTCCAGTCCTGAGAGCACTAGTTTTTGAAGGCTACTGACCTTTAATATCAGAAATCAGAAACAGGTTTATTGCCAGGTAGGTTCTATGAGATGAGACAGAGCCGTATAATAGGGCTCTGAGATGAGAGTAACAAATGCGTCACTTCCGGGCAAAAATAACGGCTCCGCCCACCTTTTGGGGAAAACAACGCTGTCAGTTGAACGGCGGTCAATACAAATTCTGAAGTTTTTGCCAATCCGATCAGAAATTAAAGAAAACCGGAGATTTTTGGATCTTCAAAGAGCCCGATTACAATGGCCAGACAGGCAAACTATTACATTAAATCATTGGAAAACGACGATCGGGCTGGTTAAATTAAAAGCAGCAGGCGGGGCTGTCATTTCGCCAGCTGTTGTGCGAGGCGGAAAATAATTGTTTTATGATGCCAAAAAGCTGCTGTGTCGTGTATTGCACCTCAAACATACAAAAAAAACCCGGAGTTACGTTTTTCTGTACTTCCTCTAAGAAAAAGGGACAGTAAAAGAAGAGCTCTGTGGCTTCAGGCTATTCACAGAGGACGAAAATCACAATCAATGGGACCCGGCCAGTCAATACTGTACGTCTGTGGTAAACACTTCATCACAGGTAAATGATGATGCTAACGAGGCTAATATCAATCGTTGAAGTAAATAGATGTAATGTTAAAAGTTTAAGAAGTGGAAGTAGATGCTGTATTGAAATATAAAAAACGGACAAACCAAGGAAATTAGCCTGCTGCCTGTACACACAGGGTGACATTAGAGAACAGCTCATTTGGCTCAGACTGAAGCAAATTTATCAATTCATTTAAAAGTTCAAATTGGTGAATATTGAGCGAAATGGGGGGGTGGGGGGCGGGTCATTATCAAAACAGTCATTATGGTAATTTTTTTATGATCTACATATTTTATAGGCGCAGTGAACTTAACCAAAAAACTGTCAAGTTTGTCTCTGTATTTGGCTAACACCTACCTTCATGGTTTAAGGATACCATGTGAATGACGGCGAGCATCCAGATTATGTTCCATCCATATTCCCACAACGACCATCGTCAGAAGGCTCTAAGAGGCTAAAGCGATACCAAAGGAGATATGCTGTTTCTCAGCATGAGGTCCTGCCAGCAAAAAGGCAGCGAATAAAGCCACCTACAGAGGCTTCTCCTTCTGAAACCCCTGAATATTTTAATACAGCCTATCCTGAAGCCCCTTTCACTGAGGATTCACTTCCTCAGCCCTCTGATGATTATGAACTGAGTGACACGCCAGCATTACATAGGCAGCAGGTTTCCATTGCCATAGAGGTTGCCAATCTCAGGAGAGAAAGAGATGAGGCAAGAAGAGAAAGAGATGAGGCAAGAAGAGAAAGAGATGAGGCAAGAAGAGAAAGAGATGAGGCAAGAAGAGAACTCCAGAACTGGTCTAAGGAGCGTTTGTCTGTTCATGCTATTAAAGGAAACGACAGTGCATGCAGGGCCATGACTGGGCTCAGCTGGTCAGTTTTTGACTGTCTTCACCGATATTTAGTTCAGTTCATCAAATCATCACCAAAAGGTTTTAGATTGTCTACCCAGGACCAGCTCTTCCTTTGCTTGCTCAAGCTACGCCAAAATCCATCGATTGCTTTGCTGAGCCAAATACTACACAAACCAGAACCCACCGTCCGCCACATATTCCAACGTTGACTGAATCTTTTGTATGCGAAAATCACTTTCCTCATTCACTGGCCTGACAGGGAGTGCATCACCCAAACCATACCACCAGTGATGAAGGCCAACTTTCCGCGCCTCACATCAATTATAGATTGCTTCGAGATCAGAATTGAACATCCAAAAGCCCTTAAAGCCAGGTAAAGGTGCCAATATTTATGGGTTAGCCAGGTAGCTTTGACAGTGTTCGTACACAGGTCTGAATAAGTAATACGAATGAGTTTGATCATTTACAGGTCTTGTTTTTTTAAATGTATTCTCAGATAGAGGGATGCTTATTGTACCCAGCCGCTGCATGCATCATATCAAATATTAAATGTATTATTGAAAACAAATAAAGGTCCATTAAAGGTTTGAAATCTTAAACTTGAAAATGAGTCCTGTTCATCTAACCGTGTTTTTGTTTCTTCTTTTCAACAGGGCAAAATCATACTCTAATTATAAGAAGTGGACTACAGTCAAATATTTCATAGTGTGTAGTCCTGCAGGAAACATCACCTTCTTGTCCAAAGGTTGGGGAGGAAGAGCATCAGATGTCAAGATAGTTAGGGAATCTGGCTTTATTTCACCCCTCTACCACCATCCTGGGGACCAGGTAATGTTTCATCTTACATAAAGTGCACATATTCTACACTAACAGTTCATCACATGCATTTTCTTGGTAATCATTATGGACAAGTGTTGTTATTTACTGTTTGACTGCAAACATTAAAAGCAAAAGGCCTACATCTTATGCATTACTTGTTTTAGATCTTGGCTGATCGGGGTTTTACTCTGAAAGATGAGTTTGCCTTACTTGGTGCCAGTCTCGAAACCCCAGCCTTCACTCTCGGCAGGAAACAACTCCCAGGCAAAGACGTTGAAGAGTCAAGAATGAAATCAAAATTTCGAATTCATATTGGTAAGTATACATTCATTATCCACAGACTGGTAAACTATTGCACATATCAATATGATGGAAAATAAATTAACTCTTTTACTAAATTAAGTTATATAAAAAACAGCACTAACGGACTGTAGCAAATTGTATAACAGTGCAAACAAAGTACTTAACAAACAATTACTGAGAACAATGGTAAAATGTGAAGTTTTATACTTGAAAATATTTTGAAACAACTGATGGGTGAACAGAACGGGTGATCGGTGTGCTGAAGCGAAGATTCCACATTCTGGATGGGCCGCTCCCTGTTTGCTTCGTAAAGACCCTGCGGGACGAGATGGAGAACAGGGATGTAGCCACCATTGACAAGATAGTACATACCTGTGCCACCTTGGTCAACATGTCAGGTAGCATTGTGTTCAATAAAAACAGACAGGGGGATGTATAGGTCAAATCAGTCCTGCTGTCTTTTCTCTTTGAGTCACTTAGTTTGGGCCATGGCAGCAAAAGAACAACTCTTCAATGACTATCCTTCAGCTTTTTAAATCGACCTTACTGCTCTGCTCTCCTTCCAGGAATGACAGTTGACACCACGTAATTATTCTGTAAATGTAAATAAACTATGTATTAGGAATTGTCTTAGCTAGTATTAACCTAACAGCCACCTAACAACAAATGCTCGCAAATGTTAATGAACTATAATTATAAATAATTGTTTAGGTTTTGTGTTTTACCTGAAGCTCCTGTTCTGTGTCTGACACAGCACTGTCTGTTGACTCCTGAAATTGTTATACATAATTTGTGATTATTTGTATTGTTTCATAATATTTGTGTGCCATGTATTACATAGTATAAAGATATAACAGACAGTGTATTTGCAGTCTCTAAGGAAAATGTTTTATACCTGAAGCTCCAGCTCTGTATCTGGGATTGTGGTTCCCGCCAGCTGTGGGTAGATGTGCCTGGCCCAAAAACGGCTAATGGTGTCCACTGCCTGACACTGAAAATCTTCATCTTGTTGGACACGGAAGATAACGGTTTGCTTTGGCGTCCAGGTGATGAAGTCTGCATAGGTTGTTTTGCACACAAACATCTGCATCTGCACCTGTAAAAAAAAGAGGAAGAAAAAGTACAGCATAGACTCCAACTACTTACCTGCAATTAACAAAACACAGATAATACAATTCCTTATGAGTTGTTATTTATTGTATTACCTGGGTGTAGTAGCTGTGGTTGGTCCTCAGCGACAACAAAGTGTCCAGATGTCCTCTCTTGTCTGCTGGCCAGTGATCAGCTGACAAATCACTATTCCACTTCAAGGGGCACTTTACCTCAACCACCCCCTTTCCACAGCAAACGCAGTGTACATAAGCATCACAGCTTACACCAATGTAGGGCTTCTCTCTGCACACTCGGAAGCCTGCCCGTTGAATACTGATGCTTGTGTGGGGTTTATATATGTCACTGGAGATGTTAAAGTGGGTGCTGTATATGCAGTTGTAAGACCCAGTGCATACTTGTATGTCTCAATTGCATCTTTTTCGTGTTCCCTACCCCAAATGATGCCTGGTGTTTTCAGCGGATTTTTGCGTGACTCTTTCTGCACAATATCCCTCAGCAGTGATTTTGATGGTTTCTCAAGAGATGTGTGGATAACTCTGTGTGCTGATGTACCTGTTACCCTCCCAACCCTCTGCTGGTGCCAAGATGAACATTCTGCCTGGTCTTTTGTCTCTTCCTCTATTGCCTGTACCTGATCATCTGAACATTCTGACAGATGTTGGTACCAAGGCTTTGGTTTGAAAGGGTCTGCAAAAGCCTTGAAAGTGCTCAGACCAACAGGCAGTTCTCCTGAGGCAGACAGCATTTCCAAGAACTGTTGTTTATTTTCTTCATTCGCCATTGGAATGACCCTGCAGTTTGTTCCTGTGTCCCTTTTTTTGGCTTTGTCTCCATAGAAGTCTATATTGATGACCATGTCTGCCTCAACTTTTTTCGTGCAGACTTTATTCCAGGCACAGGCGATGCTGGTTGGTGCCACACTTGTATATCCAAGACGAACTGATGCCTCCAACTTAAAAAGCAGGGCTCCGACATGGGAACAGCTTTCTCCTAGTCTAGAGTAAAAAATATATTTTTTAAATAAATACTTTTTCACCAAATAACAAAAGCATTTCTTCCCTTCTGAAGGATTACATAGGTGGCATTGTGACTGTACTATTAGTGTTATGCAGTCAGCTTACCCTGCCATGCAATCACAGTGAGCAGCTGTGACCTCTCCAGTCTTGTTAACAGCAACCCAGGTGTTGTGGGGTTTATCTGTAACTCTCCATGATGGCTTTACATGGGTCTTGAAGACTGTTGTGTCAGCACAGGGTTTGTGGTGAAGAACCACATCCACCCAGCCACTGGTAAAAAAGGTATGTGCTTCCAGAGACCTGAAGTTCTTCATTGAACTTGCTGTGTAAATCCCTAGAGGACAAGTTAGCAGACACACATCTCTAAACCTGCTCTGTCACATCTAAAAACATTTAAAAAAAACATTAGTAGTACAACCATGGGCAATGATAGTGAGATTATAAAGATAGACTATAACATAAAATCGTCAATTATCAACCCTACCTATAACTAGATGCTATCATTAATTAGCTTGGTAAACCCCCTATTTAACACGTTATTGTATAACACATATTTATAGTTTAAACAGTAACGCAAATTGGACAGACTATTACAACGGACAAATAATGTGTCTTAATGACGTCCTATACAAACTACCTGGAGATTCAATGAGGTAGTTATAGATGTCAGGATATGACACCTCAGGCCATTGAGTCGGATCATTTGTCCACTGGTCCACCGGCAGACTGAATGGACATTGATCGCCTACTGCTTTTAATTTAATCATATATCGAGCCCGATCGTCGTTTTCCAATGATTTAATGTAATAGTTTGCCTGTCTGGCCATTGTAATCGGGCTCTTTGAAGATCCCAAAATCTCCGGTTTTCTTTAATTTTCTGATCGGATTGGCAAAAACTTCAGAATTTGTATTAACCGCCGTTCAACTGACAGCTTTGTTTTCCCCCAAAAGTGGGCGGAGCCGTAATTTTCGCCCGGAAGTGACGTAGGTGTTACTCTCATTTTTAGGCCTACTAGGAATTTGACTTGATGTGGTGCATACATAAAAAACAAGAAATCTAATATAAAACAAAAAATATTTTGCACCGTAATAAAATATAGTTAAATAGCAATACAAATAAAGCAGTAATTTACATGGAAATAGAATATTAACCAAGGTTACCTCTACTGAAGGCCAGCTGATACAATTATACAAATCCTGCTTCCAAGTAGCATTTTACACAGGAAAAACATAATGTATTATTGGTTGGGAAAGACCACAGACTCAATAACAGCGCCTTCTTGTGGACGGCGGGGCTGCCTGTGGTTAGCTTAATACAACTTGAAGTTGAAGATGGAGCCAATGTTCACTCCGGCGCTGCACAGACAGAGACATCAGTTTGTCATCGATTTTGTCAAGAGGAAGAAACCCAAAAAGGTAAGTAAGTGAGAAACACACTTTATCCAACATTTTCTAACGATATCGCCGTAGCTCTTTTCTGCATGCACCGCACGTGAGCTAACCTTAGCTTTATTCGCACAACATAGCTAATTCAATTTATTAGCATTCGGCTAAACTGAGTTTTGTTTTATGTTATAAAATTAACATTAGTTATGTGACTTCTACGGACCAGCTTACACTTAAGTCACAAACATATTGTTTCTCCCTGCTCCACCACAGGTGTTGGACTTGGGCTGCTGTGAGTGCGTTCTTCTGAAGCAGCTGAAGTTTCACCGTGAAATTGAACTGCTGGTTGGACTGGACATCGATGGTGTCCAAATAAAAAAAAAGATGTAGGCTACGTTTATTTAGAAAATCAAAATGCATGAGTTAAATATCTGGGGAGAGCCTTTATTGATTATAAATGTTACGATATGGCAGATTTATGCAGAGGTGAAAACAATTATTGGTCGAGTTTATCAGCAGAAAATGTAAATATTGGCTGGATGTAGCTTTTTAGATGTGAATACTTTAAAATACATTTGGATATGAATTGTACAACCTATAGAAAATGTGATGGCCATTTTTCACTTTAAAGTTTAAAATGATCAAACAATTTGACGATTATAACACTAAATACAGTTATTTGCAACCCAAGATGTATGCAAATGCATCTCAAATAGTGAAATTGATGGTCACTGCAATGCACCTTTCCACCACCATGCATTTCACTTTATTGTTGTTGTTGTTTTGATCAGTTATACTGTGTGGATTTATAATGTGTGCACCTTGCTTGTATGTCCTTCAGGCATGGATTAGCTCCTATATCAACTGACTATCTGCAGCCAAGTTATGATCAGCTGCGCATCGAGCTGTACCAGGGCTCCGTCACTGAGAAAGACTCACGCCTCAGAGGATTTGATCTGGTGACCAGTATAGAGCTGTAAGGGAGTGTGTGGTTGTTGCAGTTCAATGTCTTCAAGGTTCCTTCTTTAGCACCTGTTAGTATTTTTGTTTGTAATTTACCTATATGGTGTTGTCTTTTTCCGCACTATGTTCACCTAACCATCTATCGTTGAGGTGTTTCTATCTATCAGTCATTCGACCCATGATCTGAACCCCATGTTTCCTCCCTGTCTGTCTGCAGCATTGAGCATCTCACTCTTGCTGATGTGGAGCTTTTCTCTGAGGTGGTGTTTGGTTACTTGACCCCTGAGGCGGTTATCGTCAGTACCCCAAACTCTGACTTCAACCCCTTTCTCCCTGGACTTGTGGGTTTCAGGCACATTGACCACAAGTTTGAGTGGACCAGAGCAGAGTTCAAGTCCTGGTAGGCAGGTTTCTCATTTTCAGACTTAGAGTGTAGCGAACAGCACTACATTGATCGTGTTGATGAGGATGGTAGTGACAGGGAATGTAAATGGATACATTTACTCTAAAATACAGCAGCACTGTACACTGTAGATATTTGGTATTGTGGTTTTTATAGTATATTTTTTCAGATTGTATTGATATTTTTATGTTATGAATGTATGTTTTTGACTTTTGCATTACTTTGCCTGCATTTTCTATTTCCTCTTATGTTTATTGTATTCAAGGCCAATTATTTCTAAGAGAAAACCTACATGGCTACCTTATTCTGATTCTATATACCAGTGGCGAATCGTGTCTATCACAACTGGACCTTCTGTAGACACACACACACACCCCCCCCCCCCCCCCCGCACCGTTATAATATCCGTCTTTTCACTGAATTGCAGTCTTGAAAAGGGTACTCGCAACAATTCTGCAACTACTTCATCTTCACCTGTTGCACAAGAATACGCCCATTGGCTACAAATCAATATATGATTGGTTGATCAAACTGTCAGTCCAAACGTACGCTCTCATTCAGTGCAACGGCCAGGGCATTCTATCAAGGATGTAGAATACCTTGGTTGAAGGATATTCTACCCAGAGACCCAGAACAAGATCTGATTGGTTGCTTTCTTTTCTAACACAAAACCACTGAAATGCGTAGTGCATGGTCCGAGAAGGACAAACAAATCAACGTAACACTGTAATATTACAGATCAACAACACGGATACCATTCTCATTTAATCATTTTATATACATTTTATTTATATAATTAAATTGATTTTTTTGTTTGTTTTATCTGAGTGTTCCAGGGTATTCTCTGAATACCTTGAAGGCCCTGACGGTTCGCCACTGCTATATATATATATATATATATATATATATATATATATATATATATATATATATATATCCCCTAATGAAGGAAAGAAGAATCTAACTGTATTTTGTCAACATTACAACCCTCCTTAGGGCTATGAAGGTGTGTTTGCAGTACGGTTATGGGGTGGAGTTAACTGGTGTTGGACAGGCACCTCCAGGTCAGCAGGAGCACGCCGGCTTCTGCTCCCAGATCGGTGTGTTTCACCGTCTCGGGGGCAAAGAGCGTTACAACATGTTTGATGAAGATGCTGAGGATGTGTTTTCATACACTCTTGTGAGTAAACAAGAGGCAGATATCCAGTCTTCAAAGAAACAACCTGTTGCTATCTAACTGAATAATGGTGACTTTGTCCCCCTCGTTCCCTCCCTGCATATTTCTGGCTGCCCATTATTTCCACTACAAAGTAAAGGCAACAGAAGTATAACATGTTTTTTCTCGCTTGGTTGTTGTAATTTATTATAATGTATTCAACTTACAAAAGCTTTCTGGTTGTCAGTGGTTGTTTACAGAATCCCTTTAGGCTGGTAGCTCATTATTAGATCAACGTAGATTGAAGTACTGATGAAACGTCTTTACAATGACCCTTCTCTTATAACTAACCTAAACTGCATATAAGCCTGAGGCACACATACTTCTCCTTGATTTTTTATTATTTATCTTATTATATTTGAGTAAAATAGATGTTTATTTTTCAGCTGTATAGTATAATCTACCCCAGCCTGCATGACAACAACATCTTGCGGAGGGTCCTGATGTGTGAGGTAGTTTACTGGGCGGAGAAGCTGAAGAGAAGATGGATCGCAGAGGAGACTGGCGAGAGGGATGACACAGATGATCTGTGCCAGGCTGAGGGTGAAGGGGGGGAATGCTTCAGAGCATCGGAGAGACATGTGGACACTGAAGAGACACAGACGGGTGAACAACGGGCCTTAAAAGGTTGTATACAAATTTGGTTTGAAAATCCTTGAGGTGATTTTTGTCAAACCCTTGTGTGTGTTTTCTCTAATTAAAAGATTTCTGCAGGATATCATTGTGCCTAGCAGCTTAAGTTACAATGTTCCTTAACAGATAAACAATTAGTCACACACAAACTTAATCATTTTCTTAAAAAACATTTCACAGCAGCATGTGGAGCAGAGATGAAAACCCTGGTGGATCAGGAAGAGGAAGATGGAGAGCTGTTTTGGAGACACAGCAAACCGGATTCTGACAAATGGCGCAGGTGAGTTTCCTAAAGCAAGATGAAGATGAGTTATAAGCAGGGGTGCACATACATTTTGGGGTGCACATACATTTTTTGCCCTGGTTCTCAAAGGAGCATCTGGAGATGTTGCTTGGTGCGCATCCTTAAAATGAAATAAACCGGACCTTTTGAGGGGTACTTGACTTTATGAGCAGGGGGGGGAGGTGCGCTAGTGAGCACGCAGCAGGGTTGTGCGGAGCGCATAAAGCAGACCCTTCACGCGATAGCGAGGGGTAGAGCGAGGGATCGCAGATGCCGTCGTCCTCGTGGACGGAATTTTACTCGCGAATTATACTTTGGCGACCGTTAATATACCTGGGCGGCCCGCCCAAGTAAAGTCTATGTGTGGGAAACCCTGCTATCTTACCAGTTCTTATGCAACTCGCAAATACAACTCTCTCTCTCTCTCTCTCTCTCTCTCTTTTTTGGCGGGGGGTGCGCACCAGTTATGTGCAGCCCTGGTTATAAGGCCGTTTCTGGAATGCAGATCATGAACACAGGCCTTGTTCATGGGTCCTCTCTACTTTTGGCTGGCCGTGAAGATGCTGCCATTCCTGATATACAGTTGTTTCATACATTACATGTTTATCCATCCATGTTACCAACTATTAAAACGAATCAATGTGCCCCAGTAACCTACTGTAGTCTTTCAAACTCCTATATATATAGAATTAGAATTCTGTACAGGTTTTTTTCTTTTTCAAATTTGTATTATTTTTGTTTTAACCCAGTATTACTGCCTAGCTGCAGAAACAGATTAAGCTACACCAAATGAACCATTTAAAACTTTTTTTAGAATTAGTTTCCAGTCTAGCAGCAATTGCAGCAAACTGATTGGTTTAAGAAAAGTTGATTTGATTTAAAAAAGCTTTTGATAGAATACGACGACAGACAAAGCTTCATTTCGAAAACCTCAATGGGAGTTTGAAAGTAAAAGAAATCTAGCACAAATGTCATTATTGATATCCCGGTTGAGAAATATTTCTAAAAATCTGGCATCACCTTATCACCGATAACGCCCCCCTTTGTGTGTGCTGGCAGGCGTGTGTCTGTCCCTCTGGCTGTGCTCTGGTGCTGCTGCCCCAAAGTCAGCGTTCTGAGTGGAAGTGTCAGTAATCTCAGACTCCTCCTGATGGATGAACCCGGAGTTAACCTGAGCCAGGACGGCTCTGCGATGCTCCTGAATCACCAGGAACAAGGTAATGTTACCAACACTTGTGTCTGTGTAAAACATAAATATTTACACCTAGGAGGGAACTTGACCACCATGTTATAACAAAATCTGAGTATAATATGTCATAAAAAAGTCACTGTGAACATCAACTGGACCAGTAATAATAAAATGCTAAAATGTATTTGTTTCCACTTGACCCAAATGAACTGCAGGAGTTAAAGCATCTTTGTTAATTAAGTAGTTCACAAAGTTTGCCCAATCACTAATCTTACAATTTAGCTCATTACACTTCCAAACAAAAGGCATCATGAGCAGAATTGTATTGTGTGTGTATTAGGGCTGTCCCGAATACCATTTTTCGGGCTCCGGGTATTCGGTAGTAATCAGCAGCGAATATTCGGTGCGGAGAGATTTTTTGTTGTAATAAAACATTTTTTCATAACACACTCCGAATCCGAGACACCTGACAACACGCTGTTAAGCAGAAGCGCAGAAAGAGCATACTATTACGATTTATATTTATTGTCTCAGTACTCTCTACATTAAAACGAAATGTGTCCTCTGCATGTAACCCAGCCGCAGTGCAGCGCCCGGGGACCAAATCTGGTTCCAAATTCCGTCTATAACGTTTTACAACCTGAAGATACAAAACACATATTTCTGTTATAACAACAATACTTTTAATAACATAGCCGTAACAGTAGGCCTAACAGTGTAATACTTGTTACCGATACAGTATTTAAATAAGTGAAGAATGAAAAATAAATGAACGAACTGTATGCCAATAATTGCCTTAGCCCCAGATGTTCCCACATTTTCACTATTCGGATACAATTGAAAAACTAATATAAAAAACAATTCGGTTGCTTGCTTGCAACTATTTTCCAAGCAAAGTAAGTGCACGATTTAATCATGTGTAACGTTAGTTTAAACGGCGGATAAAGCAGCTTCATTATGGCAACTTGACAACAGCTAAGCTAAGCTAGGCTAGTACTTACAGCATCCGGTGACTTTTCAGAGTTGTTGTGCCACCGTGGTAGGCCAGTTTCTTGTCGCATATTTGGCACACTGCCTTCTTCTTACCGTAGTCCAATTTAAAATGGTCCCACACAGCTGAAGTCTTCGGCATTTTGTGTTCAGGTGTGTGAAACGAAGTGAAGCGTGCCGTATGCGTTCGTGACTGTAAGTGAACGCGATGTCAGGAGCACATGCTGAGATTGTATATATTTTAACAGTGCAATTCAAAAGTATAAATATAGTATAATAATATGGCAATTCACCTTTATTGATGGCATACATTTAGAAAAAAAAAAAAAATATTGAAAAAAAACGAATATCCGAATAATGAAATTGAAACCTGAATAGTTGGCCAACGAACGAATATTCGGGTACAGGAAATACACATACACACTATGTGTATTAACTGCGGTGCTGCTTATTCTATGAATTTCAGAACTCAAGGTTGTTCTGGTTGTGACAATGTTCCTTCATGTGTGTGTTTCAGACCTTGATGATGATGATGATGAAGAAGAGCATCGTGCTGATTTGGAGGACAGCCCATATGCAGAGGCCCGCCAGTGCCCCCCCAGCGCTGAACCAGAGGAAGACTGGGAGGCAAATGTTTGATCTGAAGTAGGTGACTTCTTGAGTCAGCAATAGTTGACCTTGGTTACTACTGGACAGTCTAAGTGTATTCACATAACAGGCCTTTAGAATAGGAATAAGCTGAAGGCTCAAATGTAAATTGTAAAATAAAAAGTGAGAAGAAAAAGGTCACATTGTAATTGTTTTACATTATACCCAAGTTGAAGTGCAATCTAAAAGAGGTCAAGGTTTTTAACAGTTTAATTCAACAGTGCCATGTACACATTTGAAGCATCCAGTATACTCGTATAGGAAGCAAATGTTGGTCAAAAGCACAAGTCTGTAACAGGAAACACTGGACAGTGTCATAACAGCGCAGAACACCACTTCACAGGAGAATACACTTTACAGTTTTATATAGACAACAGCTTCACAGAAGAGAAGAAGAAACCATGTCTGTAACAACATGTTCGGTACCAAGATGATCACAGGTAAAACTCAATATATTTTATCTAAAAAAAGAAAATAAACTTCCAATAGTTGATATTTGGTTACCATAAATCATAAACTTAATACTGTCTTATGTAGTGAGAACATTTCTTTTCCAAACAATACAATATTTAGCAAAACTATGGCACAATATCAGCAATTTATGATAAAAAAAGAAAAAGTTTTCTTTTATAGATGAGATTTCAACATGGGACATTTACACCAAGCCAACAATGAAAAACACAAAATGAAAACATGGATTTACAGTTACATCATACACGGTGCAGATATCTGCTGTTAACATGACGACAAAATGTTTTCCTACATGCTGAATAGGCAAGCAAAATGGTTCCTTCAATGTGTTCAATATTCAGATTAAAACAAAATGGCACAACATCAAATTAGGACATACATGAATATGTGTCAAGTTCTGCAAGCCAACAAAAGGACGTCTTAATCATGCAGAACACACCAACGTAAAAACAGAACACTGACGTATAGTTAAAACACCATACACTGATGAAGCTTGTGCGGATATTGATATAACAAGTATAGTTTATCTAGAAGAGGAGGTATCCTACCTCTACTATGGCTTATGACGGGAGACAGAAGATTACAGATACTGTACGGTCTGTTATCACTAGTTATAAAGCGGCTAATATTCTCATTATGCATAGGGCTGTCAAGATAATAACAGTGTGTTGTGTACTTTGGCTGATTTGCTTATGAACTGAATACATTGTGCACCTAATCTCCTATTAGGCTGGATGACATTTTCAGTAGATTTATATTGTTTGATGATATTTTAGCACTAATCGTTTATGTATTGATTGCGTCGGTTAATCAGACTGTTGTCAGATCTTACAGTCCAGATGTTCTGAGGTAAAGATACACATTTTTTAAATCTAAAAACAGGTGCAGTTGAGTATTTTCTTCATGGCAGTGGATTACTGAACTAGTCCTTCACTTTACAATCTTTCTCTGTACAATCTTTGAGTGATACAAATTACGATATGCGTCAGTTACACAGGTTGAATTGTTAGTACGTCACAGGATCTTCCATTTGTTCACAGATGGTAGCTTCCTGGTCAACAGGCCAGCTCAGAAAGATGTAGTTAACCTCGCTAAGCAGTTATACATTAGACACATAGCAGAAAAGCTGGGCATTAGATATATGCCCTTTTTTATAGTCGTTTTTATCATAGAAGCCCCTTTTTATGCTCTCTATTTACAGCCCTACAAAGGCAGACAGCTGTCACTTGAGAAGAAAGGCAAACTGCTTAACAGACAACACAGTTGTAATACCTTCATTTGAACAATTAAGGCGGATTATATTACCAATAAAATGAGTTGCCATAGGATTAAGATTATACAAAAAAGAGCAAAAATAAAAACAGATACTGTACTCAGGATAATCTTTAGGGGATTTTGAGAGGAAACAGTTTGTACCATCATGTGTTATTTCAGCTTTATTTTCCTTTTAAACTTGTTTGTTTACTAAAATAATCTTTGTTAAATGTTTATAGTCTTTAGATTATATAATATAAATGTATTTGTTTGTTCTGTTATAATGTATTTATAGTGAAATCATTTATATGTGATTTTAAGGTAGCTTAGTAATACCAACGCACCTAAGTATAAGTAAAAGGCAAAGATGGAGGTAATTAGATCTGCTGAGAGAGTGAGATCAAGAAACTGAATTACTTAGATGTCAGTTATTGTCCTAAAAACCCAAGTTCTGAACAAATGTATTGATTCTGCGCTTGCCTTTGTAGGGCAGATTATTTCTGCAGGATTATTTCTGCAGGATTTACCAAAATAGTGCTCAGCAAACAAATACTAAGTCAGCAAATTCTTATGTTCTCCCAATTTCTCTTTGAAAGTACCTATACAGCAATTCTTACAAGAGATTGTGTTACTGCTAATTATAAAATGTGCCACACACACACACACACACACACACACACACACACACACACACACACACACACACACACACACACACACACACACACACACACACACACACACACACACACAGTCCACTCATCAAATAGCTGATGCCTCTTCTTTGTAGTAAAATATTCTCAATTTCCAAAACTGTTATCAGAGTGCCAACAACTACAACGTTTAAGCAGCGTATAGGTGAATATTAAAAAGAACACCCTATTTGAAAAGGAAGCCTAAAACAAACACTGAGAGACTAAAGGAATGTATTGAAAGCGCATTGCATACTCCTCTTCAGTGTGAATTTCAGTGCCATGATGCACACCAATAACTTGTCTTCTTCAAGTTCCTAAATGTTTAAAATGGGTTTGGTTTGAATGCTCACTGATAAAGTGTGACCTCAAAAAGATTAGTCTAGAAACACCTAGAAAATGAGGCGTGGACAGTTTTCGTTACATGTTATTTTTTCAATATCATATCTGTATGTTCACCTTCTCTGGGAGCTACAGTGTCGAAAAAGACATATGAACACAGGAGGGCGCTGTTGTCATGTCAACCGTTCAGAGTGATCAGGCCCGCTGTAGGAATGCAGATTGATATCGACACAGGCTTGCCTCGATGTCATCGGTGTGAATCCCCATCTTTGAGGCTGCGGGTCTTAACGCTTTATCACCACCTGCTCATACGCTCCAGCACCAACCCTGGGATAACCGGAAAAGACAAAGTTAACTTGCATATCTCACCAGGTCATTATTTAAATATCAGTAAAATGCACTAAAAGTTGGGTTAACTTTCCTCTGGTAGTCAGCTCTTTATTATGTTAAAATATGTTTTAACCTCTCACCTGCCCCTCAGTGGGTGGTTGTGCTGTTTTATATACTGGGCACCATGCCAGGCTAAGCTATTCTCTACCTCTGACCTAACCTACTTTAAACTAGGGCTGCTCAATTAATCGTATTTTAATCGCGATTACGATTATGGCTTGCAACGATTACGAAAACAACGTAATCGAAGTAAAACGATTATTTTTTATTATTACTTTTTTTTTAAAATTTTTTATTATACTTAAAGTTCAGGGTACTCAACTGTTAAAAACATACTGTTCATATTTTTTTTTCTCCAATAAATGGACGTTTTCAAAGTCAATGAATAATCACATTTAATAATCGCAATTACAATTATTGACCCAAATAATCGAGATTATGATTTTTGCCATAATCGAGCAGTCTTACTTTAAACCTGCCTTCAACTCCCACTCTACTCAAACAAAGAGCAGATCTCAACTTGACCCAACCTTATATCTGCATTGTGTCTGCTTGAGTTAAACTGCTGTGGCTAGCCTCTGCTGGCTGATGGGCGGTATTATCTCAACACCATGGACCACTCAGCACTACAGAAGTTATCCATACTTATCTAGCTGCATGTGTCTAACAAATAGCTACTTGTTTTAGACCATTCTTCGACCTAGCGCATCTTTTTAAAGCCTTGGATCCTATCCACAGCCAAGCAAACAGTAGAGATCTTTCAGCATAACAAAATCTACATTGTTTCAGCTAATGTCATGTCTTTAGATTTGCAAGTATCTAGTCGTAAAACTGCAGTACTGGACAAGTATGACAGCAATAAAGGAAAGGTTTATTATAACAAATCTTGGCAATATATCAGCTAGTTGTGTCAGTTTGAAGCTAAGTGCTGGACAAACTATCAGACTGATATTGGCATCCCTAGAGAGCCATATGACAATAAAAGCCTCAACTAATAAAACATAGTTATTGTACTCCGATCCGGAGAGAGTTCCAAGTGCCATTACCGGTTGACCCCGCTACATCTCCTATGAGCAACAATTGTTTTATAATGACTAAAGTTCACCTGGTAGGGAGGTGATGGCTTCCCAGCGCCGTGCTTCCCCCAGGGCCGACGAACAGGCGCAAGCCTTCCTCTGAAACAGATAGAGTAGCAGTAACATGCGGTCAGTACTGAGAGTGCCCACATCCTCCTGTATACCTTTTGTTATGACGAGCAGCCAGTTGCTAGGCAATCTAAAAATAATCATGTATTGACAGCAGCTTTCTTTTCCTAGCTTTGAGATGGATGAAACCTTGGAAAGAAAAACAATGCCTCACGCCTCAGAGTACGACTGAGTCATGCTGTGGCAAAATACCACGAGCTCATTACTGTCATTCAAGTAGCTGTGCATTTTACACATAGAGACATACCACAGACTAGGGCTGCGACTACTGATGACCAATACTATCAGCTCTTTTTGATTAGTTGATAGTCAAATAATAAGTCGGCAACTATTTTCATACATTCATTCAGCATTTGAGTGAATTTGCATCCAAACATTTGCTCATACCAGATTCTTAAATACATTTTTTTGCTTCTCTTTCATTTATATCATTGACAGACAAAACATAAACCCATTATAAACTTGGGTTCCTAAATTGGATGAGCATTTTGCAAACTTTTCTGTCATTTTATTAACAAAATAACTTATAAATTCATCAAAAACCCATAAAAAAGAGAACATTTGAAGGATTGTTAGATGAAGTCTGGTTATTATTTTTATTTAAAAAAAGGGAGAAATGCAGGGTCTGCTTGAGACACATTCCCAAAGACATCCTCATCAGTCCAGAACTCTAGAGTATTACATTTACAATTATTAACAACAGAGAAAAACCTTCACATGTCTCCAACCAAGAAGCTAGAGTTAGCTTATGTTTGGCTTTTTAACTTAATAAATACAAATAAAAAAGCCGAACGATGGTTTTTTCCTTTGAGTAATAGATGGATGGCTACAGAGTATAAGAATACTTCTGAGTTTTGTTAGCTAAACCATTTAGAGACGATGTCCACAATCTGCCAACAGCACATACACAACTATGACTACCCAAAGAATGAAATCCTGCAGATATGGCGGTAGCGATAGACTTGATAAAGGACACCATGTTGTTTCTCTGGATGTGTAGCCTACCTTCAGCACTGGAGTCTAGTAGGCTTGGTGTGAAGTCTTGACTCTGGAGAATCTTTTCCACAACATCGTCAGCATCGACCCGCGTGTCGTCCATTCTCTTCAGCTGAGACTCCATGGAGTCCTGCTTAACAGGGTGTCTGAGGGGAGGATGTACCAGAGTCATTTTATGTCTGATTGGCCATTAATGGCTTCCACTTCTAACACATGATGCTGCTTGTGTGTTCACTAAGTTTTTAGTCGACTAGTTATCACCAAACAATTTGTTTTTTGTTGATATCAACACACTGTTTAAAATCACTTTTGTTGCCACTAATATTACAAACTACATTATGGTCATCATGGCAAAAACATGTACTACTCTAATGACATACTCTACAACTACTTTTATTTATTTTATTTTATTTACGTCATATTAACCTGACTTTTTCTACATGTTTTATGACATTTTATTACTTACTTAATTATTACTGGCTTTAGGTAATATTTTATTTTAAAAACAAATATACTGTCTTATTCTATGACAATCTATACCTTGATTTTATAAAAATACAGACCTAAAACTTTTATGAGAATATACTATGGTTTTGAATGACAATATATATTGTGTTTTGACATAATGTAACTTTTTCATGGCATACTATATGATAGTATAGATTTCAATAATATTTCTGCAATCTATTTGATGAATGTTCTGTTTTTTTAATTTAAAGGAACCATTCAACATTTTAGGAAGTGTGCTTTATCATCTAGAGTTAGATGCCAACACCGATACATCTCTTGTGGGTAAATAACTGAAGGGTTGAAGTAGCCAGCCTGTCTTAGTCTGAAGTAGGGATGGGTATCGTTAAGGTTTTAACGGTACTACTACTTTTATCGCTACCGCTTATCGGTCCGGTCTTTTAACGGTACCCGTATCGGTTCTTTTGGAGAGAAAAAATAAGGTAAACAAATTGTGAACAAAACTAACATTGCTTTTTATTTAAATTAAATACATAATATTTCACATCAAAAGAAACAACAACGTTTTAACAAATCGTATTAAATAATGTGATGACAGAACTGTAAACAGAATAGCTGAAACTTTAACAAACTAAATAACTCAGTTACCTCTAATCATTAACCCATGTTTGTATCATTGAGTTAACTCCGTGTGTTGCTGCTAGCATACATAACACCTGACGTGGAAACGTTACCCGTGGATGGAGCTACAAAGCTACTAGAAAGACAGTGGAACCCGGTGCATTCCTCCGTCTGAATGTGGAGCACTTTTGCTAAATGTTTAGACAAATTGCTCGTGTTACTGCCCTTACATGCTAAACTCTTATTGCACTTTAGGCAACGAGCATCGAGACGGGTAGTTTAACCACACCTCGGAGCGCGTTCTCTCTGCCATCTCCTCAGTGTGTGTGTGTGTTGCTGCATGTAGCAGCTGCGTGTGTGTGTAAACTGCCCCGCCCCCTCGCAAGCAGGCATTTGCATTTTGCAGTCTTTTTGCGTATTAGAAACGGAGTTGGCGACACTAAAACTGCAATATAATGTTTGTGTAGCAATAATACACATGACATATATTTTTTAGATGTCTCCAGTACCGATAAAAAGACCGCTAACGTCGGAGCTTAACGGTACCACGGTCTTTAATAATTCAGCCCCGGGGCCCGTTTAATACCGGGGCTCGGTACCCATCCCTAGTCTGAAGGTAACACAATGTGCCTACCACCACTTCTAGAGCCCCCCAATTAACACATTCATTCTAATTGGTTTCATTAATAAATCCAGGACTTAAGTGTAAAAGAAAATCTGGTTTTAGAGGGATATGAGCCAGACGATCTGTTGGTCGGTGCAGTCATTTCATGGAGCCTTGTTGTCATGTGAGGTTGTCGTGCAGCCAGTGGTTTCATATTTTATGTGGAGATCTGAGAGTGGTATAGATTGTATCTCTCTCTCATGCTACATGCCACAGTGTCAGAGGAATTTAAATAGAACAACATGACTGAAAGTTGGTCTTTGAAGAGATTGGCTAAATATGAAGTGCAGCTTAACCCATAAAAGGTAAAACCCTCACCAGTCGTGAGTCTGAACAGCTTATGGTCTCATGGTTGGACATTTTTAGATCACACAAATACAATGACTAACGTTTTCATAAGTACCAAAAGCCCCCTACTGACACCTCATAATGAAACCACACTCTTCCGCTGTTCTGCCTCGCTGCTTTCTACAGCTGCTTCCTGAAATGTGACCGTCTCAGGTGGGGTTTTATCTAAAGTTTGTTAGCTTCCTTTAACTAACGGCTTCTATGTTTTGTAATCATTACACACAATAAAGAGATTACAATGACTTACTGATGGTTTCCTCTATTAAATAGGCCTATGACGATGATTATTATCTGGATGTGCTTTAAATCAAATAAAAGTTATATTTCTTTACTAAAATGACCTACCTGTTGAGGCGTTCACAGGACGAGGCGCTCCGTACAGGTGTCCCCGCTGGGTTGCTAGTGGTTGCGGGGGGGACCGGGTGTTCAGGTAGAGCTGGACAGGGTCTGGACTCTCGGTCGTCGCTTGGCTCTGGGATGCTACCGATGCCCGTCGAGGCGCTGCCCACTGAGTGGTTTCTCCGGTGGCTGAACTCTGACATGCTGGAGGAGCGGGAGTGACCTGTGCTGTATCCTGAGAGATCAGGGGGGGAAGCCGATCAAAAAGAAGCTAAAACTCGAGACAAAGTTGAGGGGGATGGAGATTCAGGAGATCAGGAGATCTGACCTGTAGGTTCACCAGTAACAGTGACCTCTTTCACATTGTCTTTAGAGTCGACTTAGGGTTCACTTTTTTTAGGGTATATTTATCATACTCTCTAAAAGTCGGTATGAACTGATCTCTGACCAGCAGCTAAATGTGTTCGATATAATGAGAAGCACATTTTAAAGCGCATTGGATAATTGTGCTATATAAATGCAGCCAATTACCCCTTCACTAGGTTAATGCATCTGATTGGACAGTCATGATAAGATCCTGTACATAATACTGCAAATGTGTATTGTATTGTAGCATTCCAAATATTTCAAACACCAGCTGCAGCAGTTTAACAGCAGTGGTCTAGAATGCATTATGCAAATATATTAGGGATGCTCCGATCGCCAATTTCGGGGCCGATCGCCGGAATCAGTATCGGCCGATACCGATCGAGTGGGCGGGGCCTAAATGGAAGATTTAAACATCACTTTAAATCTTCCATTTAAAGTGATGTTTAAACTCAGTTAATGGGGCTCATTCACTGGAGCTTCCACAAACAACAATCAACTTAATTATTACATTCAAATGATGTACATTATTCAAGTTTACATTCACTTTGGATAATAACACGGGAGAAATGAGCGGAAGCGCTCTCTTTTCCTCTCTCCCTCTCTCCTGACAGCCTGTCAGTATCTCATGCAGCTCACTGATCCAGTAATGAGTGACCCGACAGTGAGGAATAAATATATTTATAATAACTAGTTTAGCTTGTTCCAGAGGTAGATAAAATAGCTAAGTGTGTTAGGTCTAACTCTTGTGTGTTTCGTCCCGCTTACCGGTTCGGCGGGCGGAGCTGCAGGATTTCTGCTTCACACACGTTGCATACCGCTATTTTACTGTCTTTTTCGGACACCTTAAAATAATGCCAGACCGGTGAAGCCATTTTGGCGAGCTTGTTTTGCCGCACACAGAGAAAAGTGTCATGTATTTTACGTCATGCGATCGGCTCTCGCGATCGGCATGTTTAGAGAGCACCGATCGATCGGTAGAGAGTGAGTATCGGCCGATCTCGATCGGTGACCGATCGATCGGAGCATCCCTAAAATATATGTACACACACATTTACATTTTTGCTTTTCAAAAAGACAACAATTGTAGAAGATAGATGTTCAGCCTTATATCTGAATTAAAACATGAATTTGATATTTACATTGATCTGCTGTTCATATGAGGAACCAAAACAGTATTTATCTGGTGAAACCCCCTTTGTTGGGCTGTTAGATTTTAATTGCAGTGTTAAAAGATGTTGCACTTTAGTAGAGTTGCGGTGACATGCACACACTGGCACGACTGCAGGAAGGAAGGCTGAGGCATCCAGAATAAAAGAAAAACACTTCTCACAACTTGTTTTCAAGAAAGCATAGCATCTCTCCCTTTTTTTATTATTAGGGTTTTTATCTTATATTAATGTTGAGCATTTTTTACATTATTATAATTGTCATATGTTATCAGCCCATATTTCCTCTTCCTGGTTCAACTGTGTAAAATGCTTGACAAAGACTTGTGTGGTAAAAATTGCTGTATAAATAAAGTTTATAATTACAATATCAGTTTACTCCCGCCATGATAGAGCAATCGTCTCACACTTATATGAAGCAGGAAATAGATTTCTAAATGTATAATCAAGAGAGCCATTCAAACTGCTCTCAGTGCATCTCTACTTCCTCTCATCTTTTATTGCAGTCATCTGATCCGTCTGTAATGGAAACTCGAGCCTCAGGTTTGAACTGCTTTGGTGGAGTGTCACTGGAAAATCATTTTAATCGCTTCCCACCTCTCTTTAGTAAGAAGCTTTTCTCCCTTGGAACTTACCACACATTTTCTCCAGTAATAACAAATAATTGTAGGGAAAAGACCTGTGCGTTATGAAGTTGAGGCTGGCATCTAGTTTAGACAGAACTACATACTTTATCTGTAGAAAATGGTATGTATAACTGCCTAACATCCATCTTAGGTCAATAACATTAATCTTAAAAACTTGACCTGTTTCTGATGTGGGGTCCCATACCTGAGAGTTTGGACTGTTGGCTGGCGTAGCTGGATGTTCGGGAGTGGCCACAGCCCCCGAGTTCATCGGAAACAACAGGACACTTCCCTTCTCGACTCTCTGCTAGATGAGAAAGAATAGGGGAAAAGACACACTGAAAAACAAAGTGCTGAAAGAGTCCAGACAAAATGTTAAGTTAAAAAAGCTAGATCAAGCTTTTCTTCAGCCTCCTCGAATCAGAAACTTGGGCCTAACGAGTTTTTAAACCATTGCTCATTATCAGAGCTCAAAACACCAAAGGTGTGGCATATATAGTTGTTGTGAAAGGAATAAGGCCCCTTTTCAAATATGACCTAGATTTAGTCTCAATTTAGACAACAGAAACAAACCCAGTTTTTCTCATGTTACATTACATGAGTCATCCATATTTTGTAAAACCTTGAGTTTTTTAATTGCTGTGTTGATTTATATCTTATTTCTGCCAACAGATACAAAAAACTGAGAAAGCTCCACTCTGCCTCCTACACACTTCCTGCAGCTTTGCGGCTATATTATTCAGATTCAGTAATTTCTTTGAATGGGTGACAGATTGAACAATGGGAAGTTATTGCAGGTATCACAATTTTAAAGGACTTATTTGAAGAGGGTAGAATGATGTGTTTTGATCAACTAAGATTGGAATACAAACTAACACAAAACACACTTTTTTAGGTTCCTACTGTAGCAGGACGGGGGCAAATAGAACAAAAAAATCTATATATTCCTTCCCTGTTCAAAGGGGAGTGGCTCAACAAGCCACACCTGAGAGCTGGGGGAAGCTAATCAAGACAGTAGGCTTGTTTGAGACAAGCGAGACCTGCGCAATTGCGATCAACGTCTTGCTAGTGCGTTGCATGATGGTTAGTCATTTTGTCCGACTTGCTCTGGAGGCTCGCCTACATGAGACGTTGAAATCTCGTGGGACAAAGACGCCCGCAGCCTTGAGAGCGAGGCGCGGCGAGGCGGCGCGGTTCCTCTCCACGGGCTGCGGAAGCGAAATGCTTGATGGGAAACGACTCGCTGGTATCTCGAGCTGAGCGCTCATTGGTGGGTTTTTCCACGTGCTGCTGATGAAACTCTCCAATTGGCTCGGCAAAAGTTTGTTGTTGTTTTGTGTCACTTTTACGTCGCCACATCCATTCCCATTTTTCATCATTGTTCCACAATGTTTATCATCATGAAATTAATATCTATATATGTTATACTTTGCACTGCTTACCGTTTTCATACTTTATATATCTTAGCATATTCATACACACTGTTCATACTGCTCTCAGGCTGCTGTGTATATCTAGTGTATTCATACCCCTCACTGTTTATTCATCATTCAATTCATTCTATCTTTTATTCTGTCTATTGTGTACATTACTTTTCACTTTACTGCTTTCTGCACTCCTGGTTAGAAGCTAAACTGCATTTCGTTGTCTCAGTACCTGTAATATGTGCAATAACAATAAAGTAGAATCTAATCTTGAGCAGGAACAAATGTATTTACTTAGTACATATCTGACATTAATGATTAAACATGTGTGCATTCTTTATAAATGCAAACCGAGTCGAGCCGACTCCGGAGGTGGCGGTATGCACCTTAAAGTTGTTTGCAATCTGCCAAAAAACTGAGAGAAGAAGAAGAACAAGCCGACTCCGAGCTGTCCGACTTCAGGCGAGCTTTTTGAGACCTCCCCCGGCTGCGATCGGCTATTCTCGTCTACTTTCGAGGCGAGCCGCAGCTCGTCTCAAACAAGCCTAGTAAGTCACACCTGAGAGGTGTGGGGGAGGGAGATCTTAAGGCCGCTACACACCAACCTGGGACCAAAGAACGCGTACCGAAGGTGTCCCGACTTTTACGTCCGCCTACGAACACACTGCAAAGACTTCAGTCGACGAGTGGCAATAACTGTCCTTACCAGCAGGCAGCGGTAGTGTGTATTCGTCATTCAAAAGAGGCAACAACCGGAAGACAGACTGCGTTATACACCGAGAGAAGAAGAACAGACTGCGTGATATAAACAAACAACAAATAGCATCTGGGTTCCATTTTCACTCTCTCTCTTCGATCGAAAACATGTATCGTACGGTACTGGCGTTATCAGCAATTGGAGTGTTGCTTGCGGCTGCAGAGATTAAGAAGCGGAAGCGAACAATCAGGAGAAACCGCACTAAATGGGTGAAAACATGGATACTACAGCGAGAAGCTCAGGGGGCTTTCCCGAACCTGTGTCGAGAGCTGTCCCAGGAAGATGGAGACAAGACCCTGAACTACGGCAGGCCACCCGGCACCAATATTCCAGCTCGAGCCAAGCAGCACAGGGATGAACTATGCCAATATTTTAACGGTGTCGTTGCAGTGCCTTTTCAGTGGGATAAGATATAGCAAATATGTCTAAAGAACTGTACAATGTAAACAATCGACAAAAATACAATACGATAAAAATAGTGTGTAATACAATTTTTGAAAAAAAAGGGAAAAAAAGAGTTTGCCAAATATGTCTAATGCTGTGTTATCAATGGCTGTAGTATCAAGGTACGAAATAAAGTTTTATATTGCCTATCCTGCTATTTGTATTTATTCTTTTAATCACACAGCGTTAATAAAAAAATTGCCTACATAACTGTCAGTTGCAACCGTACATTATTATTGGTTTAACTACTAACAGTATATTTTTAACACATTTTAAAATGACCATCTTGAACAGCTACAACATTAAAATACTTCTAGGCAGATTGTGGAGGATAATGGGAGAAAGAATAGAGGGGCAGACAGAAACACCCATCTGAATAATGGCCACTACTTGCAAAATATACATTTTCATGTGATGCTCACAATAGGTAAATGAACAGTGGTAGACAGTAGCTCTGTCGGTCTGTGTGTGCCTTCTTAATCGTTTGTTTTGGTCCCTCACTTCCGCTTCGCTTCTCATGCACTGATTCGCTAAGCTGAACAGCCAATCAGAGTGATTTATTTGGCCGACTTTCTTTGGCCAACTGTCTACCGATTCAACAAGTTGAATCGGCCGCGGGAGGTGTGAAAATTTGCCGTAAAGAGACTACGGTGCAGTACACACCAACCTGAGTAGGGCGCCGCGAATGCCCGACTGCCTCTGACTCCCAAAATCGGGTTGGTGTGTCAGGGGCTTTACTCCACTGCAGAAAGAGAACATGAATGGAAGTCCAGTTGTATTTTCGGGACCTTTTCTGGTCAACCAGGCTGTTTTTGCGTGTCACTGAACCAAGGAGCTGGTGAGGTAAAACAATTCACCTTCCACATCAGTTAACCTGCATTCTCTGTGATCTTCCCTGGCCTGCTTGGACCCTCCTGACTGAACTCTTCATTGCGTTGGGGAACTCCAGTTCGAAACCCGCTCCCGCCCCACTGCGTCAGGCCGTTGTGTCCTTGGGCAAGACACTTCACCCGAATTTGCTCCTGTGGGTATTGTCCACAGTAGATGACCATTACATGTATGATCTGTATGTGTAATGTGTATTTGTAAAGCGCTTTGAGAGTCTTTGATAAAGCGCTATAATAAATATAAGGATTATTATTATTATTATGAACTCTTCATTTAGTGGGAATGCTGACACAGCATTCCAACTATCTGTTATGCTACGCACAAAATTATTTATTATTCCGCCGGGTTATTTTGCGTTGCTTCTTCTCCATTGAACATCGCAGAAACTCCGTTCAAACATCAAAACGTTCAGCTCGGTCGGGAATCAATGGCTTTTATCATTCATAACTTTCAGAATTCCAGAGATACATCCCATAATACATCCCATTTTTAACATGGAAGTCAATGGAGAAATTCTTCAACTTCAACAAATCTTCATGCAACTTCAACTGCTAACTGCTCCTTCATACTTTCACTCAGAAACCTCATTCCAACTTTAAAATGTCACACATCTTTCTGACATTATTCGTGTAACACAACTTTTAAATCTGGTAAAGAGGCCTTCTTCAGATTTTAGAGTGCGTGATGTCACAGCTAGAGTGGAGGACAGATTTAATGTTGCCTTCATATTTTCTTTTAAACCTGCCATAATTCCCAAAGCCTACATTCCTGAGACATAATTTTTCATGACAAACGTATGAAAACATCTCGTACATGTAGCGTGAAAAAATAAATAAAATTAAGCTAAATAATTAAACAAAATGCCTCTTGAGGGCATGAAGTGACAACAACTTTCAACATGTCTCCATTAAACTCCATTGTAAATTCAGCCTCATCTTTCCCCACCACAGCAGCCGCACACCTTTAGTTAATCTGCCAAAAAGGCCACATTATTAACCCGAAAGTATACAAAAGGTACACTTCAGATGCTCAAGTTCCTTGACATGCTTCACGCTTTGAAATGTCACCGATATCTGTTACGGTTCTTCAACAAAACATTCACATGTAACAGGTTTATCTCTCATTCAGAACAATGAAAATGCTTTCCTCTCACTGATCACCATGGAAACCTTTGATCACCATGGAAACCTTTGATCTCTGGACACGTCGTTAGCTTAAATATAAACACCTGTGTCATGGAACACAATGTAATAACTCCAATTGACATAATTAGAGCAGCAGACTAATGACGTGGTCACTGGAGTTTAACAGACTGTCTCAGCCTATTATTTTCCGTCTGATGGAGACTTCACACTGACTTCAACATGTTCCACATATTTTAGACATTATTGGTGACGTATACTTTTAGTTCTAAAGTTTTCAGTTCAAATATTCTGCTGCTTTTTCATGCATTTAGACTTTTATTTTCTTGTTCTTATTTCACATTCAAGTCCCCTCTATGCATGAACCCTTAAAGTACTCAGCCACACCACTTATATACCACGTGCGACTGTTGCTATGTCAGTTAATCTTTCAAATGCAAGGTTGTTTGATTCAAGCTCTTGTAGTCAATATGTCAAGGTATTTATCCCTAACATTTTCTCAGCTAACTAATGACACACACTCAGAGGATCTTTATAAACGTTTTAAGTATTGCACATCTTTAAACATGACTCTTATAAATCACTTTTAAAACCAGCGATGCACTACAGTGTCAGCTTTTCTAAAATAGAAACTTCAATGTTCAAATCTTTCTAAATGATTCTACTTTTCAAAGACTACAAATAATCCCAATAATAATCCGATTTTCAATCTTCCAACTGTTGATATTTTTTGGTCAATTAACAAACCTGTTACAAATGTGTTGTTCAACAAATTTGAGCCTTTGCCACATTTATTTGAACACCATGGAAACCTTTGATCTCTGGACACGTCATTAGCTCAAATATAAACACCTGTGTCATGGAACACGATGATGTCATAACTCCAACTGACATGCTCAGAGCAGCAGACTTCAAATAATGGTTAATGGTCCTGCCCTACATCAATTATGGGGTGTCATCATATGCCGTTTCCATGGAAACGCATGCCTTGCCATAAAACACGATGTCGCTGCAACTCCAATGGACACGGTCCGATCGTCCCCCAAACTTCGCTTGTATATCACCGGTCCATGCCTCAACAGCTTTACGCCAAATCTGAGATCTCACCATGGGCTGTTGCCATGGAAACTCATCCCTCGCCATAAAACACGATGTTGCTGTAGCTCCAATAGACACGGTCCGGTCGTTCCACAATCTTCACCTGTATATCAACTCTCCATGCCTCAACAGCTCCACATCAAATATGACATATGCCGTTTCCATGGAAACAGCACCACACTTCAGATAATGGTTAATGGTCCAGCCCTCAACAGCTCTACGTCAATTATGGGGTTTCATCATATGCCGTTTCCATGGAAACACATCCCTTGCCATGAAAGACGATGTCGCTATAACTCCTATGAAAATGTTCAAAAAGTGCTCAAACTTCACATGTGTGCTAACAGTCCAGCCGTGAAGACATCTACGGGACAGTTTTGAGATTTCTTCAAATGCCGTTGCCATGACAACACAATGCTCGCCATGAAACACGGTTTTCTCATAACTTCAGTGAAAATGCTCCAAATGGCCCAAAACTTCACAGGTTTGGTAACGATGCAGCCATCAACGCATCTAAGCATATTATGGGATGTCATCAAATGCCATTGGCATGGCGACAGATCATTCAACATCAAGTTAGTTCAAACGTTTGCAGTTCAAATATTCTGCTGCTTTTCCAAGCCTTTTTACTTTATTTTCTTCTCTCATCACACATTCAAGCCCCCAGTGTTCATGTATCATTTCAATCTAAATTATTCACTTTCTTCTTACACAATACATTTCAGCATAGCAGTTTAGCGTCAGCTTTTCAGCATAAAGCATTCCCACTAGCAATTTCTTCAGGAATTGCATTCTCTAGTTCAACATGTCATTACCCAATCGGTTCTACGCATGTGCGAATACGCCGCTTATTCCCATGATGCTTACTAAAGTATGTTGAGGCAATTTAAAGCCCTTTTTTAGGGATTTAAATCAAATGTTATCTTTGGTTTGATTAGTTAAAAAATAGAAGACTTAAAAAGTTCCTTATTCGAATAAAATACCTCTTGTTTTGGTAAAGAATGTCTACAATAGGGTGCTAATTTAGTCATTTATTAACAAAGAAGAGTTAGTTAAATGCTTGCATAGCTTAAATAAAGTAATTGTTAAAGTCATTCAATGAAATGTATATCAATATATACTATATTTATTCAGCATTGGAAGACTTAATCAGATCCTTTACTTAGGAAAAGTACTAATTAGCACAATTTTTTGCTAAATGTACTCCCAAGTATCAAGAGTAAAAGTACTCTTTATGAAGAATGGATATTTTCACAGTAGTATATTATGGTAATTGTATTATCCTGTTTTTATAAATGTAAGAGCATTCAAGCATTGTAGTTTGACAATGTGGACCAAATGTAGATACTACAAATACTGTGTAGATTACTGGTGCAGTACTGCAATATACCATATCAGCATATCAGGTATTTTATATGTGCTAAGTAACTAGTAACCGTGTGTTAAAATAAATGTAGTGGAGTAAAAAGTAAAATATTTTCTTCGGAAATGTAGATGTAGAGATTTGCTCAATGAAGGCTGAATACAACCAATATTTGTATTAAAATGTCTTCTTAGTCTGGTACACAATTATATTAATTTGAACACTGGGCAGCAAATGTGGTTGCACTCTGCCACTTTCAGAAAAACATCCATCACAAATTCTTGAAATTTAAATGGTTGATGACTCAACATTTATTGAATAAAGAAAATTGACAAACATGAAAATAAAACATAACAATAATGTGGTATTAGTAATATTACCACTAAAGCTACTCAACGGACCATGTGTTGAGATTGTTGACTAAACTTCACCTTTCCTGGGACTTTGACAAGGGACAATATGTGATCGCTTCTTCTCACTTTTGAGAGACAACCTTAGGAATTTAGTGATAATTGAAAGAGGTCCAGCTACAGCCTGCTTTCCAACCATCTTCTCAAATAGCTTCTTCTCACTTTTGAGAGACAACCTTAGGAGTTTCTCAACTGTCAGGCTCTCTTCTAAAGCCAGATTCTTCTTTTTGCTCTGGATCTTCTTTGAGGCTCTGGAGAAACAAATATGTTCCTTCTTAATGGCCTCCTCCAGTCTGCCGTTAGATCCTCTGTCGCCCTGAAGCTTCTTCTCATCAATGTGCAGTTGAGACTGACCTTTTTTTTATTTTATTGGTGACGCTTTGCCCAGCACCCATACGTTATCAATCAATCAACATTTATATGGCCCAATATCACTAATTTTACATTTTTCTCGGGGGACTTTACAGTTCGTACAGAATATAAATAGCATAAAAAGACACCCTCTGTCCTTAGACCTCACATCGGACAAGGAACAATTTCCAAAGAAAACTGACAGTTACCGCGGGGGAAAATGGAAGAAACCTTGGGGAAAGCAATAGCGGTCGGACGTGCAACAGATGTGTGAAAATTAAAACATTTAAAATACATTTAAAAAAAATACATAGTCAAAATTAAAACAATAAAAACATATTTGCGTCTGTGCCAGTCGCACACTAAAAATGTCCTTGGACGATAATTTTCTAGTGTGCTGTACAATTTGACTGGAAGAGATATGGACTGAACTCTGGGCGTGGGTTTCCTTGAGCATAGCTGAGCCTCTCATGTCTGACTTGGAGGGCAGTGTGAGTCTTGAGCAGCTCACGATACTCAGCGTTGATGTCACAGTGCCTCCTCCCTAGATTGGTGTACTCCTGCTGCAGGTGGTAAAGCGCCTTATTGCTCTCATCCAGGGAATATTTCTGCTCCCTGAGCCTGAACTCGGAGTCAATGATGTTTCCGAAGTTGTAGTTTGTCTCTGCACATTGTTTTTCCTGAAGCCTGGGGAAGATTTCCTGAGCCTTCTGCAGAGACAAGGTCAACTTGTTGTTTTCCTCCAGAGTTGTGATCTGCTTCTTCAAAGCTTCTTGAAGCTCGACGCGGTGCTTCTCACACCTGGTCCTTTCTTTTTCCAAACCGGAGGAGATCTGATCAACAGTATGGTGCAGCTCAGAGTTTCTTGTCTTTTCCTGTTTAAGGGCTTCTTCGAGATCGGCCTGTCTCATCTTGATCTTTGATTCCTCTGCTTTGAAGTCATTTACAATGCACTGTAGATTAGTGATGGTAAACTGATTGTCAGAAATGCTATCATTTTTCCTTGACAGCATCTCTTCATGGCCCGCAGAGAGAGAGCGGAGTTCAAATCTTTCTCTGTCATATTCTCTCTCCAGGACAAGGAATTTAGCCCTGATGTCAGCATTTTCCATCCTTAATGTCTGCATGTCGTACGCAGATGCATCTCTCAGTTGAGTGAGGATTGAAAGATGTCCAGCTGACGCCTGCTTTCCAACCATCCTCTCAAATCGCTTCTTCTCACTTTTGAGAGACGACTTTAGGAGTTTCTCGGCTGTCAGGCTCTTTTCCAAAGCCAGGGTCATCTCAGACAGCTCTTTCTCTTGGCTCTGGATCTTCTTTGAGGCTCTGGAGAAACGAGCCCCCTCCTTCTTAATGGCCTCCTCCAGTCTGCTGCAAGCTCCTCTGTCGCTCTGAAGCTTCTTCTCTTCAATGTGCTGTTTATTGAGAGCAGCCAGTTCACTTTGCAGTCTTTTGTTCTCATAGGCGAGGTGTTGGTTCCCCCGAGTCAGACGGGCCAGTTCTTCTGCTTCCTTCTTCTGCTGAGAGACAGCAGCCTCGTAGTCCCTCTGCAGTCCCTCTAAAGCCAGGGTCTTCTCAGACAGCTCTTTCTCTTGGCTCTGGATCTTCTTTGAGGCTCTGGAGAAACGAGCCCCCTCCTTCTTAATGGCCTCTTCCAGTCTGCTGCAAGCTCCTCTGTCGCCCTGAAGCTTCTTCTCTTCAATGTGCTGTTTATTGAGAGCAGCCTCCAGTTCACTTTGCAGTCTCTTGTTCTCATAGGCGAGGTGTTGGTTCCCCTGAGTCAGACGGGCCAGTTCTTCTGCTTCCTTCTTCTGCTGAGAGGCAGCAGCCTCGTAGTCCCTCTGCAGTGAGCTGCTTTTTGTTTCCTCCTCTTTGAGGTCTGAGGCACACTTATTCACTCTATCCTGTAGTGAGGTAACAATGCTGACCTTGGCTACAATGTCGCTTTGGAGATTCAGAACATTTGACCGCAGGGATTCAATGTCTTTGTCTTTTTTCAGACTTTCCTCCTGCCGCTCAGTGAGGCGGTCCTTTATTGCTGTAACTGAGGCAGTATTCAACACAAGCAGCTCTGAGATTTCTCTTTGGTGCTGGCTGGAGGATGCGTGCTGAGCTATCTGGAGCTTCTCAATCACCTTCTTGTCTTCTTCAAGCTCAGAAGTCATTATAGTGATTCTGTTTTTCAGCTTTGCTTTGCCATGCTGCAGCTCTTTTTGTGACTCTTTCAGATCAGCGTTTATGATCTGTATTCTATCACAAAGGGAATTATTTTCATATTGCTCATACTTCAGAGCCTTTGCAAAAGCGTCTTTTTCTTTTTGCTCATGCTTCAGGGCTGCTTTGTGCTGAGCTGTAGATGTTTTCTCCTTCATCAAGGCCTCTTCAAGAGCAGCTTTGGCTTTTCTCTCCTCGTCCAGGGCTTCCTGAAGACCAGATGATTTGTCATATCTCTCAGATCTTGCATTTCTCACAGATAATTTGTCAGATCTCTCAGATCTTTCAGAATCCTCTGTCTGTGAAACATAAAACAATTATTATTGTGTTGTCTATGTGCAGTGTTTTTTTATTAAGAAAACAGAAGTGGAGTTAACTCTGCATCAATAGGGGTGAAAAAGTATGCTGTGATCAATTGCATTAAAGATGATTTACTATTTTGATATTTATTTTTTGGAAAAACTTTAGTAAAGAAACTAAAGCTTTTTTACAGTTTTCATGAGTGTAATTGTACACATGTGTGCCACTGAATTTCATTCTTACCTCATCAAAGGAAGTGTCTCTGTAGTTTTCTCTGTTGCTGGAGATGGAGGTCTGCTCCTTAATATCTTCCTCCACCTCCTCAAGAATTACTTCCATTTCATACTCTGTCTCATCAAAGTTCGCAATCTTGTTGATTTCGGACTGTTTCTCATCACTAAAGTCCAAAATGTATTCGTTTTCAGACTCTGTCTCTGCTGCAAATTCCAAAATCTCTTCCATTTCAGACTCTGTCTTATCTAGGTCAGACATTTCTTTAATTTCGGACTCTTCCTCATCATGAAGGTCTTCGAAGTCTTCATCCACCGAGTATACAAACTCTTGATCCTCCTCAACTTCCTCCTCCACCTTGTTTGCAAACTCCTGCACTCCTGTTTCCTGCACCTCCTCCATGGTTTCCTGCACCTCCTCCAATGTTTCGTCCTCGATCTCCTCCTCAACAGAACTGTCCTCAGAGGGACAAGTCTTTCGGTGCCATGGAGAGTCGTTGTACGTCATGTTGAAAACTGATCTTTCTCTGTCCATCTTATTATCGTGAAGAAATGGCTGCTTCTTACTGATAATGTGAACTCGATGTGGCTGGGATAAAACCTGGCTTGTTATCGTCCTGCACAAACGAGTTGTGTAGCTATTTAACCAGAGAGCATACTCTCTTGCAGCCACTGTGATATGACATCAGGTTCAGTATGACTTTAGAGCTGAACATTCCGCAATGTGCTTTAGTCTTTCTACATTCCATTTCAAAGTATTCCACATTCCATTTCAAAGTATTCTACATTCCATTTCAAAGTATTCTACATTCCATTTCAAAGTGTTCCACATTCCATTTCAAAGTATTCTTCCTTTCCTCTCCTTGGTATGTAGACATTCTAAAAGTATGGAGGAAAGTATATTTTAAGTCACCTGATAAGCAAAGTCCTCAATGTCTTTCCCACAATGGAACTCCTGCATGGACTTGGTTTTATACTGGACAATCAAAGATGATTAACAAAAGGCCTTACAAATGTATTTATCAATGCATCAATTATTTGACAGGTTTAAAATAAACAGACTTCCATGTAGCCTTATGCTGCGTTCACACCGGACGTGATGTGAATATTTGCTTTGCTCTAATCGCATCGCTCTAAACCAGGGATGGGCAAATGGCGGCCCACCTCCTCTTTTTGCGGCCCTCAGATTAATTTATAAACAACGTAATTAATAAAAACAAAAGAAACGTTTTGTAGTACTGATACCGTCCACTAGATTCCTAGTTACGTCGCGAGCCGCATACATGATTTCGTTCAGCAGCCAAATACTGCAAAAATAATCTGTGACGCGTTTGTGTGTATTGTGTTTGTTTCCCGGGGAAACACTCACAACAAACACCGGCTGTTGTTATGCCTGCTGTGACGTTAAGTTACCGCGTATAATTATGCCGTTACAAGCTTAAAAGTTGTATTTATCATCTGAATTTGGAAAAAGAAGTTTAATATTCTAAAAACCAAGACTTTGTTTATTTGAAATCAGATGAAAACAAACTGTCACGGACCCTGCCGTGTTATCTATGATTACTATACGCGTACATTCATAATTTCAGCAGAGTGCGGGTTGACATTCCCCTTATTGTGGAATAAAGTGAATGCAGAGACAGGCTACAAGTGTCTTAGCTAGGTTCAAGTTAGACAACTAATGTCTGGGTTAGTGTTCATGAATTCATGTTTATATCATCCTAATGGTTAATCTTGATGCACACACATGTTCCATGCTTTCCAATAGTTTAACATCGTTTTATTCCACTGTTTAATAACCTGTGCAATACAAACATGCCACTTGTAAAAAATTAAACAACATTTCTGTGAACTGATATGTTTAGTGAGCTTATTAGAGGATGTTCCTTGAAAGGTTGAAAAATGTCAATGAAGATGTCAGACTTAATATTTGTTAATAATTACATACAATACATGGAATTTGTCCGTGTGTTCCAAGTGAATCTGTAGCTCCCTGGTGGCCAGTACATACATTATGTGGTCCCCACCACCACCATCCAGGTTGCCCATCCCTGCTCTAAACGCTCAAGTTTCAGCGCAGCTGTCAGCTGTGTTTACTCCCATCATTCAAACAAGACGCGCTGGCTAGGGGGCTACAACTACAACAAAATGAACATATTTTACCGTGATTTAATTGTAATACACGTTTCAAAATGAACGCATCAACCGCTTCATGCGCGCCGTCGGAGCGAATTTGCGTCTGTCCGCGTCTCTGCATTGACTTTACATGTAATCGTGCCGCCCCCAAACATCGCATCGCGTCCGGTGTGAACGCAGCATTAGACAGGCCAATTATTGGCTGATTTGTCAACCATTGAGGATATATTAACAGAATAAAAAAAAAAATGGTTTATTGATGATAGATTTATTAGATAAATTAAATGTGTATGCAACAGCAGTGGAGGCCTATACGACAGTCCACTACAAAAGATTGCCAGACCTCACTTAAATGTACATTCTTGGTTTTGTAATTTTGTTTTACTTTCAGAGAGCAAGCACTGCACTGGTCCTCGATGCATAGCCTGAGCCACTTAGATATGTGTTTATCTGACAACTAACATGAGGCATTTAGTACAGAGATATATAGACGGAACAGCTTCTGTACGTCGTGTTTCTTCACTGAAGTGCCCTTCTTTTTCTGCCTCAGGCCGTGAATCGGGTCTTATTATTGGTAGGAGACCATCCGGACTCACCTCCCCGTTAGCAATATAAACTGGCTTTGATGCGCTCCTGCTGCTGGTTTATTTTCTACACCGCAGGCCACTGTAAAGTGAGGCAGGTCCCTTGATAATTGTTTACATTGATGGAACTTAAGGGTGACTTGGAGATACACCACAAAAAAAAAAGAAACACAGGAGGACAGACATGTGAAATACACAGACCAATTAGTTAGTTTACACCAGGGGTGTCCAAACTACAGCCCGGAGGCGAAATGCGGCCCGCAGACCATTTTGAATCGGCCCCCAGCTAATTCAAAACGTATAATGAAATATGGCCAACTTAAATATACATGTTCAAATATATTACACAGTATTCATGTGTAAATAAGCCCAATTTTCAAATAAATTCAGTCAATTAAAGTTGAAAACAGTTGATGAGAAAAAAGCCCAATAATAAATGCTGTTATATGCCCTTCATATTTCCTCTAATTATAAGCAATCTGAAGCTTCTGTTTTAAGGAATCGGCATGCCAACACTTATTGTAACAATAACAATAAATGAAACCCTATGGAGAGCTTTGATGTAGGCTGTTTTTTTTCTTAAACGCATTTTCAAGTATCAAGAATAATTTACCTACATTTGATTGATTTTTCCAACTTATAACTGAACTTATGAGGCAATATACCTCACCTCTAGGGAGTGGCCCAGCCCTTCGTATATTTGTCTGTACTGTATGTGAAAAAAATAGTTTGGACACCCCTGGTTTACACCCTTTTCGTTAAAACCAAGAATTTTATCTTTCCAAAGTCAAGATAGCATGGATTTATTAAAAACTATTTATTTTATTTTTGACATTCCAAGCTTCTAAAAATATATTGTAAAAAAATCAATCAAAATAAAAACCCATAATTCCTCCTAATCTACCAAGCGACTGATTTCAATTGATACTGCTCACACAAATGAAACACACCTGCTCATACACTGCAAACATCTACAGCAGGGCTGTTCAATTGGCGGCCCGCGGGCCAAATCCGGCCCGGGGTGATATTTACTGGCCCTTTGAGTATAATGTTAAAAAGTAATCTACTTTTTTTTTTTGGGCCAGAGTGCCTTTATTCCAGAGAGGGTGTTACATTGAGAGATAGAGGGGAAGACATTGCCTGAAAACCTCTGGGGGCTCGGGTTTCTAACCCACCTACTAGCTACTGTAGTGACAACTCCTGTCATTTATTGCATCTCTGCGTGAATGATTAGATCATTTCACCTAAATTAAATCAAATGAAATGATGTTGATGGTTAACTTAGCTTCACATGTACTGAGTTCTGAACTTGCCATTTAGATCTATAAAGGCCTTGGGGCTATGTTGTTTGATTTAATTAAACACAATATATGCAGTCCACTATGCTGTATTTACTGTATCTGAAGCTCTTATTTCAAGCCATCTTTTTCCCGGCCCCTTGCTTTGGATCATTTTCATCAACCGGCCCCCATTCCAAACTAATTGAATAGCCCTGATCTACAGAGACACAATGAGTTTGATGTGAAAGAGCATCGCAGCAGACCAATACACACGTGGTCTGCGGATGCTAACACACAACCCCCATAGACAGAATTGCAAACACTCCTATTTTTAACCATGTAAGAGCCTACAGGGTCGGAGCAGATTGTAGCTAATCTCAAAGAGAACTAGTTTAAATAATACATGAAATAGCCGCGCTACACTCTGAAACCTGCAATAGGAACAACATTGCAAGACACACAGAACAAGAGCAAGAGGGATGAAACTGGGGAGGGACATTTAGCTGGATAAGAACTATTTGTATTGTGCTCGATGGGTGGGTGATAAATAGCCGTCATATAAAGCATGGTTGGATCTTTCCACAGAAAAATGATGTAGAGCAGTTTAAGGTAAACAGGGTGGCGTGGGATATTGTGATAAATACACATTATTATTGCAGTACACAATTATATAAAAAGTTATGTTTCCTTGCCATTCCTTGTGCCCTTGCAAAGCCACATAATATAACTTTACCGGAAATCCACACCACAACGATGAGATGATGTTGAAGAAATGCACCCATGAGCAGTGAGTTTCGACAGCTATGTGGATGGGATCTAATCTAAGATTAGATTTAACCTTTTGATTTCAAGTCAAAGGGTAAGGAGGAATATTTAGGCTCTCTGAAGGTTATTATGGATATGTCAGTTTCAATCCAATGTAAATCTACACCGATTATCAGCATGAGCTTAACATATTAAAGGAAGGAAGGTCAGGTTGTTACATTATTTGTTAAACATATACAAAAATGGTTGACCCACCAGTCCAGCAGCAAGTCCTAGGTTTGATTCATAGTTGGCTGGACCTTTGCTTCATGTCAGTCCCCTACTGTATTATCCCATATTACCTGTCTCTCATTTCATTTCAAACCTTTATTTAACCAGGTGAATCCCATTGAGATCATCGATCTCTTTTTCAAGGGAGATCTGCAGCAAGTAGGTTCCACATGAAGACATCAAAACAGAAAACAACAGAAAAACTAAAAGGACATCATATAACATAATTACAATTTACATACCTATCGACAATGACAGGTACCAACAGTATCAGATTGCATAGCATCTATCCGAGCTTTAAAAACATGCAGTGGAATCATTTGCTCAATTTCCATTCTTTTTGCAGACTGTTCCAAGCAAGAGGAGCCGCGCACCTAAAAGCTTTCGTACCCAAGTCAGTCCTAGCACTTGGCACATGTAACAAAACCACATCATGAGATCTCAGGCAATAGCTACTTGCAACTCTCCGTGTGATCAGAGAGCAGATATAAGATGGTAGTTTACCCAACATGGCTTTATATATGAACGTGTACCAGTGACTGAGCCTCTGAACAGTTAGTGGCATACAGGGTACAGTGATGAGTAAGTGCTTTACAATTAGTAACAAATCTTAGTGCACTGTGATAGGCGGCATCTAACTTGATCAGGTAATGGGCAGGTGCATTCATATAAACCAGATCACCATAGTCCAGCACAGGTAAAAAGGTCACAGTGACTAGCCTTTTCCTGGCCTCAAGCGAGAAACAGGACTTGTTTCTGAAAAAGAAACCTAGCTTCACCCTCAACTTTCTAAGCAGATTATTGACATGAAGTTTAAAAGAGAAGCAATTATCAAGCCAGATACCAAGGTATTTATAACAGGTAACCACTTCAAGTACTTGTCCTTGCGTAGTAACAATATCCAAAGTGGTCTCTGGTGTCTTTTGAAAATAGCATTACCTTAGTTTTATCAACATTTAAAATAAGCTTAAGCTCAGAGAGCTGAGTCTGAATAATATTAAAAACAGCCTGCAATTTAAAAAACCAGTGACATTTAAGAAACCGCCAAAACAAATATACACATTAGAACCCAGAACTCCCATCAAGGGCCTGCTAATGTTTGAGAAAGCCAATGGGATGGCTAAGCAGGGCTGAGGAGTGTAATGTGGCGTGATTTGTCTCACCAGAACATCCTTTCTGTGAGTCGCCTCCTCTCCTCTCCTCCAGCAGGCTCTCTCCATCACCCTGGATCCCGATCACTGTGGCTGTGGAGGGGGGCCTGGTGACACGGAAAACAAAATAAGCCTTTATTCTCCTGAATCGTATATATTTCAATGTGTCAATTGTTTAAAAGTCAAATGCAAGGTGAGAAAGACAAAAACAGGGAGAAAAGTGGGGAGGAAATGAATGAGTTGAATGATGATTATCGTGATTGATCAAGTACAACACGATTAAGTTAGCTGATAACATTTAAGCATTCAGCAAGACTACACATACCAGATACTCTGTACTTAAATACATGCTACAAAGAAGGAAAAATAAAGCTGTTGTCATTCCGGCTACTGAATCATTTTTAGGTCAATATTTGCCCTTGGGTTAGGCAGCTTTTTCCTTTCTGTACACACACGGACCTTTACAAAGAAATCATATTTCTACAATTTCTACTAGGACACTTAACATTATAATGACTGTATTGCACGATGAAATCAGTCAGTGTGTTTGACATGGGAAGGGCCTAATGTACCAACAGTTCTTTGTACTTGCACATTTCGGGATCGTTTGATTCCCATTTATTGTTTCCAAGAGGTTGAAGCACGGTGTCGGGAGCTGTCAATAGACTTCTTGGATCGGCTCCCAACCAAATGTGATCAGCAGCAGAATTTGTCATAACTTTGGCACATGATACAGAATATTTTCTTCTTTAAAAGATTTTTTTTGCAATCGTTTCATGTTTGATAGTGGTAGTAAAGATACAGACGGGAAATGTGGGGAGAAAGAGAGAGGGAGGGGTTCTGATATTTCAAAGAGGACACCGCTTTAAATTACAGTCCGGTCCAGTCTGGCTCAGGCGGGAGAAAAGCTGATTTCACAGGCTTTTTTTTGCCCAAAACTTTAGCAATTAATTAGTTTCTAATTAAAAGTGAATCTCAGACACCAACACTGACAGACGTAGGAATACAGTTTGAACAGCAGAGCGAATCAGATTTGGCACCAAGTTGAAAAACATGACTTTAACTTACGTTTTAAAACAGGGGTCTCCTGACATGAGCTGTGTACTGATGATGACCTATGAAAAGAAAAATAGACGTGTTAATAATTTCAGGTTTCACTAGCATTCAATGCTTCCATTAGCCTGGATTCTTATTTAAACCTTTTGGTAACCCTCTAATACTACTACACAAGAATCAACCAGCTGCAATCTGCACTCCCTGATTTACTTAAAAGACTTGATTTGATTCATTAGCTTTCTCACAAACTAGGAAATATTCTACAAGACCTAAAGCAAATTATGGCTGTATTTGCCAATAGTTTTCCATGTTTTTCCCCCAATGGTTTATTTCCTGCTACAAGCTAACAGACTACCTGTGTACCTACCTATTCGTTGTTGTAAGCAATGCTATACAAAAACCTTTCACCTTGCCTATTTATTAGTTAAGAAAAAAAGATCAGGCTTCCAAACACCAAGGTTACCTCTTAAAGAAGTAAATCGGAGAGTGGACACAGCACCGTGGCTTCAATGGGCGCTTTCACACCGGAGTACTTTTCCCAGGAATAGTTCTGATAGTTCTTGGGATTTTGCGTTCACACCAAAAAGATCTGGAACTAGAACCTAGTTTTTGCAAACCTTTTCACCCCCAGATAGTCCCTGCTAGAGAGCAGGGACTTTCCTGGGGAGAAAAAGGTTCCAATTTCTGATTGGCTGGGCGAATTGCAAACCACGCCCTGTAAAACTCTGAAAGGTTTTGTGAAGCCGCCATTTTATTTGCTCGCATTAGCATTATTAGCATTAGCCCAGCGCACCAACGGAGAGAGACTAACTTATGGCAACACAAAGGAAAACATGGGAGCGGTGGAGTGATGAGGAGGTGCCGGCGCTTCTGGCGAATTACTCGGAAGGCTTCAGTAGAAGCTGATGGCAGCTTCTACTGAAACCAGTCGGACTGGCCCAGTCCCCAACTCCGGGGGACTTCGGGTGGCAGTATACGGCGTGAAGTTGTTTGCGGCCTGCCAGTAAACCCAAAGCAGAAGAAGAAGAAGTGACGTCAGCAGCTTCATTTGCGTAATCCTCCCTCAGGGACTTATTCCGGTGTGAACGCGATCTACTAGGACAGTTCCGGGACTAAGTACTGGGAACTAAGTACAGCAAAGTACTTGGTGTGAAAGCGGCTAATGTTACCTTGAGAATGGAGTTATCCTGGCGAGTATTTTTGGTATCGTAGCCTTCCAGCAGACATCTGCGAGTTGTATTACCTGAGCCAGCAAACTCTGCTAAATTCAGATCTGCAAAACCAAGCTGAAGGAGAAAGAATGACACATGGTGAACTTTGTTTCCTCTCAGGAGACTGACAATTTGCCCAGTAAGCACTTGGATGTAAAATGTCAGGTCATCAGAGAAGATTCAGGGAAACTGAACAATGTTAACACTTTTGATGAACAATCCTTCTTCGCTGACATCTAGTGATCCTCTACAATATTCATATTTAGTTGTGGGGAAAAAGCTATTATCTAGACTAGAAAGTCCACAAAAATAGGTTTTGTATGCTGAATAATTACTAGCAGATAGTGAAAGGGAGAACACATTACTTAATGAGCAAACCTGCAGGCAGTGAAGGCCATCTGTTTGCTAAGGGCTCACATGGCTATCTACATAAATGTGTCAGATTCATGTTAATGCAGATGACCTGGAGGTTGGGTTAGGAGATGGGGGTCGGATGACGTAAGTAAATGAGTAGTTACCTTTGCAAATGCTTTTCCACCTTTCAGCTCCTGGAAAAGAGAAGCATAAAGACCTTGATTAAACATCTAAACTCATGATTAATTTAAGCACGATTGAGGTTTGTAATAACCATTTCCCTAGGAAATGTGTTTGCAATTCATTTTCAGTTGCAACATAATTTAATTGGCAAAGAAAATCAATGTTATCACAAAAAATGAACAAAACAGAAATGGCAAAGTGTCAAGTATTAATACAATTACAAAAACAACTCATGAAATCAGGTTATGGAGTAAAAGATAGACCCTTGCACTTTCTGTGTGTTTGTGCAAAAATATTTCAAATATGCTACTATACTCAAATGACATGGACATTTTGCTGTTGGGTCTAATGGCAGCAGCTGCTTGACCTTTACATGTTTATAACAAAAATACTGGAAAAAATGGGGACCAGCAGTGAAGGCAAAATAACATAGGTTTTTCTTGGTACTTGACATGTTCTTTGTCCTAAAACGAAGAGGGCAGGGCACGCCAGAAATAGCTTGCAGCTACAATGTTGAAATACAAGACGCATTTAATCAGGAAGGCTTATTCGGGCTTATATATTCGTTATATCGTTTGAAAAAAACAGCAGACTAATGTTTAAGATGAAATGTTAAAGGATTTAAACTGAGAAAAAACTACACTGTGATGTACTCTTCCAATTGCTTGCTAGCTGCGTTTTAGAGTTCATATTTCACTCTCATGTTTCGATTTGCCCTAAAATAAATGTAACCAATACCATGATTTAACCCAGCTACAGCAGTTCTACTAGCAAGGATGAGACTCTCCTCTCTGTTGCACACTGAGAAGAACACAGGGTTTCCTGTTTGCATTAAACACATGCCTTATGCATCTTTAACTTGTTTGTTTACATGCAAAGCATCACGGTTCAAAAACACTGAGGTTTATATATATATATATCTCAAGTTTGGACATACTGTACCTTTCTGACAGACACACGGCACACACAAGGGTCCAGTACACCCGTCCCTGCATTGGCACTCATCTTGCAGGGGAAAGAGAACCGTTTCTTCCATCGTACACTGTTAGCATGCACTGGCTCCCTGTAAAGGAAAACCACAAAAACCACAGTCACTCACTTTTTGTAGTCCTGATAACATCCTCAAAATAATGTAATTCCTACTAATCAGCCCATAACTATGAGATAACAAGTAAAACCTCTTATGTTGAATTCATCCTCATATCTCTCTCCCTGCTAAAGGCTAATGAGTCAAGTTGCCTACTGTAGGCGAGCTCATGTGCATGGGGTTTTTTCTGTCTACTTAATTAACTTGTTAATTCATTAGTGTTGTGGAATATTTTCCAAGGCCCATAACTTTGACCCAGTGCATCAGTTCAAACTGTCCTGACTGAGCACAGGCACCTGTAACCTTGGCTGCTGTGCTCTCAGTGTTTTGTCTCCCTGTTCCTGCCTGTTGGCGTCAGCTGATAGAGGTGTTATGATTCTATCTTGTTATGCAGCATGTTGATGATGCTCTCTGAACTAGCTAAATACATGGGTCTGGGGTAGAGTTCTTCAGAATTGACGTGGCAACTCTACCGTGAAGTCAGAACCTCTGACTCTTGGACTTGTGATGTGAATCCTCCGGCCGTTAACTCCAAATAAACCATCATGTGTTTGACATCAAAGCTACTGCTCTTCCCGTGTCTCCTTCCTGAGTAGGTGACTCCCACTGCATAGCTACACAGAAGTTTCCTCTACAAATAGTGTCTTGTTTTAACAATTGATTAGTTTGGCTGCTGAAACCAAAGGTGACGGGGACAATTGCAGCCCGTTTTTGGCAAGAAAGTGAAAGAGAAACATATCTGCACATACCCCCATCCCCGGCCAATAACTAGAGGGAAAAATGAGTGTAGCCGTCTCAGTGAGAGGATGAAGTGAAAGAGAAAGGAGCGTGGATGCGTGGGCAGCATTACGATACCCCAGATGGCCTCTTTTTCACAGACGTCCTCTCCTCTCCCACTCACCTAACCAGCTCCCTGCTGTCAAAACAGCCCACATGCCATTCATTTAGATGAAATGTGATGGATTTAATTCAAACAGAGCTGTTGAATTACTTCTCAAATGACATGCAACCACTGACATACATTTGACAACAGTATGCAAAAGATATAGAGGCAAAAAGCTCAAAACAAGGAATACCCAAGGATAATGTTGTGGTGAAAGACGGCAAAATACTTGAATGATTACCAGGGTGTGCAGATCCCTGTTTACAGAGTTAAGACTGACTGCTTCTAAAGCCTGAGCCGTGCACTACATCTATTCCTCACTATGAATACAAAAAGCAGCAGATGCGTGACTAATGTTTTACAAATGCTGACTTCATCCTGGGGTTGATACATTTGAGAGTGAACTCCCAGAGTCGGAGAGGGAACTCCCAGCCAGCTGGACACTGTGTGCTTCGGGAATGCATGCAGTGCACTGTAACTCACAGCACTTCTCAGTGCAGCACAATCCTATTAGTCGGTGTGGGTAATTGTGGTTTTAATCACATGCGGAGGTCACATCTCACATCTCTATACGCGGGTCAGATATCTTGTTAAACTACAGCTGCTCTCTTTTTAAAAAGCAGCTGCGGTCAGGTCACATAAACACATTGTTACACAGAAACAATGCTGTAAACCTAATGACAAGCCAGACCAAAGGGAAAAAAGGCTGCTACTACAACACTCTGCACTTCCCTTACAGTCACAGTTTGGGATGACTCAAAGGAGTGTCAGAGGAAACATTGAAGCTTGGGGGTCTAACTGCAGCAGAAAATGTGATTTAACAACACTCAAATTCCTCTGGCTAGAACATTTCAGATCCAGAACATAATGTTATGATTAGAATCTCAAACTTACGGACGTCATTGTCTGGGTTAGAGGATTAAATAACCTCTTTCAGCTCCATTGGCTGCTCGGATGTGACAAAATGTACCAGGGAACTTGAGGTTACATTAAAATGTCCTTTACCGTCATGACCTTAGTATCATCCTGATTCACAAAGTCGGACACACTGTGCTTTTTAGTCAAACCATTTTATAAGAGTTATTTACTGTAGAGCACACACAGGGCTGGTTATATAATCAGGGTGAAGCCATCTGATCCCTGCAGCCTTGCTCCAAAACAGTGCTTTTCTCTTAGTCAAATGTTAAACAGACATCTTATTTATGAAAAAAAGCAAAAGCGGTTACAGAGAAGATGACAGTCTTTGCTTGACTTAACTTGATGTAAATGTAGTAGAACTATCATGATGCTACTGTAGAACAAAGTGATAGTAAATAATGATAAAACGGCCACTTCTTTGAATGGACAGTTATGCTAGTTCCCTTTAACAATTGCTTCAGTGAAAGAGTCCTGTTTTGTATTACATAAACATTATCACTTTGCACATTCAGCTACACAGAACAATACTTACAATCTTAGCTCAAACTATATTAATGTATCAATCCATCTATCGACAGAAAAAAGCCTGATGCACACATTGATCCTTATTTTCAAGGTAAAAAGTTAGCTGTTTCTCTTAGGATTCTTCGATCATAAGTTGAATATCTTTTTGAATCAAGGCTGCAATATTTATATCAAATCAATAGACAGATAATGCATCTGCAAATAATTGTATCATTCATTAATTCTTAAAGCAAAGCATTTTTAAACCAAAGAAGCCCTCAAGCTTCTCAGTTATGATGATTTGCTGCTCCCCTCTTTGTTACAGTAATATATTCAACAATGCTAGTATTTTTTTTAACTTGGTGCTTCTGACCATTTTCTGAAACTTCATAGACAAAATGATTGTTCAACTATTCAAGCACATAAACTGAACATCGATGAAAATCGTTGCAAAACTAACCCATGTGTGTTCTTTAAGGCACAGACTTTAACTTGTACTAATGAGAGAAAGAAAACCTAAAACAGGTTACAGAAGAGATGACCACCTTCACTTGCCTCGACAGTCAGAAATGTTGGCATTTATGACACTGTGGACCACAGGCTGATTTTGAATAATGGGTATGGGGTCTCTTCTTGTCATGACAAACGTTTCCTTAAAACCTATAGTGTAAGCAACCACTTTGAGTAACCTAGAGTAAACTATTGTGTCACATTATTCCTACTAATTTACACGAGAAGACATTTCCACCAATTAATTGGCACAGCATTGTCTTACTGCTTATCACTGTATTATGCGCTGTGATATGCGTTGTCCTTGCATGTTTTCTGATCAATAACAGGTTGACAACGCAAGACAAGCAAAGCGGCTTCTTCAGTGATAACTGTATGACCAAACCGAGGCTAGAGACAGTGGCAGTCATTTGTATCGATTAAGCATCAATAGACGGAGGAGTCATGTTTAGCTTGGTGGCAGTTATGTGAACAGTCAGCTGGATGCTCAAATCGATTCCACAACCAGCGAGGAAGTTAGCCTGGACACGAAGAAAATACCTGACGATAAAGAGGGTATTTCAGGGCACTAACCACCACACATGTTGAAGTGTGTTTACACCAGGCGATGCCAACACGTTGTCTACAGTCCTGCTTCATTTAGAAAACCCGTACTTGAATGCAACGTCCAAATAGGACAACTAAAAACACCGACAAGTGACTAACGTTAGCTAGTTTCTGGACATGTAGCATGTTAGCTGGTTTGCTAATAATGCATCATAGTAGGCTGCAGCTCCTCAGCTACTTTAACCTGTAGGCTACAGATAACAGGTCCAGTCAGGTTTTGCACGACTGAATTAACACCAAACACCCTCACCGAGATGACTCCTCTGAAAACCCGCCGTCCAGCAGCCGGACTTTACAGAAGAGGACACCGTTCACAAAGGGGACCGAGGAGAGCTCGTCCAGCTCAAAATCCACCTTGAACTTGAATTTCTTCTTCTTCATCATCATTAAATCCATACACTGATTCAGTACTCTAGAGAAGATGCTCAAATCTCGCCCGTCGCTGACATTACAGCCCCATTGTGTCGGAGTGTTGTGCTGTGGGAGGAGGACGTTGAAGCTGCTGGGGACAACCGTCTATGTGACACTAACGAGGCAGGGGAGAATAGCTACTTCCTGGGGAGATTTTCCAAATAAAACATTATGCTTTCACTTGTACTTGTATACTGTGTGTTTACCTGTGGTGGAAGAAGTATTCAGCTACTTTTAAATGGCATTACTAAAGTGTAATAATACTTTAACATGAAAGTTAGAAAGCAATTATTTAACGTGTGTTTCAATGTAATGTTGCAGCTGTTAAAGGTGGGTCTTTTAATTAGTTTGAATACCGTCCTTGCCTGGTGAATGATAAAGTCATATTTCAACCAATATTAGTACATTTATTGTATTACATGTTGTATCAACTATATCAATGATACAATGATACAACATGTATCAAGATGACGTGCTAATTATAGAATATCATTTAGCTAAACAAGGAATTAAAGCTATCAAAATAATGCATAAAAAGAACAATATGTTCATATGATGAGAAGTAGAATATAAATCCATCACACTTGTGATTAAATGCACTACTCAAGAAGAGATACATTTCATCACCACTGGATTGATTGCATTTGTGTCCCATATACTGTATCTGTCTTCCTTTTATTTTTGAAATAAATGAGGATGTACACGGATGGACACTGACGACAGTGTAACTTGACTAGAGTTGGATAAAGCCCGCCTTCTCTTCAGTCGCCCCCCGGCGGTCAATCTGAGAACCAGCAGCACTGATTTGACAGATTACAACAACAAAGTGAAACCAGCTGCTGTTATGTAACATTTGTCGCCACGTCGTGGTATCTTCAAGGCACTGCAATTAAGCTTATACTCAACTGCACTTTTCACATCAGTTAATTGTAATCCTTTATTTAAAAAAAGAAAAGTAGAAAAAGATAACCATATAACATGTTTTATTTATATTTCTTACAACTTTGTAGAACACAAACTGATACGATTGGTATAACTGAGAGAAAAAGAAGAATGATATGAATGAATAGGCCTACATACATAAGTAATGATTATAACAATAATTATATGCTGGTTGATAACATGATCAAACCATTAATTGACCATACTAGTATTCTTTTTTTTGTTAAATATTTGTTTTAACATTTATGTGTGTGTAGGCTCACATGGAGGTGGCTAAAACTGCATTTCACTGTGCAATCCTGAATTCTATAATGACTATAAATCCTTGAATATTCAAAAGATAAAACATTTGAAAATATAACCTGCATAAACTTGAATAGTTAGACATAGGTAGGCTATTATAGCTACCATGTTCATTGCTATTCCAAAACCACCTTTAGTGCAGAACATTAGTTTGTAAAAATCTTCGATTGATAATCAGAATGTAAGATTTTTCTGAAATGCAAACTTAAAGTGGCTGTGGGATATGGACTCCTCCTCCCCCATCTCTTCCTCTTGCCTTCAAAGTATTGGAACCTCAATTAAAAACTTTTGGGGACATGTTGCCAGGGCCAGCTGCCGGATTCCTGTGTGTATGACTCACTGAACTGAACCAGACTGCCCGCATCGCCTGCAATCCTCTATGGGCAAGAACCGTACCCGTGGGCAACTATATTTATGAATATCCATATTTGCGTGTGCGTGGGTGTTACACTGCAAACACTTAATTATAATTATTATATTTAGCGAGGGTTTTCCCGCTGAAGGGTGTGTCTCTTTAGTGTGTGTGTGCGCAATAAAGGAGGAGGTCTTCGCAGGCAAACTAAACCCGAGTGTCGCCACCCTTCTGCTGCCAACCTACCTCATCTGCAAAAAGCCTTCCGTAAATATATCATAACAAATACATACCGTATTCTTTACCCTCCGACTTATGCGGACTTTTGTTTACGACTCGGTCTGCGAGCTGCACTGCGGAAATCTCTCTGAAACAACACGGGACGATCCTGCTGCTTCAAACCAGAAGTGCAAGCCCCAGGAATCGGGTTGTGTGTGTTTCCACAGCAGAAGTTTAATTTGGCGTCTGTGTAGAGCCTGTTTTCATTCTCAGTTCAACAATGTATCAAGTCGTAAGGAAGCTGTTTTTCACGGACTGTCAGTGTGCTGAAAATGCGTCGAAAACGTACGATGATCTGTTCGCCAAGCTGGACACCAACAAGGATGGGAAGGTGGATGTGTGCGAGCTGAAAGCAGGCCTGGCCGCTATGGGCATCAAGACTGGGAAAGGAGCAGCTCAGGTAGAGCCACAGACACAGTAAACAGCATATATTTAGGCCTCAGAGAGAGACAGTTGGCACAAATACTTTATGTAGTACAGCATTCCTAACAGACTCCAATGATGTTCTAGTCACCTTAAGTAACCTTAAAAAACAAGGCCTCAGTGAGAGATGTACTGCTAAATATTACAGATATATTGTACTTCATTATTTGTTATACTTCAGGACTGCAGCTAACAACTATATTTAATTGTTTCACTGTGTAATGTGTTGATTGTGTTTTACATTATTTGAGTAATCTTTTAGTAGCCTATGCAAAATGTGAATAAAGGGGTTGAACTTATTGTAAGAGAGTTTCAGAGCCTCAATTTCAGTCTTATTGTCTAGGCATTTCTCTTCCTTCCCCCTAAAAATAACAAATAACCCGGAGCACACATTTTTCTTAACAATCTAGTTTTACTACAAAAATAACAGAATGCGCTGGCTGGTAAAGAGCTGGGAGGAAGATGACACAATCTCTGACACTGTCTCATGGTTCAAACTGTAGGTGCAGGTGGGCTTTTATTGTGGGCTTGGGCTAGGAAGGTCCCACCTTTGCTGAACAAATACATTCCTTACGCTCATCAGTGGGTCTGATAACGGTACAAGTATGAGTCAAGGAAAAGAAGGAGAGGTCACTGCTGTGTGTGGCCAGGTGTTGTAAAACAGGAGCTCTCTCTATCCATGCTAATCGTATGATAAAAGGTAATACACCTGCGCACTACGACAGGTTCCTTTAGTTTCAGGAGGTGACATGGTGGACAGTCACGAGTGATACTTGATCTTCCATACTTTGGAATTTGTTCTCATTAATATATTTCTAAAGCTCATAACACACTTTGACTTTTGAGACCATTTAATAGTAACAATAAATGCCAGGTTTAAGTTTATCAAGTAACAAACAGTGTTGCAAAACTAAAATAAATTATGTTTTGATATCAAACAGTCTTTCTACAAGCAAGGATAGTCTTTTCATGTACATCATTCTTTAAAAAGTGAACCATTTCAGTTGTAAATGAATAAAAGCAGGAAGTATCGATTGAATGGAGATGTTAGTCTGCCACCAACTGTCTGATAGAAGCAGCTGCTGTATAACTGGCAGGATTTAGCAAAGCCTCTCCCTCCACCAGGTGAGGGGGTCAGAAAGCCGACAGACTCTGAAACTGCTTTACAGGAGAAACATGATTTCTAATATTCTTTGTTTTCTTTAGAAAATGGTTTCTTCTGGAGACAAAGATAAAGATGACGGTCTCGACTTCAACGAGTTCTCCAACTATCTAATGGAACACGAGAAGAAGTTACGACTTACCTTCAAAAGCTTGGACAAAAACAATGACGGTATGGGGTTGTTATCTAATCGAGCAAAGTTTTAACAAATGTGGAAAATGTAAAAGCTGATTTTAAATTATGGAATTTTCAAATTAGTTTTTATTTTCAACAGGTCGAATTGACTTTTTGGAGATAAAGCAGTCCCTAGCCGATCTGGGAATGGACATCAGCAAAGATGAGGCGCAGAAGATCCTTAACAGGTATTATTACTGCTCACTATGTAGCTACTGTTAATTTAGGAAGCTCAGTACAGTACCATGTGCTCTAAAGAGTTAATTGAGCCTTAATTGCCACTTCCTAGAAAAAAAGGCTCTTATGTTCCTCTTACTTGAGGATCCAAGAAATACTACATGTACCCAAACTGAAAGTGAAAGAGAGATATTTGGTGAAGAACAGTGTAAGACACTGATAACAGGTTTGGACCGGCTGACGGCACATGATAAAGAGCTGGCAACATGTGTTGAAGAACATATCAGCACATGTAGGAATAATGAGAGAGTTTTTTCTTAACTTTGATTACACAATTGTGCATACAATTGTTTCTGTTAGCTTCTTTACTTTGGTTGTAAAACAAAGGTATTGTCCAGATGAGAGCAAAACATGTTAAGGCAGACCTATGTAAATGTGATGCTAAAACACTGTTCATTTGGTTATCATTATCTTTCAAAAAGATACAGTATTTGCAATGCAATTATATGTTTTGTACGTACAATATTTAATACATCCCGTTAAACCCTTCATATTGTTCTTTGCTTTGCAAGTTAGGCTGGGTTTATGCAATGAGCTTTACACAGTTGGTTCTGTATTTGCATAAACATAGAAGCAGCAAACATGCAGTGAGACAGTGAGACCTAGAAAGAGAAGGAAAGCAGGATGTGCATGACAGTGAATCACACAGAAAGAGAGTTTGACCAGCAGAGCTGATTTAGAGGAACATTTTATAAAAGATGAACATTTAAATCAAACCAGGACATTCATTGATTACAGAAGAGACTGAAGTAGATTTGAAGGAGACACATGGTTTCCTTGTTTTTTGTATTCATTTGTCAACTATGCAAAAATAATCCACCATATTGAGTAATGCCATTTTTACAGTTATTGTTGTTGGAATGCATGACTTAAATTTCCATAACCTGTGACCTATTTCTTGTTCGCATGCTCCCTTGCCACTATCTGTTTCCATTAAGCTTTTGCCTCTGTCTCCCTCTATCTCTGACTTGTGATGTAATATATATATATATATTTTTATAATTGTGCATTGCTGGATAACATTTACATTTTGTTTGCAATGTTTCTTTACATTCTTGTTGTTCCAGATTGAGTGTCAGTGTGTGTTGCCGTTTTAGGTGCTGAGCATCACATAGCAGCCAACAGTTAGAGGCCTTCATGTCATGTGACTCCTCTATCCCTCTCTCTACTCACTTTCTTTCAGCTCTCAGCTACACTGTATCTAATGACATATGTTAATGAAGGTCAACCAACATAAATATGTTTAAGATAAATTAGATTTACTGTTAAAACCCTAATTGGCAGTGTTTGCTTCAGTTTTGTATTTTCTGATTTTCAATAAAAACAGCATAAACGGTGAAAACTATTTAAATGAATCTTCTGCTCCTTTTTATTTGTTGTACAGTATTGATGTGGATGGCACCATGACTTTGGACTGGAATGAATGGAGGGAGCACTTCCTGTTTAACACAGCCACCAACCTGCAGGAGATTATCCGCTACTGGAAGCACTCCACGGTATGTGTGTGTGTGTGTGTGTGTGTGTGTGTGTGTGTGTGTGTGTGTGTGTGTTGGTGTGTGTGTGTGTGTGTGTGTTGTGTGTGTGTGTGTGTGTGTGTGTGTGTGTGTGTGTGTGTGTGTGTGTGTGTGTGTGTGTGTGGTGTGTGTGTGTGTGTGTGTGTGTGTGTGTGTGTGTGTGTGTGTGTGTGTGTGTGTGTGTGTGGTGTGTGTGTGTGTGTGTGTGTGTGTGTGTGTGTGGTGTGTGTGTGTGTGTGTGTGTGTGTGTGTGTGTGTGTGTGTGTGTGTGTGTGTGTGTGTGTGTGTGTGTGTGTGTGTGTGTGTGTGTGTGTGTGTGTGTGTGTGTGTTGAACATGGTGATACTCCTAGAGCTAAAACACTGACCAGAAAAAAAAAAAAAAAAAATGTAATTTACAACTAAACATATTGTATCTTTTAGTTTAATGAGGTTTCAATTAATGCATGGTGCTTCCAGTTTAGGAGACATTTAGCAATCACATACGTACTGTCTATAATCAACAGAGGCTTAATTAGAAGCCCTGAAAATGATGCGTACTTTAAGCATTTAAGTCTTCATTTTGCTCTGGTGCCTAGACCAATCCGGCCAGATCGAGGATGCTCTCACAATGAAAAAGACATCTCTAGTTAGAAAATTAATGTTAATTAACATGGAACACACGTGGAGGCCACTATCACAGACATTTTTAAGAACCAATTCACAATAAGGGAAATTGTAAGAGACAGTTGTCAGCTGATGCTGGATTCGGGCCACACCTTGGCAACAGATCAGTAGTAACTCTAATTAGAGGTGAGAAAAGGAGCGAAGGAGGTTACATTACATTACATTACATTGCATTTAGCTGACGCTTTTATCCAAAGCGACTTACAATAAGTACATTCGACCAGGAAGACACAACCTTGAAGAAAACAGAATCATATAAGTACATCAGGTTTCATAGAGCCAAACATTTCAAGTGCTACTCAACTGGCTTTAGATAAGCCAGTCCTTTATTAGTATATAAGTGCTTTGTTAATAGTTCTAACGCTCGAAGTGGAGTCGAAAGAGATGAGTTTTCAGTTTGCGCCGGAAGATGTGCAAGCTATCTGCCGTCCTGATGTCAATGGGGAGCTCATTCCACCATCTTGGAGCCAGGACAGCAAACCCACGTGTTTTCGCCGATGGGAACTTGGGTCCCCCTCGCAGCGAGGGCGCAACGAGTCGTTTGGCTGATGCAGGTTGAGATAGAATCTTGAATTGAATTTCTTGGAAAAAAGGTTGTTGTTTTACGTGTCAATTTATACAAGATAAAATAATCCTTTATAAAACCGCATTGGGAAATTCAGGTGTCAAACTTATTAAGAACATTCTGGTCCTGTTCCAGACATTTTTTCTTAGAGAATATCAATATCACATTATTTATACAATATCACACTATTTGAGATGTCTGGCTTTATAGAAACCATCTGGTACTATGGTTGCATGTCTGAGCCGCAGCCAGCTCCAGTCAATGGCCGACTAATCTCTGACGTTTGCTTCCTCTGTTCACCCACACAGACCTCGGAGGTTAAATAAACCTATGGTTGCTAAATTGAGGCGGAGATAAGCTTATTTCAGGAGGATTATCTTGTCCGTGGGTTGGGACAGGTCACTGAGAGAGGAAGTGAGTCAAGAACAGGACATGAGCGAGGTCGCTGAGATGAAGCTTCGGTGAGACGGGAGCAGTGGCTGGTAACGTCTATGGCACTGAGAGCGTCCCACCATCTCGATTGTTACTGGCCACTCGGGATTCAGCATTTAAATCAATTTATGAGGGTTGTGTAAAGGATCCTGAGAAACAGAGTTTAGGAGGAAGCTTGTGCAAGACTGGGACTATATTGCAGCAGATCAGCATCTTAATCGAAGGCCTGGAAAGCCATGGCTCTGCTGCACCGACAGCAGCAGGAGCAGCAGCGAAACTGGTTTTTCATCAGCTTAGAAGATGATGGGGGGATCTATGAGGTGGAGGTGGACATGGTGGGTTTGTGTTTGAGTGTGAAAGCCATTGGTTGTCAAAACATTTTTCTATGGATTAGCTCTTCCGGAATTGTCAGACAGTTTTAGCTTCTCACAGATACTGAAATATTTGGCCCATTCATTACGAGAAATTGGGATAATTATGTGTAGGCGCTTCAATGTTGCTCTTTGTCCACTAGGGAGCGCTCTCAGGTTTGTCCAATACAAATCTTTTACACCAAATCTAAATTAATGTTAGGATTCTTTATCTTATATCCTTCCTTAGTTCATTAGTTTGTATGTAAGCTATTTTCATTTTCTACACTTTGGGGGGAATGTTTTTTACCACCTGCACCATTGTGATGCAAATAGACATATTATAATGTCAGTTTTTTGTTGGGACTGGAACATAATAGGTTTTATCTATTTCCGATCAGATCATGCGGCATTCCTTAAAATACTAAGTCTGAAATAAACATAAAATTATAATATTACCAAAGCTATATTTTCCAGGTTTTTTGCAGGAATGTTACTCTCCTATATAACAAAACACTTTAATCTAATTGTACCGAAACAACAATTATAAAGTGGCATGCAATGACGTCATTGATCTCACAGCATGGACCTGAAGTTATATAAGACTCCAGATAAGGACGTGCAGTTTGGCCAGTACCGCCGGGCATTAAGTTCAAAGCCAAGCTGCTAATTGTGAGGTGAAACTGCGATTAACCTACAATTAATCTGAGAAGTAAACGTTCATACTGTAGGTTTGAAATTACTTTTGAAACAAAACAAAGCTCTGAGGAAAACCCTAAATTGTAATTCTGCAACACATTCATGTGCATGAATCTGTGTGAGCGTTAACTCGCTCCTTGTTAATGTTAAGAAACTGAACTCACAGTTTAAACAGCATTTGAGTGATATGAATATGATGTGTGTAGGTGCTGGACATTGGGGACAGCCTCTCCATCCCAGATGAGTTCACAGAGGAGGAGAAGACGACCGGCATGTGGTGGAAGCAGCTGTCAGCGGGGGCCATGGCCGGAGCCGTGTCCCGCACAGGAACCGCCCCGCTGGACAGGATGAAGGTGTTCATGCAGGTGGGTCAAACGTTTTTTCTGTCATGTAAAATGAATATATGTTTATTTATACATTTATTTTAATATATATACTTAACAAAACCATATTTACTCAACAGTTGTAATGGGTGTATATATGCTGAGCTATCATATTATGATCAAATTGAAAAAAATCTAAACAGTGAGAAAAGTGATAATTCATAATTCTCCTCATTTAGGGGGTTCAACTGTTTGTAATTGTTTTTGATGTAGCCTAAAGTGTAAAACCTTTAACACTGCATACTGTTAATGTACTTACTTTTGAAAGTGGTGACCTACAGTGCAATGTGTGTTTTGTAATGTACAGGTGCATTCTACCAAGAGCAACAAAATCAGCCTGGTTGGTGGTTTTAAGCAAATGTTAAAAGAAGGAGGCGTGGCGTCTCTGTGGAGAGGAAACGGTATCAACGTACTGAAGATTGCCCCTGAGACGGCCATTAAGTTTATGGCCTATGAGAAGGTAAACACAAACTGAACACAATACCTTCGGCAGGATGTCGCTGTAGATGTAACTTTTGAATGTCAAAGATCCTTATATTCGTGTATGTGGCATTGTATAAAGACTCCCTAAGTAGCAATTTCAGCTAAAGTGTATTACTTCTGACAATAACAAGCATCTGTATTCATTGAGTTTTCATGCATCACTCGTCATTAGTTCAAGAAGATGCTGTCCAGTGAACCAGGAAAGGTCAAGACCCACGAGAGGTTCATGGCTGGATCGCTGGCTGGAGCCACAGCACAGACTGTCATTTACCCCATGGAGGTAACACCTGTGTTCACTCTTTGTTTCATATCAGAGTGTTAATAGTTAGATAAAACTTATTTTTGAATCCCTTTGATAATAATAGTTATTTATTTTGTTAGGTCTAAATTGTCCTCTGAGCATCATTTTCCTCCTGAAGTCGTGCATTTTTCATTCTCCTGAAAATAACGACCAAAGAAAATAAAGATAATGCAGTTTCCTTCCTTTTTTGTAAAAAATATAATGTTTCAAAATATAATTTATAAATTGTTCAGCTACAATCAGACTGAAAGCTTCCGCTCCTACTGTATTGTTAGCCTTGCCGGCTACAAAGCGTTAGTAGCAGTGTTGTCATGTAAACACGGCTTGACTGATAATCTTCGTCCCTGCAGTTGATGAAAACCCGCCTGACCCTGAGGAAGACCGGACAGTACACAGGAATGTTGGACTGTGCCAAGAAAATCCTGAGGAAGGAGGGAGTGAAGGCCTTTTACAAGGGCTATGTTCCCAATCTTATAGGTATCATCCCCTACGCTGGCATTGATCTGGCAGTCTACGAGGTTCGTGGAAAATGAAAGCTCTTCCTACAACATCATCTGTCATTAAAAGCACTTTCACTTGTTTTATAGATGACATTTTGGATTTTGTGAAAATAACAATAGTCCTTTCTTAAACACTTCCTTCTCCCACCAGAGCTTGAAGAACTTCTGGTTGGCCCGCTACGCCAAAGATTCAGCCAACCCCGGCATCCTGGTGCTGCTCGGCTGCGGGACCTTATCCAGCACGTGTGGTCAGCTGGCCAGCTACCCCCTGGCTCTGATCCGCACCAGGATGCAGGCACAAGGTAAAGAAAACCAAATCCCATTCAGAATTCTGTCAAATGTTTCTTTAGCGCTACTGGTAGGCTATTTACCAAGTCTTCCCGTGATCTTACCCAGAAGTGATTTCAATGATCGCACAGTTGTTGGATTATTTTCAATACAAATTAAAACAATACATAAATTATTTGAGCAGTACATGTTGTTTTATTGGTAGAGAAAAAGCACTGCACTACTTTAGCTAAAGTAAAGATTGGGTATATTAAAGGTGGGGAAGGTAAGTTTCAGAAACCGGCTCGAGTGCACTAAAATTTTAAAGTACACAGCCGAAAAGAATCCGCCCCTTCCTTCAGACTTCCTTACAGAGCACCTCCTCCAACACACATGAACGCGCAATGCACGCCCAATGACGGCACGCCCAATGAGGGCACGAGATACATTTGTGCGTGCACGAGTATCTCGAGCCGGTTTCTGAAACTTACCTACCCCACCTTTAACTAAATATGTCAGCCTGCATTCATATATTTTAATTAGCTACATGGCTATTTGTATGTGAAGTTTACTCCCTTGCGTCTTTACAGTTGTGGGTTACTCACATCACTTTCATATTGCCCTTTTCCAGTTCTTAGCGTGAAGCTAAAATAAACAAAAGCCAGATATGTCCCTTTTGCTGTAATTAATGGAGGCTAAAAACCCTGGCATAGTGAACATTAGAATTGCATTCATCAAGTGGACACAAACTATTCTGAATATTTGCTTATGTTGCTTCGTATATATATTGGACGTCTAATATTAACTAAAAGGTTTGCCATGTCAACTTTATAGGGTGTTAATACAAATGTATGTCAATGATATACTTACAGTTTTTTCTGCTGCCCACAAGTGGTCAAAACTAGTTATCGCAGCTTAATCCAAGGGTTCTTTACTTTCTACGAATGGCGTTTGGCACAGCAAACCTTATCACACACGATATGGGTTCTATGGTGGCTGATAGTAATGAAATGGGCGTAAAGTTAATGGAAGAAAAACATCAGCATTACCTGTGTCTCAAGGTCAAATAAGTACTTCATGGGAAGGTGCATACACTTCACACTCTCTTTTACCAAAATCCAGCTTTTATTTTTTGTGGTGTTTCCCATTTCTGTATTTCCTCAGCTTCTCTTGAGGGCTCAGAGCAGATGCCCATGAACCTGATGGTGAAGAAGATTCTGCAAAAGGAAGGCTTCTTTGGACTTTACCGTGGCATCCTGCCTAATTTCATGAAAGTCATACCAGCAGTCAGCATCAGCTACGTGGTGTATGAGCACATGAAGTCTAGCCTAGGCATTCAAAAGTAGGCAGCAGAGTAACGTGTGTCAGAAGTGTAAGAAGATTTGCAACAGTTTTTTTTCAATGTCAGATCCCGTCCATTTGAACAGATTAGGGAATCTTGTCATGTTAAGAATGTGTTTACCTGTAGATCACCAAAGTCTCAAACTGCTGCAAGTGGAGCCGTTGTAGAAGTTTTTAAGTGATGCTGGACTTTGGCAAAACTGTTAAGCCATTCAAAAAGAAAACATAGTTTACAAACTCCTGCAGTGCTTACACAGGGCTAATCATGATTAATAAGACTTCTACAATGTTTCCCACTGTATGTTCTTTGTCCAGCCTGCGTTTACCTGCGTGCACCCACAGATTTAAGTGCACTGTCAGTATCGGGGCCCACATAGCGTTGGATATTAAGAATCAAAAAACCAAAGATGCTTGGAGAGGTTTTGTTTGTTTCATTGTTTTTTTTAAATGGCAATGTTTTTGTATCTGTCACTTTAAGTTTGTATCCTTTCTATGTCATTGGTTTCCCTAATATTTTTACCGAAAGGCACACTTGCTCATTTGGGTTAACACTTTTATTTCTATCTTTATCAAAGAAAATTGGCGTATTTCACTTGTTAAGACACTTTATATAGTTTCCCAAAATAGGGTGTGAGTGGGGAGTTTTTCACTAAGAATCTGAGGGGAACTTTTGAAGTGAAATACTGTATACTACGATGATTCACAGGCTCGTATGTTTGATATTAGTATGTCATTTTGTGGGAAATGTTGAGAGGGAATGTAATGTGCCTAAGTGCTTTTTCTCAGATATCTGTGGACCTCCCCCCCCTTCATGTTTGCCTTGCCTTTCTTTTCAAATGTGGTTCATTATATGCTGGTGTTTACATTAATAAAGACATTTGAATATAAAAACTAAATGTGTCGTCAGTCTTCTATCAAATGTATTGTAATGATTACACTTGATGTTAATCCTATTTATGGCACGACATATTGAGGCAAGCGTAGTGGTGATATCAAAACATATTAAGTCTGATAACTTGTATTGTAAACCCAGATGTACTCAAGGTGTTGTGAGTCTGACCCCTGAGGCTTTAAGTACAGATTACTCAACTAGGTAATAGCATTTCCCCAGTGATCTCAATACTCCTGACTTTAGCCGTCTGATCCTGGCAACGTAAAAGGACACAGTAACAGCAGCTCAGCTGATTTGTAGCATTGCTCTAATGAAGTGACTTTTTTCTTATCATAAAAAAACATCTTTGCCTATTCCAGAAAATTGACAATTTTAAGGAGTCAGTTTTGGTTCTCACTTTTTAGACTATAAAATGCTATAAGGAGCAAAAAAAATACAAATACCATCATATTTCGGATGACAAAAGTGCATTTATTTAACGTTCATTGACCTTCAACATTTTATTTTCTTCAGTTATTTTATTGTGTGGCATTTACTGATACTCTTGTAGTAGTTTCAAAATACAAATGTTTAATCTGAATTATTTGAAACATTGTACACTAACCAATAACGTCTACACAGAGGGCACGTCTTGATAATCTTCTGCTTTTACAGAAGCCAGTTGAGCAGGATCTATAAAATACACAATTGTGGTATCTGAAGGCCTGAGATTAGGACAGAAAAACTCCAATATCAAGGACATATAGTTTCTATATTTGCATACTATTTAATCTGAGAATAGTTTTTTTTCTGGGTATATTCCATTAATTAGAATTGTACCCAGAAAAGAAAAAAATGCCACGATGGTCAGGACAGCGCGCAGGGCTTTGAACCAGCTGGGGTAAGTGGGCAGCAGAGCCAGATCATAATGCAGCGCTATTCCTAGCCCCATGATAACCATGGTGGCTGCAGTAACAATGCTGTCGCTCATCATCATGGACACACAGGCTAACAGCGAGGGAACCACACTGTTGGACAGATTTATCCAGTCAGGTTTGGCTGGGCTACTCTCAGGAAGAGCGAATCCCCAGCGAGCCCCGCCCACGAAGGAAAGGATGGAGGCGCCGTAAGCTAACTGAGCATAAGCCAACTCTGGATAGTAGTTCTCAGTCACAGCCATGAGCAGAGTGGGCGTGACAAAGGGGAGAAGCCCTGCAAATCCAAGGTATAAGGCAGGTTTGGGACCCTTCCACAAGTCCTTCATGTCATAGCGCAGCAGATCCAGCTCTCTGGGAGGTTCTGGGAGCTGGGGGCGCTTCTTCAGCCTCACTGCAGAGGAGTGGAAATGCTGGTTCCTCACGATAGATGGAACTGCATGTGTCTGGGTCCTTTGGAAGAACTCAATCTTCCTGGAGCTGAGGACAGAGGAAGATTTTGCTCCTCTGTCGTCTCTTGCTGTTGAGGCCCAGCAGGTCTGCAGGGAGCTGGATCCACCACCAGAGGCTCCGGGGAGGACTGATGTCCAGCCTCTCTGTGCAGGACCTGCCCAATGCAATACCTAAAGATAAGACATTTATGTTAAGATTACATATGATTCACCTATAATGATACATTAAATAAACATGAGCAAACAAGCTTTTGAAAATCATAAATGCTTTCTCACCTGCTTGGCTGCAAAGGTGCTTCTTTTAAATATAAGAGAGAGCATCTGATGTAAAAAGTAAACAGAGATTTGGTTAGACAGAGCAAAGCCACTCAAAGCCTAAATAAAGACTCAAATGGAATTTAAAGTATGAATACAAAGTACACTGTTTCTGTTTCACTGTTTTCGATAATGTATTATATCTATTACATTTTTTTTAAAACACACTTTATTATGATTGGCATTACCAAAAATTGTGTTTTTGTAGTATTTACATTGGACCAAAAATGTCAACAGCTATTATTACTATTATAAATATTGTTGATATAAGAATGTTGATACGATAGATGCAAAGCGTATTTTTGTATAGCTGCAGTCTACTGTTTTCTAGTAAAGGTACATACAAAAGAACATATTTAATCCTCTAATGACTGAATTTGGCATATAGAAATCACAGCTATCTACATGTGTTTCCCTACCCAAATACATTTTCGGAAACAACTGTCCAAATGTGGAATATGATCTAAAATACAGATCTACTCAGAAACCAGTCTGTCCTTCACCTGTTCATCTTCCTCTCTCAGATACACTAACGTTACACCACTGGAGCCTGCCTTAGCACGTAGCTAACAATTTAAGCTACATTCACGAAACAAAGATCATACAATTACCTCTGTTTTAAATTGAAAGCATCATAATCTACTGTTATTTATTCCTGGGGTCACTCAGAAGGTAGTGGAACACGTTGGTACGCAGCCTAATCCTTCCGTGTTCCACAAGAGGCGCCCTGGAACTACAGTTCCGACACAACACAGAAAGAGCACTGTATTATGTTTCGAACTGGACGCGTTATATATTTTTTGTAAGGCAAGTTTATTTATATAGCACCTTTCAACACAAGGCAATTCAAGGTGCTTTACAAAAATGAAAGACATTCAGACAAAGACATTTAAAAACAGTCATTAAAAAGAAAAGATAATAAAAGAAAAATACATGAATAAAAAGTACATGAATAAAAAGTTACAGTGCAGTTTAAGATATGAACAGTTCACACAGAAGTTCCACTTTACTGATGAACACAACGGCTCAGTTTCAATTAAAAGCAGCGACAAAAAGATAAGTCTTCAGCCTTTGTAGGTGTTAAATAAATATAAATTAACTGCTGAACTTGTTCGAATTCATAAACATTGGGCAATCACGGATTATACTAAAGTCATAAATGGAATTCCCCATAATAACTCCCCCACCTCTACAGACATAAAAAAGAAAGCACATTTTAGTTCTTTAATTTTTCCAATTTAATATGTATTTTTGATTTGATTTTCTGCAGGCTTTAGGTAAAAAAAGGGGCATGTCTTTATAAGACAATATTACACTACAGCTTAACAAACAGAATTGTATATATAAAGTGCTTTGCCAAGTATTATTACTACAATGGACAAATAAAAAATACTCCTGTTTTATTTGATGTTATTGCTTTTTATATTTAATATTAATACTGGTGAAAAATTAGCAGTTTTCAAAAAAGCTATTTAACATTTCCAAGAGTTGTCAATAAAATAGAAATCTACTTTTTCATAAAGATAAACTGTACATTTTCTAAGGGAATAAGCAATTAAGGACAACACAAATGTTGTATATTTGAACAGGATGTGTGCTGGGAGGGATGCAGCATCGTTGATATATTGATATTTTAAACATTAGGGAGGCCATGTCTGGATAATGTGCGAGCCCCAGCTGTGGAGTTACAAAGTTTCCTTGTTTTATAACGGTTAAGGATATAGAGAAAGACAAACTGGTTCAAAGTTACATTCAGTCTATGAGTCTCATTTAACAGCCATTTCTTTATTTTTGACAATGCAATGATTATTAGCTAAGGTTAGATAAAACTAAAAACAAACATATTATTTATTACACCTTTTATGTAGAATGAAATCAGATCAGTCAGCCTTACAGAAAAACAGTATGCTTTAATATCAGATTAGATAAGTGAGTGCCTCATGAGAAGGCCTACAGTGTGTACAAAGGAGAAGTGAAATAAGCCACATAACAGTTACTTCCATGCCTAAAGTGAGCAATACGTTTAACATATAAGAAACATTTGAAATAAAGTAACTTTGCTTCAGTACTTTTGATTCGAACAGCAATAAATGTGTCAGTGAGAAGTGCACAATAATTGTATCAATAGTGCGGATGCATTTGTCTCTATTACCCTTTAACCCCCAGCAGGGGGCAGTCAAACTACATAAACATATTTATCTAAAGGTGGGAACTATCTTTAGTTCTAACATGTTGCTCCCTGTGTTTAAGTTTAACTACTGTAGATAAGAAGAAAAACATTTAAAGTAATAGCAATGTCTCCCGATTGTCCAATCACTTTTCATACATAATCCTTAGAATAAGAGCTATGTCATTTCACCAGTGTTGTCATATATAATGCGCACACACAATGTAATCAATGAGCTCATGGCACAAAGCAAGAAACCACTGTCATCCTCTCAAATAATAATAAAAAAGGAAGCAGCCGCCTGCAGACTGTCACAGCTGTAGGCAGGGCTCAGACGGCATCGCTCTGAAAGACAAACACCAACATTTTTATTACACTGAAATGTAATAATGTAATCCATCATCGTTTACTAACCCCAATCCTCAAACTGTACTCAGTTGCATAATTTACTGGTTAATGAACAATTGGACTTGATTCCAAAAGTAGACGTAATCTGGAATTAATTGGATTAATTAGTGGATAGAATATGCATTAGGGTTTTCCCAGGAAAGGATGTTTTTTTAAATCCTGCCAAATACAATCCTCTTTTTGTATTAAAACTCGTCAAATTATGTTTTATATTATCGATTTATTCACACAGATTAACTCGACTGGACTCATCATGTGATACTGACCCCTCCACAGCAGTCCCCACACAGACATGCCAGCAGGCCGTTCACCACCTGCACAGCACACAGCGCCATCTGGATCAAACCCATGACCAGCAGCACGGAGAACAGGGAGAGATGCCAGGACACCACGCCAGGCGGCTCCAAACACTTCGACCAGATATCTTTGTCTGACAGGTAGTCACTGGAGTGGGAAGGTGAAGAAGAGACAAAAGGTTTATTTAAAAGGTTTTAGGAGCTTTTGTTTTACTGTGTGGTAAGAAATCAAATGCTACATTGGGGAAACGGTAAGCATCTTTGATGAAATAATTAATGAAAGAAGTTTGTCATCAGACTGACACTGGAACTGACCCTTTAACTTTCTTTGGATGGTAAAATGATGTTCACTTTCTTTGATCCATTATTACCCACAAACGTTATGTTAAAGGTATAGTTTGCTTTAAGAAGAGTGCTTGTCAAACAGCTTGATACTTAATACTGGCTGTGTGTCTTACCCATTTGAGAAGGGTGTGTCCCATGTTACTGCTTCGGTATTGTTAACCACACATTGAGGTCCTTCATTAATAGCCACAGCAGAAACTATAACTGAGTAACCAGCCCCTGCAACACCGACAGCTGCAAACAGTATGGAGCTCAGCATCTACACAGAGAGGGAAAGAGATAAGAGAAGTTACTCATATTTGCAATCAATACCGTTCTCGTTTCTAACTCCTGTTACTACAATGGAGTTTTTATTCTTTCACTGTGCAGATAACAGGCTGGGTGAGGGTCACCAACAGAGCATTGACAACACAGAGCTACTGAGGTGCGTGTGTGTGTGTGTGTGTGTGTGTGTGTGTGTGTGTGTGTGTGTGTGTGTGTGTGTGTGTAGGGGTGCTGCTTTCCACACCTTCACATTTTTTAAGTATTGATCAGTCTGTGCCGAAACAATGCCAGCTCTCTGTGATAAAGTCATGTGAAACTCCCATTAGACTCATTTCTTGTTACTGTACTGGACATATATCACAATTACCTCACATCAATTTGTGTTCAATGTGTGTGTGTTTATGCTTTTTGGTATTTATTGCTCAGTAAATTATGGAGGGTGTGTACATAGTGCAATTGGGTTTGTTGTAGAAGTGATGAGACTTATGATGGTGAGAAGTTAAACAGCAGTGAAACATCTCCTCACCGCAAATCTCCGCCCGCAGCTTTCATTGCCACAGCAACCACAGCAATCATTGTTCTTCAGACCCAGAAAGACCAGAGCTGGGAAGATCATCTGTCACACACACACACACACACACACACACACACACACACACACACACACACACACACACACACACACACACACACACACACACACACACACACACACACACACACACACACACACACACACACACACACACACACACACACACACACACACACACACACACACACACACACACACACACACACACACACACACACACACACACACACACACACAGATATAAAGATGATGTTTAGATAATGCCCATCTGCAGGAGGAAATGAAACTGCTGAATGTCCCGCAATAAACATAGAGATATGAAATACTGTAAAACTAGTTCCTAAACATATTAATGATGCGCCCACTATCAGCAGCATTATCAGATGTTTAAAAAAATATGCCTTTAGATTAAGTTTAAATACACTTTCTTTCACATTTCCAAACATAGTCTAGTAGCTTTAAATGGATGGATAGATTATTTAATAGCATTCCTATAATACTATTCTCATGTATTTTCTAATGTTTCTAATGTGAACTAGCAGTGCAGTACATGAGATCACCACATCCTTTATTTTTAAACTTACACAATGAGTTGATTTTCTGTTAATATTTCGATAACATATTTTTTTCTAAGGTACAAAATGTTATTCGTTCTTCAATTACAGTATTCTAAATGTGATGGCTTTCTTTTTGACTTGTATTATATCTAACTGCATATATTGAGGTCATTGACTGCTAAACAGACAAAACGAACAATCTGGCGACTTTCAGAGCTAACATATTATAAAGGGCATATTTCTTCTATTTTCTGAAATATTATAGAATACACAATTATCAATTATTCAAGGCACATTTAACTGCAATGAAAATAGTTTTTAGTTGACGCCCAAATACATTTCAATAATATTATCTATAATCTATTTTCATGAGAATACACAGACATACTGACACTGTCAACAGAAGCCTCACATATCACTCCAGTAGCAATAGATTAAATATCGAAAACTACACACACATATTCAGACTTCTGGAAGAATCCAGATTTCAGAGCAGCAGCTGATATCATAGTGTACATCCTCTACTACACAATGCCAGATTCCCCCAGCTTTTACTCTCAGTGTTGTAACGTTAAAGATACTCACCAGCACTCCAGATCCCAGAATGCCTCCAAAGTACCAGACTTGCTCTGTGATGTGTTCTTTCTCCACAGGTTTCCCCCCAGGGAAGAAGAGCAGGATGTTGCACAGCACACACACAATCGCCAGAGGCATCAGACTGATTCCCAGACACTTGGCAAAGTTGCCTGAACACATTCTAATGCTTCAACCTCCTCTACTAGGGAAAACTACTTAAACTATCTCAACACTCCACCTACACTGGCAGCTTTGTTTTAAACTCTTGTCCAGTCCTCAATAATAGTACTCCAGCAGCTGGCTGAATATTAGGCCTATATTTATCAGCAACTGCAGCTTCCACACACCTTCTAAGAGTGTTTTCTAATACTTCTAAAGCTTGGTTCGTCTGAAAGCTCTGTTCACTTCACTTGATATTTAAAAATGAGCTTGTCTGCCTGACCTGTCCCTATTTGGCTGATGCTATGGTTGAGCCTTTATAGCCCACCCTTCCCTCAGTGATTCACTTTTATAGCAGCTGTAATATGGCAGGATCACACACAAACTCGTACAAACACACATGCACATGTATGCAAACACACACACATTAATGCTGGGTAACACGCCTGTGTGTGTGTGTGCACACACACTGGCAAAGACACAGTGGTTAATGTTCTACTATGTGTTTGTTTATATGGAGACAGAGAAGGAAGTGACAGACAGTTGGTCGATAAGCAGAGGCCTCAACGCTGATCTGCAGCTACCGCAGGTTAGTGAGTAACAAAACAAGACTTCAAAGTTTAGGACGCTCCATTAATCAACTCATATTTACTCATAATGTTTCACGATGTTACAGGTCGACAGATGTGAATCAGATGTGTGAAACATAATATGTTGAAACAATGTTCTGCATTTATCACAATAAAACTTCAAAACTGCACTACCTTCCTGGATATCACTTTTAATCACAGATATAATTAGTTTGGCTAAGCAAATTGGTCATATAGTTATCATCTGTAGACTTGAGTTAACATTGATTAAATAGACAAACGTCATAAAATCATTGATTTTGAATGGATTACATTTGCTCTTAGTGCTGTGAAAAAGACAAACACATGCACCAAAATGAGTCATTAATCTGTGAACATTTGAACTAAATTGGTTTTAAACGAATCCTGCCTCTGCTTGCACTGACGATTATGATTTTTACTTTCATTTGTAAGTTAAAAAGAAGAAAAACGGGGTGTTGATGTTATAAAATAATACAAATCTCAGACAAATGGTTTGCCCTTGTCCCGTTGGAATTAAATAAAATGTCACATATATTTGTTAAAACTCTCGCAACAAACCTGAATTTAAACAACAGTTTGTAAATATGAGTAGGCTAGAGGTTAGTTTCTTCAGAACTGTTGCTATCCAAACTTTGTCCTGTTCTCTGAACTATGGGTGATCCCTCTTGAAGTGTTTTCTTTTTACCTGAAGATGAATGGGAATATCAGCCTAGAACAGGATGCAAGATTGAGGTTTTAAAATTTGAATTAAACTAAAATACATTTCCACATTATTTTCTGCTGAAACTTCAGCATCCATCGATGTATTCTGTAATCACGTTCTTTGCTGCCGACCTAGTTGAGACAGACTCAATGGATTACCGATTAACAGATCAGAAGCCGAAAGTTCAATGCGGTTTAATTTTGTTCAGTAATTGTGCCTTGTTGTTTTCAACAGTCGCTGTTTTTTTAAAGCGCGATGGATACCGACTTGTCTTTCTGCTCTCGTCGGTCTCCTGTGGTGTGTTTACACGGCTGCGCGGCGTCCAGCCAGCCGATAGCCTCCAGTTTAGGACTCGGTGAGTGGAAAGCAGTTGCCATAGAGATTCAAAATATTTGATGGCAAAATGACAAGCATTTTATTAAAAAATCTACTAATAAATAATAAACCGAGAACAAAGCCTGGGATATTCCACAATGAAGTTGCACCATAAAAAGAACAGTCCATAAAAGGAAGAAGTTAGTTAGTGCATTGAGTTTTGAGCTAACTCAATGCTAGCAAACTAGCTACAAAAGCACAACAATGCTAAGAGGGAACATTTGAGGATCAGAAACAGAACATTTGAGACCCTAATAAAGTGCATTATTGGCACTGTGACATTTTTTGAATAAGACATTTTCTCATTCTTAGACCACACAACTATTGTTTTTGATGCAATATCTTATAATCATTTAACCCTCAATGGCATACTGTTGCCCTCAGGCAACAAACCACTTTTTTCGACCTCACACTGGCCCTCCAAATATATATATATATTTTAAATATACACAATGTCACCTGACATGCTGGTGTCCAATAAAATTAGGGAATTATATGGGTGTGGCATTTTGTCTGGGGGTGGAGCAGTCCTTTCTGCAAGCAAAGCTGCAGGGGACTCGGGGCCACCAAGGTAAGATACATTAAGATACATTTCACTTTTTAACATATTATAAATGTACACAACTTAAATAACCATACAAATCTCCCTGATCTTAATATTACATTTTGGCTTGTTTTTCCAAAGCACTCTATTCAGAGATTATAGCAACAAATCCTAATTTTAAAAGTCTGAAACTGAGGAATGTTTTGGCAGTTTAGCTCGAGACAATAAAATGATTTGTCCAACTACTAAGCGTTTCACCACCTCTAGCCAATACCATTAATGCAGTAATACATGCAACCTCTTATCTATGTTTTATTCATGATTTAAAAATAGATTCAAGACTGCCAATGGTTCTTGATAATACTCATAGTAAGGTATTACAGATTGGTTTAAAAATGACAGCCCGGCATTCACAGGCAATACATTTCATATTCATATTGTTGCTTCCTCAGATGCACAGATGTTCATATAAAAGGCTCATTCTCTCTTTGCAGATGTTTAATCTTTCCATGTGCCTATGATATTTAAGATACCAATTTAGATTCGAGCAATTTAATTTGTGCAGCTTACAAACACATTTTTGGAATGAAGGGTTACAAAGTTGGATGCATTGAAAACGTTTAAAATAGAACCCAAACTGTTTGCACTGATAAATAACCGTGCAACATTATTCACACAAAGGTTATGTGTTTGTGTCCAGACATCCTTAAGCGTGGTGGCAATGCAGCAGATGCTGCGGTTGCGATAGCAGCAGCACTGGCGGTAACAGAGCCATGCAGCACTGGACCTGGTGGAGACGCCTTCTGCTTGTTCTACAACGGAGAAACCGGAGAGATCACAGGAATTAACGGCAGGTGGAGAATCTTCTCTCTCCGCTGTTTTTTTCTTTCTTCATATTACAGAGTGGTTAGCTGAGACTCTCTCTGTGTCCTTCTCAGTGGTCGTTTGCCCAGGGCGCAGACCTTGGACTTCCTGGAAGGACTGGTTACACTGCGGGGGCTCCTCCTTCACCTTCTGATGCCCTGAATGTCACAGTACCAGGGGCCCCTGCATGCTGGTGCGATACCGTGCAGCTATTTGGAAGTCACAAGGTTGAACTGTGTGTATGTCTTCTTGTATCTACACTGAACAAAAATATAAACGCAACACTTTTGTTTTTGCTCCCATTTTTCATGAGATGAACTCAAAGATCTAAAACATTTTCTATATACACAAAATAATAATTTCTCTCAAATATTGTTCACAAATCTGAAAAAATCTGTGATAGTGAGCACTTCTCCTTTGCCGAGATAATCCATCCCACCTCACAGGTGTGGCATATCAAGATGCTGATTAGACAGCATGATTATTGCACAGGTGTGCCTTAGGCTGGCCACAATAAAAGGCCACTCTGAAACGTGCAGTTTTGCTTTATTGGGGGGGTCTGGGGGGGTCCGAAAACCAGTCAGTATCTGGTGTGAGGGGTAGGGGTAGGGGTAGGGGTAGGGTTAGGGTTAGGGTTAGGGTTAGGGTAATGTTGTGAATTGAGTGGCCCATGGTGGTGGTGGGGTTATGGTATGGGCAGGCGTATGTTATGGATGAAGAACACAGGCCACTCGATTCACAACATTACCCTAACCCTACCCCTAACCCTACCCCTAACCCTACCCCTACCCCTACCCCTCACACCAGATACTGACTGGTTTTCGGACCCCCCCAGACCCCCCCAATAAAGCAAAACTGCACGTTTCAGAGTGGCCTTTTATTGTGGCCAGCCTAAGGCACACCTGTGCAATAATCATGCTGTCTAATCAGCATCTTGATATGCCACACCTGTGAGGTGGGATGGATTATCTCGGCAAAGGAGAAGTGCTCACTATCACAGATTTTTTCAGATTTGTGAACAATATTTGAGAGAAATTATTATTTTGTGTATATAGAAAATGTTTTAGATCTTTGAGTTCATCTCATGAAAAATGGGAGCAAAAACAAAAGTGTTGCGTTTATATTTTTGTTCAGTGTATATGCAATACACAGGTGGCCAAAAGCCCATTAAATGTAATGCTTTAGATGACATAAACAAGCTAAACATAAACACTGCAAGTGGAACCACATTGACACACACCACCAACACATCTGGAAGTAAGATTCTTAGTGTGTTTCAGACAGTGGTGTTAAAGGTGAATCAATCTATCATTGAATGCTGTGGAATTTCCCTTTTCTTCAAACCCTGTTTTAGTAAAAACAGGATTACCTGGGCCATCTCGGAAGGGTTTCTACATATTATCCACCAAATGTGGGCAAGATTTTAGGAACACAGTGTGAGTTTCACTTCACTAACAAAACAGCTCTGCCTGCTCACATTTAAAGAAGGGTATTAGACAAACACAAAATGTTTACTACTGTGCGGTTTGTGGCCTGAGCATGTGTTTTGGAAAACTTTATGTTGTTAGCTAAAATAGAACAGCTCAACCGAGTAGTTAATAGCCCTACATTATAAAGTAACCAGTGAAATATCCTCTTATTCGCAATGATGATTCTGATTATTAGATGGGTTTTTTTCCCGACTGGAAAACCTTTAAAGGAAGTGACAAGTTTCTAGTCTCCACATATTTCTTGTGAAAACAATGACTCACACTTCCTGCTCAGTGAGGTTTCCTGTGAGGTAATAAGCGCGTGTTTCCTCTCCCCATTTCCCTAGCTGTCCTTGCAGGAGGTGCTGAGCGGGGCATCAGAGCTTGCAGAGGTGGGGTTTCCTGTTGCCGAGGTAACAGCTCACCACTGGGCGAAATGGGTGGCTGCTCTGAGAGATGATGGGAAGGAACTAGGCGGAGACCTGCTAATTGATGGTCATGCTCCTAAATGTGGTCAAGTATTCAGAAACCCTAACCTGGCCCAGACCCTGAAGGTAAATCTTTAAACTAAAACAAGCAAAAAACACATGTTAAGGGTCATATGAGGAGCATGAAAGGTCCCCTATTATACTGTTTTTCATCAATATATTATAGGTCTCAGATATATACAAAACATGTCTCTGAAGTGTTTGGCTCCAAACACCAAATAGATCATTGTAGCATCCCATAATCCCCTCTGTTTCAGCCCTGTTTCAAAAGTGCTGATTCTCTGTCTGTTACTTTAGATGAAAATAAGGAGCCCCTCCCCACGCCCCTCTGAGAGAGATTTGGTTAAAAAGAACACAATGGTGCTCTAGGAGGAGATTCAGGTGATAAGGTGGTGGGGGTTACCTTGGTTGGTTATTGGCTAATGGTTACACTAGCCAAAAAACATTATGACATCATAAAGTGGCCAAAATCTGATCAGCTAATTTTCAGACAGGTTTTTATATAAATGGATCAGGACAAAAAGAGAGAGAATCTTTTTTCCTGAAACTTTCAGAATCTCTTTACACAGAGGGGACACATGTTTATGTATAACAGACTTGGAAAAGTGGACTTAATAGGTCCTTGCGAACATAGTTGCATGGGTGTGTGCAGACTAAGTAACATTCATAAAACGAGGTTCAATCTGTAGTTTCCTGTCAGTTTCCCTACATAACTATGTCTGACGCCCACCATTTGGGTGCGGTCCGCTTGTGTGTCACTATAAAAGCATGCGCTGATCGATGCTCGTCTTTATTACTACATTAAACACTCACTCTTTAGTAATTCAATAAAGCAGGAACACTGCCAAGCCATGATAACCCCTGCACTCCCTCACACTCCCAGACCTTAGGAAAATGAAACAATAGGAGTGACCTCAGCTTCATTGATCGAGGGTTTCCATGGCACCATAACGGTCATTCCTCAGCAATGACGGGGTGTGTCTTTTTTGTGCTGAAAGCTCACACTCACATCATCCTGTTCATTTGACCACATCACACCAGTTCTGGCTTCCCTCCACTGGCTTCCTGTCCATTTTAGAGTCCATTTTAAGATTTTATTGTTTGTTTTTAAATCTCTTAATGGGCTGGCCCCAGAGTACATCTCCGACCTTTTACAGGTGTACATCCCCTCAAGGGCTTTGAGGTCGGCTGATCAGCTGCTGCTGATAGTCCCAAAAACAAAGAAAAAGACCAGGGGAGACCGAGCGTTCTCATCGGTAGCCCCCAGGCTCTGGAACGACCTGCCCCCTCATGTGAAATTGTCGCCCACTCTTGAAGCTTTTAAGTCCCGCCTAAAGACCCACCTCTTTTCCCTCGCCTTCATGTGCCTTGTATTTATTCTTATGTGTGGTTTTTTATCTATTCGTGTAATATTATATTTTATTATAATGTTATGTTCATTGTGAAGCACTTTGGCAAACCCTCTGTTTTTAAACTGTGCTATATAAATAAAGTGGATTGGATTGGATTGGATTTGCTATCATGGATTGGACTTTTAGAGATAAACAATAGTGGGCACGTAACCCGCATATTTCCAAACATTTGGACTACCTATGTTGTAAATGTATTATCTTTTCGATTTACACACGGCATCTATTGCACGTCTGTCCGTCCTGGGAGAGGGATCCCTCCTCTGTTGCTCTCCCTGAGGTTTCTCCCATGTTCCCCTTTAAACTGTGGGTTTTCTCCGGAAGTTTTTCCTTGTACGATGTGAGGGTCTAAGGATAGAGGGTGTCGTTTTTTCTCATACTGATATTCTTTACACACTGAAGACCACTGAGACAAATGTAACATTTGTGATATTGGGCTATATAAATAAACATTGATTGATTGATTGATATATTTCAAACTGTATACATGCTGCATTACATCATATTTTAACGTTTGTGTTTTATACAGTTTTATTTCATGTGGCTGGATTGAAAAGTTGACTGAATTCATCAACAGGAGCTGGGAGAGCATGGCAAACCAGCTTTTTACCAGGGCAGAGTGGCCCAAGCCATCGTCAATATCGTAATCCAAAATGGAGGAGTCATGACACTGGATGATCTCAGCAGCCATGACAGTGAGGTCGTCACCCCTATTAGCACAGAATACAAGGTGATTTCCGCAACAACTTTTCTGTCTTTTCTTTGACTACTTGGTCAGCAGCATGAATGACTCAATTGTGTGTCCAGGGTGTGCGTCTGTGGGAGCCTCCTCCTAACAGTCAGGGATTGGCTGCCCTGCTGCTACTCAACATCCTGGACAACTTCCCTCTCAAAGGTATATCCTGGCATGCTGACGTGCCATCAATTACTGCCTTATACAAGAGAATCTCAAATATAGATATTATTCTTGTAACATTGGTGATCAAAATGGCGTTTGGCAGTGTTTACTGATGATTTATCTGCTGAAATCAGAATGACCTAGATTTCCAATTCTCTACCATTCTCAAGTGCTAAAGAAAGGGCATTGTCCTGATTTTCCAAGATGGAAAATGCACCAAGCAGCTCTCAATACTTTAATTATGAGCCAATCCTCACACCCAAATATTGATGATTTGCCCCCCTCACTTTGTGGAAACAATTAAGCATAAGCATGCTCACATTATCACTCATAATAGTCTTGGTTTTATTTGTCTGGGAGAGGATGTCCTGCTCTTTATATTCCCCCCTCTACACATTACAATGGAGGAGGTTGTGATTCCATTGATGTGATTCAAAACATTCAATAATGACACTTAAAAAACACTGCAACAAACAATGATCCATTTCAGTGAACTTTTCACAGTCCATGGATTATTTAAAGCTCTTGAGATATTCGCCCTGGTTCACCCGAAAAATAGTCAGTGGGATTTTTCTATTGGATTTTGGACTATTGCAAAAAACAAGCTCTGTGGAAAACAAATATGTATGCACTACTTTTTGTTCAGTAAGATACTCTTCACAAATAAAAACACCTTTAATGCTATTGGAAGCCTAATGGCAATAGCTAGCAAAAGCAAGCTTATGTTAGACTACAGTTAATATTAAACAACGGTTGCATGACCTAACCTATACCTGACCTATAACATTGCTAACAGGCTTAAAAAAAAGAAGCTTTAGCTGCTTTGACAAGTTTGTACAGATGGATGGTTGTTGAAGGTTGCCACACTGTTGATGTTAAAACTACCACAATGTCCAATATACATTTGTCTGAAGTTGCTATGATATTTTATTTACTTCTTAAAGAGGATAAAACCAAAAGTCACACAAAAAATAAGTGTCTGTTGATGATATTGTTCGATTTGCACTCATCTGTTGTGTGTGTGTAGCTGCAGGCCACAACAGCTCTGACTACATCCATGTACTGGTGGAGGCTGTGCGCTTGGCACAAACAGATGCTGTGCGTTACCTGGGCGACCCTGACCATGTGACCATCCCTTTGGAAACGTTGCTGGACAAGAGCTACAGCCACCAGCGAGCACAGCGCATACGCATGGACAGGTGTGTGTAAGTGTGTCTGTCTGTTAGTACCAGTGTGTACCAGTCATTCTCTGTTGACTTTAGATAGGACTGTAGACTTTTACTCCCCCCCCAACCTTAACGTCCATCCCTTCATACCTTGGTCTCTCCTCCACTGTTCTGTTTGCGTGTGTGTGTGTGTGTGTGTGCGTGTGTTTGTGTGTATTTTTTGGCAACAAAATATATTTACTTTGCAGTATCGTAGACTTTGAGCCTTTGGCCTTCATCAGTTCTAAAACAAATAGACAAACACACTTAAAATGTCTTGAATAACATAATGATATCTTTATACAAACACATACATATGTTTTTGCTGTGTACAAATACATATCCCAATCATACACATGTCATAGGTTTAGTATCACCCCAAGTCAACCATAATCATTTGAATAAAGCGTAAAATAAATGTGTATCAGAACCTGATTACCCGCAACTATGTTTACATGTATAGTATAAAACAGCTTACTGGTAGAAATCAAGCAAAGGCAGTAAATAAGAGATCATATTCACATGCACTGCAATAACCTGTAAAACCTGTGTTTACATGCTGACAGTCAGATTATTAAGTAAACTCCCTATGACATTTTTAAACCAAGACTGGCTTATGGTTTAGAAGTGCTTTATGGCACCTGATGCTGAAGAGTATTTTGTGTCCTGGTCTTAAAATTAGGAATGATAAGACAGGTAGTGATAAAGCACACAATTATTTAGTTTTTAACTTATAACTTGTGCAGTATACTAAATATACAATTTATTTCAATTTTTGAAAATATATTTACATGTCAATACAATTATTTATCTTTCAGTGACTTTATAAAAAGGGTTTCTATAAAGCAGTTTTTGCTGCACAAACATGCTTATTACAAAAAAGAAATTCCTACAGTTAGATGGCCGGATTGAAATCACCCTGATGCGTTAATGCTACATTTTAACAGCTGGTGTCGGCAGATGAAAACAGCAGCAACATGATTAATCTATGCATGTTTTTAATTGTGTGTATTTTTCTGCAGGGTCATGGAAGAGGTGGAGCCCGGCTTGATGACAGGAAGTGACACAGTCTATTTTTGTGTGATCGACAGCCAGGGCAACGCTTGTTCATTTGTCAACAGCACATACATGGGCTTTGGCAGTGGGCTGGTCCCTAAGGATTGTGGATTCTCACTACAGGTGACTACAGGACACATAGAATGGATTGGTGTCTTTACTCCTCAATGACAGTAACCAAATATATTTAAGTTGTGGACAAAACAAGACATGTAAGGAAATGTTTAGACCACGAAAAACACAAGGAATGAAACAAGATGCATTTTTTTAAACATTATGATCCCATTATCACATGGTATTGTTACATTCTCTTACAGACCAAACCTATATGGAGACGCATTGCTGTAGTCAAGTAATATGTAACAAATGTAATATCCATGGAACACAGAGAAGTAGAATTCATAGTTTGCTTTTAAGAATCACCCTTAAACCTTAAAACTAGATGAGGATCTAGAAAAAATGGATGTGTGTCATTAAATGAGATTTCTACGTTATTGCCCACAGAACCGGGGTGCCAGCTTTTCTCTGCATCGTGGCCATGTCAACTGTGTCGCTGGAGGGAAGCGGCCGTTTCACACTATAATCCCTGCACTTCTCACTGACTCTGCAACCACATCAGAAAAACCAGTCCTCCTTGCTGCGCTGGGGGTGATGGGCGCTTTGATGCAACCGCAAGGACACGTCCAAGTATGATTGAGAATAGACTGGGCTGAATAAGGAAATGCAGAACAATATCTATCAGATGAAGTATGGGAAATATGTCCCTGACATGTTTGTTTTTAATAATTTACTTTGTATTTGACCGCAAAAGTTGCTATTGATTATATTTTGGTCACACTAGATCAGAAAGTGGAGAAATCCAAATTTGAGACACTTATGACAAAATCATAATAACCTGAACGTTATAAACAAGTTTAATGTGTTTATGAGTTATGATATGATATTGCTCTTCTGTGTTCAGGTGTTGCTAAATATGTTGGCGTTTGGGATGAATCCTCAACAGGCTCTAGACGCACCAAGAGTCTATGTACAATATGACCACACAAGTAAGTATACATATACGAGTCATTGAAATGTTGTGAAAGAAGTCAGTCAGTGTATTACATTACATTTAGCTGACGCTTTTATCCAAAGCGACTTACAATAAGTGCGTTCGACCAACAAAATACAAACTTGAAGAAAACAGAATCATATAAGTACATCAGGCTTCATAGAGCAAAAACATTTCAAGTGCTACTCAACTGGCTTTAGATAAGCCAGCCCTTTATTAGTATATAAGTGCTTTGTTAATAGTTCTAAGATGTGTAAGCTATCTGCTGTCCTGATGTCAATGGGGAGCTCATTCCACCATTTTGGAGCCAGGATAGCAAACCCACGTGTTTTTGCTGATGGGAACTTGGGTCCCCTTCGCAGTAAGGGTGCAGCGAGCCGTTTGGTTGATGCAGAGCGGAGTGCACGTGCTGGGGTGTACGGTTTAACCATGTCCTGGATGTAGGAAGGGCCAGATCCATTCGCAGCATGGTACGCAAGTACCATTGTCTTGAAGTGGATTCTAGCAGTTATCGGAAGCCAGTGAAGGCAGCGGAGGAGCGGCGTGGTGTGGGAGAATTTAGGAAGGTTGAAGACCAGACGAGCCGCTGCATTCTGGATGAGCTGCAGAGGTCGGATGGCACATGCAGGTAGACCAGCCAGGAGGGAGTTGCAGTAGTCTAGGCGTGAGATGACGAGAGCCTGGACCAGAACCTGCGCCGCTTTCTGGGTCAGCATCCTCCTGATGTTGTAAAGCGTGTATCTGCAGCAGCGGGTTGTAGCAGCTATGTTTGCAGTGAAGGACAGGTTGTTATCTAGGGTCACACCCAGATTCCTTGCAGTCTGAGTCGGGGAAACAACAGAGGTGCCAATGTTGATTGTTAGGTCAAGAGTGGGACAATTTTTTCCCGGAAGGAAAAGCAGTTCAGTCTTGTCAAGGTTGAGCTTGAGGTGATGAGCAGACATCCACTGAGAGATGTCAGCTAGACAAGCAGAGATGCGTGCGACGACCTGGGTCTCTGAGCGGGGAAAGAACAGAATTAATTGGGTGTCGTCAGCGTAGCAGTGGTATGAAAAACCATGCGGGCTAATGACTGTTCCGAGCGAGTTTGTGTACAAGGAGAAAAGGAGGGGACCAAGAACAGAGCCCTGAGGGACCCCTGTAGTTAATTGACAAGGGTCGGACTCGGGCCCTCTCTAAGTAACCCTGTAGGTGCAGTCTTTGAGGTATGAGGTGAGGAGGGAAAGTGCAGAGCCTGAAACTCCAAGTGCTTGGAGAGTGCGAAGGAGGATCTGATGATTCACCGTGTCGAATGCAGCAGACAGGTCCAAAAGGATGATGACAGAGGAGAGGGATGCAGTTTTGGCAGTGTGCAGTTCCTCAGTGACAGCAAGGAGGGCAGTTTCTGTGGAGTGACCTGCCTTGAAACCAGACTGGTGCGGATCCAGAAGGTTGTTCTGATGGAGATAGCAGGAGAGTTGTCTAAAGACAGCGCGTTCAAGTGTTTTAGACAGGAACGGGAGGAGAGAGACAGGCCTGTAGTTTATAACATCCGACGGGTTGAGAGTGGGTTTCTTTAGGAGAGGGTTTACTCTTGCCTCCTTGAGACTGTTTGGAAAGTGACCATAAGTTAGAGAAGTGTTGATGAAATGGGTGAGAAACTGTAGAATATCAGGAGCGATAGTCTGAAGGAGGTTTGAAGGGATAACAAAGTCGCTTGACAGAAGGGAGGAGGTGGAAGGGGCGTTGGGGGGGTCCAGGAGGGAGGAGAAGATGGAAAATAGTTTTTTGGGATTGGAATAGGAAGATTGGATCTTATCTTGAAAGAAAGTGCTTTTTGCCTGAGAGATCGAAGCAGAGAAAGAGGAGAGGAGAGCCTGATAGGTTAGGAGGTCGTCACGGTGTTTGGATTTCCACCATTTCCGCTCTGCTGCCCGAAGGACGGTTCTATTAGCACGCAGTGCATCATTTAGCCAGGGAGCAGGAGGGGACTGACGAGCCTGCCGAGATGTGAGAGGACAGAGAGAGTCCAGAGAGGATGAGAGAGTGGAGAGGAGAGAGGAGAGTTTCTGCAGCAGAGTTTTGAGGTAGGAGTTGGAACGAGTCAGAGGAAGGGAGGGCTGAGAGCACCGATGAGGCAAAGGTAGAGGGGGAGAGGGAACGAAGGTTACGGCGGACAGGTGCAGGATGGGAAGAGATTAGTTTGTTATGTTTGGAAAGTGGTAGAGAGAATGAAATGAAGAAGTGATCGGATGTGTGGAGCGGGTTTACAGAGAGGTTAGAATTAGTGCAGTTCCTTGAGAATATGAGATCAAGGACATTGCCAGCTTTATGAGTTGGTGGGGACGGAGACAGTGAGAAAGCAAAGGCGGTTAACAGAGATGTTAGTTCGTCTATCTTCCCTGTCTGGAGGTTGAAGTCTCCGAGAAGTACAGCGGGAGGACCAGTTTCAGGGATGTGTGAGAGGAGATGATCTAATTCCTCCAAGAAGTCCCCCAAGGCGCCTGGTGGACGGTAGAGAACAACAATGGTTAACTGTATAGGATGGGTTACTGTGACGGCATGGAATTCAAAGGTGGAAGGAGTGAAGTTAGGTAGCTTGAAGAGGGAAAAGCTCCATTTGGGAGAGAGCAGGAGACCAGTGCCACCTCCTCTGCCAGTGGGTCTAGGTGTATGGGAGAAGGAATATGCTGTGGAGAGAGCTGCTGGGGTGGATGTGTTGGATGGAGTAATCCAGGTCTCAGTGAGAGCAAGGAAATCCAGGGACTGCAGGGAGGCGTAGCCAGAGATGAAGTCAGCCTTAGGAACAGCTGACTGGCAGTTTCACAGGCCGCCTGAAACTAGATGTTGGATCTCAGTGGAGCATGTGGGATAGACGAGAGCAGGCCGGTTATATCGATTACGAGATACACGGGGCCAGTGATAATTGCGAGAAGACACAAACAGGAATGGAGAAAATACACATGATTATAGCATGAGGGGCTAAACAACCAAAGAAAATAAAACACCAGCGATACTTAGCTCAATCAGAGTAGGATTTGCCTCCTCTTTGCCTCCCTCGTGACTCCCGCAGGACTCTAATGTCTTTGTCAGTCTTAGAGACTCCCGCAGGACTCTAATGTCTTTGTCAGTCTTAGCCTGTCTGAGGCTCCAGGAAAGTGCTACCTAAAATGGACACCTGATTGCTGAGTTCTCACAGCTGTGGGGCCATGTCCCTTTAATTAGTTCACTCTCTGCAGCTGGTGGCCCTCAAAAGGAAATCTAGACTGGCTTCCTCCTGACTTGTTATTGTCTTTTAAGTGGCCCAATGGTTTTACAATTACATTAAACCCTAAGTTATAAAGTTACGAGTTTAACCCTTAATACAGTTACACCTACTCAATAAAGCTCTTAGTATTCTACAAATGTTTAAATCAAAGTTAACCCTAGCAGTCAGTTAGTTCAGTTTTAAGGTTTCAGTCAAATTACTTGTCCCAAGTTTCTGCCTGACAGATACTGTAGCGGTTTTGAGATTTAAAATCACAATTTCAGTCAGATCAACTACAGAGCATTGATACAGAGTACACACACTGAAACAGAGAAGTCTAAAAGCAGAATGTTACTCACACAATTCTAGAAGTCTCCAGTTGCTTTCCTGTCAAAATCGAGTTGCACACTGGCAGGTCAGTGATTAGGATAAGATTTAAATACAGTTTCTGGGGGGGAAGTGGGGGGAGTGGCCACAGATCACAGCTGATGGGCCTCAATCGAGACTGGCTTCCTCCTGACTTGTTATTGTCTTTTAAGTGGCCCAATGGTTTTACAATTACATTAAACCCTAAGTTATAAAGTTATGAGTTTAACCCTTAATACAGTTACACCTACTCAATAAAGCTCTTAGTATTCTACAAATGTTTAAATCAAAGTTAACCCTAGCAGTCAGTTAGTTCAGTTTTAAGGTTTCAGACAAATTACTTGTCCCAAGTTTCTGCCTGACAGATACTGTAGCGGTTTTGAGATTTAAAATCACAATTTCAGTCAGATCAACTACAGAGCATTGATACAGAGTACACACACTGAAACAGAGAAGTCTAAAAACAGAATGTTACTCACACAATTCTAGAAGTCTGTTGCTTTCCTGTCAAAATCGAGTTGCACACATTCTATGCCTATGTAAAGCCTCATATTCAGGTTACATTTTCTGTGTGTAGCTGAGCAGTGGTCTGTTAATCTGGAGGAGGGCGTCAGCCAGGAGGTAGCTGAGGAGCTGAGAAGAAGGGGCCACAAAGTCAACTGGCCAATCACAGGTAACCTTTGTTATTTATTATTATGTTATGTCACTTACAGTTGCAAGAAAAAGTACGTGAACCCTTTGGAATTACCTGGATTTCTGCATAAGTTGGTCATAAAATGTGTTCTGATCTTCATCTAAGTCACAACAATAGACAAACACAGTCTGCTTAAACTAATACCACACAAACAATTATATGTTTTCATGTTTTTATTGAACACACCATGTAAACATTCACAGTGCAGGGTGGAAAAAGTATGTGAACCCCTAGGCTAAAGACTTCTTCAAGAGCTAATTGGAGTCAGGAGTCAGCCAACCTGGAGTCCAATCAATGAGACGAGATTGGAGGTGTTGGTTAAAGCTGCCCTGCCCTATAAAACATACACACCAGTTTTGAATTTGCTATTCTTAAGAAGCATTGCCAGATGTGAACCATGCCTCGCACAAAAGAGCTCTCAGAAGACCTACGATTAAGAATTGTTGACTTGCATAAAGCTGGAAAGGGTTACAAAAGTATCTCTGAAAGCCTTGATGTTCATCAGTCCACGGTAAGACAAATTGTCTATAAATGGAGAAAGTTCAGCACTGTTGCTACTCTCCCTAGGAGTGGCCGTCCTGTAAAGATGACTGCAAGAGCACAGCGCAGAATGCTCAATGAGGTGAAGAAGAATCCTAGAGTGTCAGCTAGAGACTTAAAGAAATCTCTGGCACATGCTAACATCTCTGTTGACGAATCTACGATACATAAAACACTGAACAAGAATGGAGTTCATGGGAGGACACCACGGAGGAAGCCACTGCTGTCCAGAAAAAACATTGCTGCACGTTTGAAGTTTGCAAAAGAGCACCTGGATGTTCCAAAATATTCTGTGGACAGATGAAACCAAAGTTGAGTTGTTTGGAAGGAACACACAACGCTATGTATCCAAAGGGTTCACATACTTTTTCTTGCAACTATATGTCACTGCTTCAGAAAGTACACAGTACCCTTTTTATTCAATCATTCATAAAACACCAATGAAAAATAACCAAACGGGCGAAAAATACCGTAAAGATGACTAAAAATTGTAATGTACATGCACATGCATTATGTTGCAGACAGGATTTGTTTGATCTTTCTTTTCTCTTGCCCTGGAATCATCCTAGCTGGTTTAGCTTTTACTCTATGCCTTTTTTTTTTTATGGCGTGAACATGGTATGCTTGTTATTACCATTCGATTTTGATCCCCCTACTATCTTCTACCTTTTTAGTTCTGGAAGATCAGCACCCCTCAATTAAACTAAATGTCAAATACTGGGATATTTTGGTTAACAGTGCATACTTGTGATAGATAAACAGATAACAAATGAAACATCAACATTGGCTCAACACATTTTATTTATTTATCTTTTCATTCAAACACACAGGCCACAAACGGTCTCAGTTTGGGCGGGGACAGATCATCACAGTGGGGGATTGGTGGAACCCATCTGTCAATCAAACTGATCCTCCATCCAGGGTGCTGTGGGCGGGATCTGACCCCAGAGCAGACGGATGTGCTATTGGATACTAAACAGAAGCGACCTTCTCTACTCTTCTCTGTTTATGTCAGGGCCGTATTCATGGAGTCAACATGGGGGGGGACCAAAAATTCAATAAAAATTTGAATACTAATTTCCTGCCATTCTAAAGGAAAATACATAAAAAATCACTAACACATTGGATACTTTAAAACCTGTTAAACCCCATGCCCCTGCCCGTGGGGGCAAAACACAACAATAATCACGAAACTGTGTCTCAGGCATGGGTGTAGGAAGTATCCTCAATGTGGGTGGGACAATTTGACGCGGGGTATGGGCGGGCGGGGGATACCTAACCTCCTCTAGGGGGGTCCGGGGTAGTGTTAATTTCGTCAGCTATTTTTTAATTTAGTTTTAGTCTTAGTCCCGTGTTAAATTTCCTTTTTAGTTTTAGTCATATTTAGTCACCTTCATCCTGTTTTTATTTAGTCAAGTTTTAGTCGACTAAAAGTCTGAGCATTTTAGTCTTATTTTAGTCGACTAAAACAGTAAACATTTTAGTCAAGATTTAGTCGACTAAAAGTCTGAGCATTTTAGTCATATTTTAGTCAATGAAAACTAATTATTTAGTCTACTTTTTGTCAATAAAAACTGTTGAGTATTTTTTAGTCATCAGATTATATAGAACATTTCAGTCAAACAAACTAGCCAAAACCAATAATTTGTCATTTTAGTATATATAAATAAATAAGATTATATCTTGTCCTTATTTGATGAAAAACTCAGGTTGAATGATTAAGAAGCTTTGCAGAGAGTATCTGCTCAGGTTTGTGGTGTTTTAACCAGCTGTGTTTTGGCCACATTGCTTCCCTTCTGATAAAACAATGCATTCGCTTTTTTTCTCCGCCTCATTGTAGTGAAAATGGGCCCAAATATCACATAGTTTCTTTCTCCCAAGCAGTGGTGGCTTTAGACTTTTTCGTTGTCAGTAATTTTGACGGATCGTAACATTTCCGTCATAACCCATTATTATCCGTCGAGTGCACAATTTATCAATCACTCGCGCTGACGGGGGGATATTCGGTTAACGCGAGTGCGACCACTGCTCCCAAGCCCTGTTGCCATTTCATTTTCTGTTAAATAAGGTTAGTTAGACCATGAGTTAGACCCGAGTCTTCCTGACAGTTCACAGTGTGCCGCTGCCCGGTGTAATTCAAATCTACCGCCGCGCGCACCGCAGACACACACAGCTGCTGCCCAGCCGCAGCCCCGGAAATGGAACTGCTGGGAGAAAAACTGACTATCAGAGATTTAACGTTATCTTTGATAATATTTCGTCTCCTCATTTTTCGTCAACGAAAGTAAAGAGAGATTTTGGCATAGTTTTTATTTAGTGAACTACATTTTCGTCTCGTCACTTTTCGTCAACGATATTGCATGATGATTTCGTTACAGTTATTGTTTACTGCCGTCGGTGCCGTCTCGTCATCGTCTCGTTTTCGTCATGGAAAAAAAGGTCGTTGACGAACATATTTCGTCATGGATTTAGTCAACGAAATTAACACTAGTCCGGGGGCATGCTCCCCCGGGAAGATTTTTTTTTAAATGTTGAAGTTAAAAGCATCAATCTGGTGCACTTTGAGAGCAACATTAGGGAATAAATCTATGGATACATCTCAACAACACCCATGTGAAACAGAACTGAACAGATTTACTTTTTCTTTATGCATATTTTACAAATCACTCCCTTTTTAAACTGTAGTATGAGTTGGAATGATTTCATACCTGTTATTCTCTTATTTTGTATAACTATAATGATCATATAAAGGTGTGCCTTGGAAATACTTGTTTTGCATCAATCTTGATACAGGGTACTTATTATATGTTATAGTTTGGATTCCTAAATCTTTTAGTCTACTATCCCATCATCCAAGGGTAGTTTTCACAATAAGTAATGGTTTATTTTTTGCACGGACACTATCATTATACATTTCTTTACTATGTTCAATCTGAATTTACTTTAAAAACATCTATATTGATTCTGACTTTTTCTACATCCAACTCACAGGTTTATCATTGCTTTGAGAAAAAAGATTATTCATTTAACCATTTTTAGAAGTGAAGATATAGTCAATTGTTCTGGGAATGTCATTTTCAAACCTGAGACCTGAAAAACAGGCTTGGGGCTTAACTGGTTAAAATGTTTTACCATAATGTCTAATTGTGCATTGTATTACATCGCCCTATTTTATCTAGTTTAGCTTTTCTTGTTTTGTTGTTTGTAATGGCAGAGATTAGGGATGAATAAAGTACAACTATAACCATAATCACATTAAAGCATTTCAATCCATAGAAAGGTCTGTGCCACACAATTTCAGTAGAAACAGGAACACTTTATTGCCCTTTTGTTTTACAGCCACGACTCGCACTAGCTGTTTGCCGCTCATTCAAAATCAAAAAGACCCCCAACTTCCTCCCAGACACCCGCCCAAAAAGCCCAACCCTCAAGTTAAGGACCCAAAAGCCTTTTTGCGCTTATCGTTGGCACTGATAAAAGACTGGCATATTCCTTCAAGGTCCAGTTTCTTCTGGTGCACATGACATATGGCCACATTATTCAGCCTCGTTTGACTCATCGATGATCTAAGCCATGTCTTAAGCCTCCTCAGGGCACTAAAACTCCTCTCAGCCTCTGCAGAAGAGGCAGGGACGACCAACAGAAGCCTTACTAAAGCTTCCACCTGACCGAAGAGACCTCTCACCTCTGGCACCATTTCTCGAATAATGCTAGCAACATCTGAGCTTGTTTCATAGGTGTAATTAGCCCCAAACATGGCCAGCTGCACCTGCAGTAGTCTTGAATTCAATTCAGGATACTCTTCTACCACCTTGTCCATGTCTCCGTGTAGCAGCACATTTTCAAGCTGCTGCAGCTTGTGGAATCCAGCTTGTTCAAACCTCTCTATGAATTGAGTATTCACTGTGTCCAAGGCATTGTAGAATTGGACTCTGTACAAGGACTGGAAATGGGATGCAGCCTGACCGGTGTAACGCTTTGTAGGTTTGCGGACATGAGGGATCTGAATTGGTTGTAGGTCCAACTTTGTTGCCACAGCAGTTGCTTTCGAGAACAATACATCAAAATGCTCCTCCGTTCGTTTGACCTGCATGCTTGTTTTGACATGGTCTACAGCCTCCAACATGCCTGAAACGGTCTGTTTCCTAAGCTGCAGGGAGGTGTTCAGGCACTCCAAATCCCCCATCAGGTCTTCAGCCATTAAAAGGCCGAGCACAGTGTTCCCTTTAAGAAATGTTCCATGAAGATCATTGGCCTTGGCTGAAGTTTCAGGTGAGCTGCATGATGCCATTTCTTCAAGGGCCATCAGCACTGACTCATACTGCTTGAGAACTGAGCGGATGGCAGGGGTACGTACAGTCCACCTGGTGGGACAGAGAGGCTTCAATGAGGTGAAAGTTGAACCATGCTCTGATTTTGCGATATTCTGGAAAATCAACTTGAACTTGCCAGATTGATTAAAGAAGCCCCCCAATTCATGGACCAGACCCATTGCATCTCTTACTAGTGGAGAGGCTCCACAGGCAGCCTGCGTAATTAAGTTCACGCAGTGGGGACCACAGTGACAATACACAGCCAGCGGTTGTTCTTTCCTTAAAATGACTTGTACTCCCTGCAATCGTCCAGCCATGTTTGCGGCACCATCATAAGTTTGTCCTCGGAGTTGAGACAGAGGAAGCTGAAGGCGCATCATCACATCACATGCCATCTTGGCTATATTTTGCCCTGTTGTTGATGACACTTGGTAGATTCCCAGGAATTCTTCCTTTGGTTGTAGATCTGCATCTACAGAGCGCACACATATTGACTCCTGCTCAACTCCTGATATATCTTGGGTGCCATCAATGATAATTGCGAACTGGACCACTGGCATTGATGTTATTTCCGACACAATTTATTTGATGATTGTATTGGCCATCACCTTCAACAGTTCGTTCTGCAATTCCGGACTGGTGAAATCGAGGGAACCTTTTAGCCAGGAGGTCAGCTCTGCATCGCCCGTTGCCTTGTACTTTAGAAGCTGGCTTAAAATCCCACTCTCCTTCTGATCGCCTCGAAAAGCCAGACCTTGCCGCAGGGGGGGGACGACATTTTGAGTGTATCTGAATATTGGGGGGTATGTGTCCCCCCCAATGTATATGGTGAATACGGCCCTGGTTTATGTAATATTCAGATATATTGATCACGAAGCTTTCTGAAGGCAAATCCCTACATGAGAAATGTAGAACAGTAGTTTTAAACATCTTGCAGTAAAATCATCCACAGAAATCTCAAAACTCTTTTCCAACTCAGGTTTATGACATTGTCATAGCACAACACATTACAGCTTCATGAATTAGATTATAATTACATCTATGGTTCATTTATGAGCTGATGCACTATTACTACGGAAATATAGATAACCACATTGGAAAACAAATCTTTGTGTAACATATCAGATATGTCTTTCCTTAACCCTGCCCTTTTTTTCAATAGATAATTACAAATATAAATGATGGGACGGAGTGGCGCAGTGGGCTGTGCGCTGATAATCAGATCAAGGGTGGCGTTGGGGAACTCCAGTTCGAAACCTGCCACCACTGCGCCAGGCCGTTGTGTCCTTGGGCAAGACACTTCACCCGAATTTGCTCCTGTGGGTACTGTCCACAGTACATGACCGTTACATGTATGATATGTGTGTAATGTGTACTTGTAAATCGCCTTGATGACTTCGAGATGTGAAGATGGGCGGAGTGGCGCAGTGGGCTGTACGTTGATCATCAGATCAAGGGGGCGTTGGGGAACACCAGTTCGAAACCCCCCTCCACCGCCGCTGCGTCTGTAAAGCCGTTGTGTCCTTGGGCAAGACACTTCACCCGAATTTGCTCCTGTGGGTATTGTCCACAGTACATGACCGTTACATGTATGATATGTGTGTAATGTGTACTTGTAAAGCGCTTTGAGAATCTGGAAAAGCGCTATATTAAATGTAAGGAATTATTATTATTAATTTTTAAATAAAAGACAATGATCATTTTACGTCACCAATAAATGACAGTTCCATCTTTTTTCTCTAGGTGACATTTAACAAAACCTATTGAGTGGAGGAAGTGTACAAATCTGACGTGAACCAAGTCAATCAGTGTTATGTCCTTTTTCATACTGTTCCACACTTAAAGTGAAGCATATGTACTGATTTAACAGTCTGTATTTCAAATGATCTGTGAAGTATGCTGGATCTATTTAAACAAATGCCAAATAAATGTAATTTATTTCTAAGTGATGCTAAGTTTATTAGACAGTTCACGAAATAAACAGGTGTTGTTCTTTTACATTTGCAAGGCGTTATGGATCTATTATTCAGTAATATACATTTGTTTTAACAATAATTGAATGTATTATCATAGACTCCAGATGTTATTGTCTCCCCCCCTGACTCCCTAACCTTTTCTGTAGCCATCAAACATCGAGTTTAATGGTCACATTGCCATTAAATATTATTTTGCCCAGAGGAAAAAACTATTTCTATTTCTATTTATTTGAGTAATTTATCTTTTTTCAATGTTTTTTCTCTCTCTTTGTTATAGTTGTTTTATTCTCCTTACGATTAGGGAATGCCTTTGCCTAAAAATGATGTGTGAAAATAAAATACTATTATTTGCCAGCCTCGATAAGATTCGGTCTGCCAGCTCAAACCATAATAAGCACAAAAGATATCTCGCAGTTTATTATGCCGATAACTGGTCAATTAGCTGAGGCTTTTCCAACTCCACAAGTGTTTTTGATGATTATACTGTCAACCTTCAGGACATGAGTTCATGATATGGTACTTGGCTTCTGATGCTTCTATTGCATATCATGTTTTTTAGTCTAAATGAAGTGTGTGTTTTGCCCTTGTGTATGTTTAACTTTATGATTTAGTAAATGTTTAAGCTGTCAGGAAAGGCCCCCTGTAACCCATCTAATTACCAAGCAGACAGGACAAATACAGAGACAGAAACACAGGATATTACAAGATACTGTATGCAGTTTTAGGGGTTATAAGAACATATAAAACAGCTTGCAAACCTCTTGTTCTCTGCAGCAGGCAGCTCAAATAATGATTCCACTTCAACACTAATCTCTTAAAGTAGAATCTTAATGTCGGACTTTGTTTCACTGTTGATCTCCTTACAGCTCCAAACCGCACCTGGTACCAACTGTTTACACCTACTGTATAAAGAGCCATGTGTTCAGTCACTCAAACACACGTGTTATTCTTAATCTGTCTTAATTAACACTGGTTGAAGCAGCTCGTTAGTAGCCGGTCTGAGTTTACAGCGCCGTTTATCTGGATGTGGGACATTCCAGCTGGATTTTGAAGCAGCTCACAACATGCTGGGCCCCTGAAACACACATAATAACATACAGTGTTAGTAGCTTTCTGACACAGCACTATCAGCAGTCATGTTTTGCCCCACATAGACCTGCTGAGCTGTTCTATCATTCTGACCTAGAAACAGGGGGCCTTGCCAAAGGGGAATATTGAAAATATGTCATTGGATTGGATTGGCATATACAACTAATCTACAAAGTTAATGCTACATTTGAAATGTGGAACACAACTATAAATATTCGGCAATGAAATAATAAAAGACAAAAATTAATGTTATTAATGAATAATTAATTAATTACCCCATAAGTCAGGTTTATGATGTTGTCACATTACAGCATTGTAGCATAACACTTTACATCTTCAAAAAGTATCTTTTTATAACGCATCTTGGGTTCAAGCTGTGTTTATAAGCTGCACTACTTAATTTGCACTTAAATATAGAGCAACATATTGGAAAACAAATGTTTGTGTGACATACCGAAGCAAACCTCAGCTCTGCCTGTTGGTTGATATAACTATCTGTTTCCATGTCTTTAATTAGTTGCTGCTTATCAAAAAAATAGACAAAATCTTATAGACAAAATGATCAATTATTGATATTTCTGAGTATATATAAAAAATATACTGTGCTACATATTATACATGTGAACACCATGTGGATAAAAGGGGATACAGAAAAAAAAGCACTGTTGGTATTCTAAGGAAATTAATACTTCAGAATTCTGTGTGACTAAAAGCCTGTGGAAAACACACACACACACACACACACACACACACACACACACACACACACATACCATGTATACATCACTTCAGGGGACATTACATTGACTTTAATGCATTTCCTGGAGACTTATCCTAACCTTAACCATAACCAACACATGCCTAACCCTAACCCTTACCCTTAACCTTACCCTAACCTCCCGCAGAGAAACACCCTGAAATAATCCCTTAATAAAGTATTTTTAGGCGTGTCCCATGTCTCACCTGCACCACCTCTCTAGACCTCGGCCTGGGTTTTAAACACTTTTAGGGACACTTGGTTGACTTTATTTTAATATATTTATTATTATTATTTTACATATTTGTTTTATATTATACATATTTGAACATTTTGGGTTGATGTGATTTTTATTACCAGCACTTATTTTTAATAGCACTTATTTTTAAAAGCACTTTTATGTATTTATTTTATTATTTTTTAACACTAATTTTACCTGCATGCCGATTTTAAACAAAGTCAACCTCGGTCCTTTTAGCCAGATGTTTTTTAACCCACTTACCAGGTCTTTTACCAGATGCTGTGGGACGCAGCCTCGGACGCTCCACCGGGGGAGACCCCCGCCGCATACGCTCTGTGCTGCAGCCACTGCTCTCTTTTATCACTTTTATTTCATTTTTTAAAAACATTTTTAACCCAGACCAAACAGGGCTTTTATAAACCTTTATTGGTTTTACTACAGGAGTTTTTAAATAGGTTTTTAAACACAAAATATTGACCCGAGAGCCCGTGCACCACGCTGTGCTCCCCAAAACCCTAACCAAGTCTTCACCCTAAAATTAATGATTCCCCTCTCATGGGGACCTCCAATTTGTCCCCATAAGGGAGGTGAGTCCCCACACTTGACTGTGTAAACAGATTTAGGTCCCAACAAGTATAGTAATGCTAGACCACAACACACACACACACACACACACACACACACACACACACACACACACACACACACACACACACACACACACACACACACACACACACACACACACACACACACTTCCTATGAGTGTGTTTCCTAGTGCACATTGTGTCATGGTAGAACCTCCTCTAAGGAAGGAGCATCTGTTCAACACCCCACACACCACTAACACACACACACACACACACACACACACACACACACACACACACACACACACACACACACACACACACACACACACACACATACAAATAGCTGGCATTCGTCACTGCTTCTTTTTGTTTCCTGGCTCCCCAGCTGCTCGGACCCTAACCCTCCCCTCTTTCTCGTGCTCTCCTCAACCCACTCCAGTTCTCTCCTCTCCTCACTGCAGTTGTGTGTGTTTTTGGGTGAGCGATGTGTTGTTCCGTGGGTTTCGCCCGGTCTCTGGGCCTGGCCCTGCTGCCTCTGGCCCTCTGCTGTATCGTGGCCAACCTGCTGCTTCTGTTTCCCATGGGAGAAATCACCTACATCCAGCAGGACCGCCTGGCCAGCTACATCTGGTACTTTGGTGGACTAGGAGGAGGGGGAGCACTGGTGAGTAAACAACTGCCTTTATGTTCTTATATGATGATGAGTATTTGTTATATGTTTTGGTATGGTCACATTTTCTTTGATAGAAACTTTTTCAGTTTGGGTCATCATCTGGCTTCTTTAGGTCAAAGTTAGTTGTCTGAGTTGTTGGGCATGTGCTCTCTAAACACCAGGTGCTGGTCATGCAGCAGTGACTTATTTTGAAGAAAGATAACCACATAGTAAGGTCCCATTACTTTACTTAAATTAAATGGAGAGCATGGTAATCCTTTCTTTAAAAGCTATACTTTAGTATCATGGGATATACTTTAACAGCATGAGGTCCAAATTTACTTTTTTTATTTGATTTACATTAAGATGTCTCTACCCACTGCAAATTGTTTATTTATTCAGTTTGAATGCTAATCAATAATAGAAAGTACATTGTTTTCTTGGTCTGAGTCAAGATATTTGACCAAACCCTGATTTCAAACTTGAAATATCATGGCTTTTTTCTTCTGTATACATACGTGCAAAATTTGTCTTACCCTTTATAAATAAAATAAAAAACCTTGACTTTGACTTTACCATAATGAATACAGAGAAGTTGAAATGTTTCATATTGATGCAACACGGCAGCATCTTTCCAAACAAATAATCTGAAGGGATTATTTTGCCGGGTAGAAGAGGTTTAACAGTATGGAGAAAGTTTTAACAAAGTTCAACTGGTACCACGTGGTTAAACTCATCACTATTGGTTGCACTGGAAAGAGAAATTAACTGAAACTAATAAGTGACTGTTTTTATTGCACTAAAACTAAAAAGAAAGATTCTTTAACAGTATTTCAGCCATGTGACGCTAGAGCTCAGCACCGAAAGTACTTTTGAAAAAGCATCAAAATAAAGCAGCATTCACTGAAAACTAACTCTGCTACATGTAGATACACTGTACTATGACGTCGACTCAAGCCTTACTTACTTTACATCCATAATGCTTTTTGTTGCAAGTTGCATTTATCTGTATGCAGACTCATAGAAACACGATTTTTAGGCATTTTTTTAAACAAATGTAAATGATTTCCCCTTCAACCACTCAGTCTGAGTGTGCCTGCAGTTGCTCATTGAGAACAATTAAGTGTTGTGTGAATTCACACTTAATCCGTCTGCTACATGCTGCTGATCTGATGGGTTTATGCTCTGACTGAACTGAAAGGAGCTGTTCTTAATTAGTTTTTTAAAAAAGACAGTCTCTCCTCTGTCCTACCTTAAACCAGATTAACCTCGCTGACCAGACTAGCACTTGTTTTGGGTATATACAGCTTCACTCTGTAAAATATTGTGATTTGTTTTGGTGGTTTGTAAGAGAAAAGAGAGCTGATAAACAGTGTTGCACCAAACTGATAGATACCATATCTAAACACCAAACAACTCTAAAAAGAAAGTACAATGTAAAAAAGAAGCTATACGTGACCAAGCATTTGTCCTCTACAATACCATATCAACTTTCTGATGCAGAAGAGGGACAATTTAGTCCTTCTCACTTAAAAAAATTACACTTACTTTAGTTTGTGCATGTTCTTTTTGCATATGTTATTAGAAGTATTTCTGCAAGCACTTTTTCCATGCTGTTTTTATGTTTTCCTCTTTGGGCTTTTCCTTTCTTCTTGGAAAAGACAGAACATTTCAAAGTCAAAGAGCAAACTGAACCCCTCTGAGAGAAATCTATCTTTAGCTTCCTCCCTTCCTCTCTCCTGCTCTTCCTCCCTCCTTTTTCCTTGTTTCTCCCTCTTCCTTTCTCACTGTGTGCACTTCCCTCTGTATGTTCAGTATCTCTATTTTGCCCTTTTATGTGACGATGCTCATGATCTCTGAGGCCTTGGGAACTTCCGCCCCCTCAGTTGGGACGTGATTTAAAGACCGTGACCGCTGGGAGAGAGACAACAGCACAGGAAAGAGGAGGAAAGGAAAAGGGAGGGAGGGAAAGTAAAATAAAACAACCTTGAAACAAACAAACACACAACACATGTATTTAAAATCTATGCCTTTCTCTCGCAGTAAGGCCATCCAACTACATAACAACAAATGTGATGAATGCTCTTGTTTGACCACTTATTGTGGCTACTATCAGAATAATTGTCAATTAATTTATGATAGATGTATGTATGGTCCCAGGAGGGGTAATCCTAAGGATTTAGTAACCCCTAGACTTTATATGTAGCTTAAAAACAAACAACAGTCAAATCTCGTTATGCTAACGTAGCATGCTTACCGTCTAAAGCTGTATCCAAAACAACACCAACACGTTTGCTATGTGCTGTTTATATAGATTTGAATTTGTAATTGTTTTGGTTTAGGATCTATATTGATCTGGCTTTTATTGATAGGAAATGCTTCAAGTAAATGCAAAGAATAGCAGGTTTAATAAGACTGAAATATGAGTAGCTAACGTAGCTTTAGCATTTATATATTTAGTCCTACTGTACTACTTTCCTATCTTAAACATATCAATGTATATAATATCCTTTAATGACTTAAATTAATTACATATTAAATGCTGCTGTTCATAAATGTCTCTCTGCTTTCAGATGCTGTTTCCTGCTGTGGTATTTATCACTCTGGGGAAATGTAACTGCTGCTGGAATGAGAGCTTAATGGTAAGCGACTTACCAAACTATCAATAACACTCAAAATCAAGCCTGGACTTCATTTGATGTTCATTAATTCTACACACAGACCAATATTATCAGATGTTTTCCCCTTTTCTTAAATCGAAATATGAAGATTGTTTGTCTTTCACCCCTTGTGTCTCTTCATAGTGTTCCCCTTTTACTACTGTTTCTCAGTAAACTGCACAGTTGTCCTTAAGCCGCCCATACTGTCGCTTTATGAGGTGGAATGCTAATGCTAATCCAGCAGTGATAATTCAACAAGGGTCCCATTGTTTGTCAATATTCAACAAAGTAAGCTTGGCTCCCACCACTCAAGCCACAGGCACAGCTGTGTGTGTGTATTTCACAGTGGCCTCTGTATCTGACCTACAGTATGAAACAGCTAAATTAAACAGTTTACATTTAAACAGACAGGCAGGCACACATAAATTGACAAGGGCATCTAAACACATTCACTTTTTAAATCACTGTGTGTGTCTGTGTTCTCGCAGATGTGCGGTTCAGTGTTGGCAGCTGTTGTCGGTCTGGTGGGATCTGGCTACTGTTTCGTCATGTCAGGGTTCGCCTTGGTGCAGGGTCCACAGTGCTTCACCTCGCTTGGATGGTCGTACCCTTTTGCAGACCAGAGCGGCAGGTAGGGAGATACTGCACTGTTTGTGGTGGCATGGGTCTCTTCATTCATTTAGTCTTTAAAAAGTCAAAAGAATTGTGAAAAATCTCTATAAAAAATGTCACTGCTTGTGCTCCTTACATTTTAGGGCATTGTTGATTAAAAAAAAATTGACAAATGATTATTCATTATAAGTATTGTCGATTAATCACAAGTCAATCATTTTAGCTCTAATTTGTTTCTAAAGAGTATACATACTGTTGTTGACGCTCTCTTCTCTGTTATCTCAAATAAAATGAACCTCAATTATAAAGGTCATTAATACATTTAAACATACTGTATCTAGGTTAACCCAAGTTCAACACATGGTAAGTGTAAGAACATCAACTGCACCAAACCATATAACAACACTTAAACAGCTGCTATAATGCTGTGTTTTTTACTTCTGCGATTTGGAATACAAGGTGCCCTTATATAGAAACACTGGACTTTGCCTCCACCAGTTTTTATTTTTGCATTCATTAAAAACATTGTAATGTGGCATCGCTTATTTTTTTATTCATCAGTGTGTTCTGAGAGACAATTCTTCCCCTTGGTATTTCAGCACTCGAAAACGGGTTTATTGCCAGGTAGGTTCACACATACGAGGAATTTGACTTGATATAAAATATAAAACAAAAATCTCCATATAAAACAAAAAATCTAAAGAATCTTTAAGGACACTGTAATAAAATATAGTTAGATAGCAAGAAAATAAAGCAGTAATTTACAGCGAAATAGAATGCAGTGAATTATAAAATATGAAATAAGAATATGTGCAGTAAGCAATATTTGAGCATTGTGTGCATTAATGTAATGCATATAGAGTCTACGTTGTGGCTGAGGTAAAGTGTCAGTGTCAGCCGGGCCTTGTTTAAGAGGCCGGTAGCGGAGGGGAAGGAACTGTTCAGGTGGCGAGAGGTTTTGGTCCTGATGGAGCGCAGCCTCCTGCCAGAGGGGAGGGGGGTGAACAGTTTGTGTCCAGGGTGGGATGGGTCGGCCACTATCTTCCCTGCCCGCCTCAGGGTTCTGGAGGCGTGCAGGTCGTGGAGGGATGGCAGATTGCAGCCGATCACCTTCTCTGCAGAGCGGATGAGCCGCTGCAGCCTGCCCTTATCCTTGGCTGTGGCTGCGGCGTACCAGATGGTGATGGAGGAGGTGAGGATAGACTCGATGATGGAGGTGTAGAAGTTCACCATCATTGTCTTTGGCAGGTTGAATTTCTTCAGCTGCCTGTCCTGGGCGATGATGGTGCCCAGGAAGCAGAAAGACTCCACAGCAGTTACTGGGGAGTCACACAGAGTGATGGGGGCGGGTGGGGCTGCGTTCTTCCTAAAGTCCACAACCATCTCCACTGTCTTGTATTTAGAAAAATGCAGCTGCTGTCTGTGTTTGATTGTCTATTGTCTATCTGTGTCCCAGGTATCTCTTACAACCAGAGACGTGGTCACGGTGCCTTCAGCCGGTTCACATCGTAGAGTGGAACGTGACTCTGCTGTTCGTGTTGATGGGCCTGGCTGTGCTGGAGTTCATCATCTGTCTCTGTCAGCTGGGAAACGGTCTAGTCAACGCCGTCTGCAGACCCTGTTGCTACAAGCAGGAGTATAGTCTTAATGCTTAAATCAACAGACAAACACAGATACACCTGTAAGTAGTAGGCTCTCCTGCTGAGACATACGTGCACACATAAACAAATCACACACTCTATTGTATGCACACATACAGGACATCAATGGACATCAATGGACACAAATAGACACGGCATTGTCTAGACACTGCCTCATTGCCAAGCACAAGTGTATGTGTGTGAGTACAACTAGGGTTTACTAAATGTCTCCTAAACTGGAAGCACCATGCATTAATTGAAACCTCATTAAACTAAAAGATACAATATGTTTAGTTGTAAATTACATTTTTTCTGGTCAGTGTTTTAGCTCTAGGAGTATCACTACTGTATGTTCATTAATGTTTCACACAACACAACACACACACAAACACACACACACAACACACACACCACACACACAACACACACACACACACACACACACACACACACACACACACACACACCACACACACACACACACACCCACACACACACACACACATTATGGAAACTGGCCACCGTCAATGGAATCACTATGTTATAACCTTTAATTTGCCCTGCTTATTGACAAAACTCACTATGCAGTCATTGATAATTATGGTCCTCTGGTGCAGCCAGAAAACAAGTTTTAAGACAGATTGTATTAATATACTCTATAGAAACGTAGAGGATACAATTAACTTTGTTGAAAGAAGACTTAGCAGAACAACATGTACAAATGGAGACAAAGTAAATCAGCGTTGGAAAACATAATGGGAGATTTCACTAAAGTAAGTATTGGTGTGTGTGAAGCTTTAATTTTTTTTTTTTAAAGAAGACAAAGAACTGTCTTTACACTCAATATACAACTGTTTCATTAGCTTATTTCAAGAAATGTATGTTCAGTGTCAACGTTGATTGCTTTCTTAATTATCATTGTGACGGGGCTCTAATTTTCCGTTCACAAAAACTGGCCTAGTCGGTTGGGTTACGCTCCAAAACTTTATTTATAACAGCAACAACAAAAATAGCGAACCAGCACAAGTTAGAAAACAAAATAAAATCCACAAACAGGCCGTCCATCACTCATTAGAGTAAACATGCTCTGGGTTGCCTTCTCTGCAACCAACTCCCAAACATGTCCCAACTGTTGCCTTCATTGCAACATTCTTCCGAGTGACACAGTCCAAAAAAACCAAGGAACCAACACCGTCCCTTTTGACCCCATAGCCCCTCCCACAGGCTCACCGTCAACAGGTGACACAATCAACTCAAAACCACATTTCAACAAAAGAATCCGACCCAAACATAAACAGGTTAACCACCTGTTAACATAATCATTCCCCATAATTAAACAAACGTAAAATAAATAAGAAATTGCATGGTTCATTTGACGGAAGAGAGCAGGAAATGTTTGGCTGTCAGTGGCGGAGTCAGTCACTCTGTGACCCGCTCCGTCAAGGCAAGGCAAGGCAAGGCAAGTTTATTTATATAGCACTTTTCAACACAAGGCAATTCAAAGTGCTTTACAAAAAATGAAAGACATTAAGAAAAAGAAATTTAAAATCAGTCATTAAAAAGAAAAGCTAATAAAATAAACATTAAAAGAAAAAATACATGGATAAAAGTTTCAGTGCAGTCTAAGATATAAATAGTTCAATTAAACATTAAAAGAAAAAGTACATGGATAAAAGTTACAGTGCAGTCTAAGATATGAATAGTTCAATTAAAAGCAGCGACAAAAAGAAAAGTCTTCAGCCTGGATTTAAAAGTAGTCAGAGTTGCAGCGGACCTACAGGTTTCTGGGAGTTTGTTCCAGATATTTGGAGCATAATAACTGAACGCTGCTTTACCATGTTTAGTTCTGACTCTGGGGACAGAAAGCTGACCAGTCCCTGAAGACCTGAGAGATCTGGATGGTTCATAATTTAGCAGGAGGTCAGAAATGTATTTTGGGCCTAAACCATTCAGTGCTTTATAAACCAGCAGCAGTATTTTTGAAATGTATTCTTTGACACACAGGAAGCCAGTGTAAAGACTTCAGAACAGGAGTGATGTGATCCACTTTCTTAGTGTTAGTGAAGACTCGAGCAGCGGCGTTCTGAATTAGCTGCAGCTTTCTAATAGATTTTTTAGTGAGACCTGTGAAGACACCATTGCAGTAGTCCAGTCTACTGAAGATAAAAGTATGGACAAGTTTTTCCAAATCCTGCTGTGACATTAGTCTTTTAATCCTAGATATATTCTTTAGGTGATAGTAGGCTGATTTAGTAACTGTTTTAATGTGACTGTTGAAACTCAGGTCAGAGTCCATGACTACACCTAGATTTCTGGCTCTATCTGAACATTGCAGACTGAAGCTCAGCGCTAACTTTTATACGTTCTGACTTGGCTCCAAAAACCATTACCTCAGTTTTATCTTTGTTTAATTGGAGAAAGTTCTGACACATCCAGTCATTGATTTGTTCAATGCACTTACTCAGTGTTTGAATTGGAGCATAGTCTCCTGGTGAAATTGTTACGTACATTTGTGTGTCATCTGCATAGCTATGGTAACTTATTTTGTTGTTTTTCATTATCTGAGCCAGTGGTAGCATGTAGATGTTAAAGAGAAGAGGCCCCAAGATGGAGACTTGAGGAACCCCACATGTCATATTTGTCAACTCAGATGTGTATTTACCTATAGAAACAATACCTATAGAAACAATCATTATTAAATGTATTTTATACATTTCTAAAACCCAACAACTACACTACTGTTGTTTTGCATGAACAGGTAATACTACAATTGAAGTTATCACTCTATATTCTTAAGATGGCCACCATCTTTGTATCATGATGTTGGACATGACACGAGATGAGCTCTTGTGTCATTGTTGGGTTGTTGTTGCAAGAAGAGATGCACATTATTTAGTTGTTTATCAGCATGATTAATTTGAAAGTGTCCTTTCTGTCCTGTTTGATTCTGTGTTGGATAATTTAGAGATAATGAGCAGATTTTTATTTGTGTGTTTGTACATTTGTTTTTATTTTCAGAGCATTTTGTTGTAAATTGTTTACGTCTTTCCGACGCTAGACCAGTGTTGACAAACATTTTATATATATTTTAGTGACATATTTTTATAATGTACATTTGTTTGTGCTACCTTGAATAAAAAAATCTGAAGTTTCGAGTAAGTCATTAAGCTGACCTCTGTTAACAAAAACAGGTTGAATTGTGTGTGTGTGTGTGTGTGTGTGTGTGTGTGTGTGGGGGGGGGGGTGTCTGTATTTTTTGGCAACAAAATATATTTACTTGGCAGTATTGTAGACTTTGAAACTTTGGCCTTCATCAGTTCTAAAACAAATGGACAAACACACTTAAAATGTCTTAAATAACATAATGATATCTTAACACAAACACATACATACATATTATTTTGCTGTGTACAAATATCCCAATCAATGTGAATGCCTGCTTGAATCCCCTGCTGAACTGCTTTCAAATTTTAACATTAAATTAAATGTTTCCATCAACTTATCTGGCATTCAACCAATGTAACTTTTGTTCCAACTTGTTCTTACAGAGGAGGAGGGTCTCTGACACAAATGTACCGTAAGTCCATGTGTGTTCAGTCCTGGAGTTTCCAGAATTGCTGGGTATTGACCCACATCAGGACTGAAAACTGAGTAAATGTGGTCTGAGACCCCAAGAGCCAAGCCCATTACAAAACGTATTTTTAGCAAATTAATCGGAATATTAACATAGTTGATGCAGGAAGAAAAAGTTCCATTTATTTTCATAGCATAATTGAATACAATTACTTAAAGGTGGGGTAGGTACGTTTGAGAGACCGGCTCGAGATATGCTTTTTGTTATATTCCATGGAATGCTCTTAACATCCCGAAAGCAATGAATATCTGAATACGGCTCAAATAACTGGATGGCCTACCTGCCTGTCAGCCTTCCATCTGTGCACACACTTATCTCGTGCCCTCATTGGTCATGTGCGCGTTCGTGTGTGTTGAAGGAGGGGCTCTGTAAGGAAGTGGCAGATTTGTTCCGGCTGTGTATTTTCAAATTCTAACGCACTCGAACTGGTTTCTCCAAAATGACCTACCCGACCTTTAAAGAAAAATACAAAATCATAAACCAGTCTTCAAAGCCGACTTCACTAAACTGACTTCAGAATCAGATGGAAGCCCTTCAAATGAGTGCTGAAGTCATAAACTACTTAGTTTGGAAAATTCTTTTACCTATTCTATGTCACATTTGGACATCATCTTTGACCTGAGGCCCTTCATCATTGGCTTTTCATGAGAACACTTGAATTGTAGCCACATTTCCAAAAGTACAGAAAAAAAAAAGTCAGTGGTAAAATATGTTGATCCCAAGTGGATGTTGCATAAAAAAACGTTCTGTTCTGACATAAGTCACTCTATCTCTGTGACAGGTTGTTTCTGAATGTCAATGACCCCTCTGCCCTGCTTGGCTGTTCCCAGCAGTCATCACATGGGGTATAAAGACACACAGAGGGGCAAAAGTCCCTCAGACAGACTGACAAACAGCTCTCAGTTGTCTGCACTGTTGTCATTATCATTATACTGTATTCCTCATCATTGAACAAAAATAATCTTCCTGCAGTTTTGAAGTGGACTTGCTGAAGTCTCAGCGCTGCATCTTCAAAATGCATCGGTTGGGATTAAGGGGAGTGTTGCTGCTCTGTTTTGCAGCAGCATGTGTGTCTGGGATGAGGAGAGAGTACTTCCTTAGGATAGAGGAAGTTTCTTGGAACTACGCTCCAACTGGAATGAACATTATTCAAAACCGCACGCTGCAGGAGGATGAGTAAGTACATTCACAGTACACTGCCTTCTTTATGGTGGAGTCAGCCAGTCAGCGCTAACTGATCCAAATAGGAAAAGCAAGACTCCTCATTACTTAAAGAGATAATGTAATCTCCAATTTCTCGGTCCCTTAAATATCCATTACACCTCCATTACATTATCTCACTTAAACTCCATGGATATTTACAGTTTACCCCTTCGATGTATAAATATAAACTTAAGTAACTCTATTTCAGAAAAAGATCTAAAACAACATTTTGATTATTTAAATTTTAGATTGTTCACAAGTCTGTTATTTGTTATATACTTTTTGTGCAAAAGGCATTTTACTTTACTTTTTACTTTTAAAAATTAAAATAAATCTGCCTGTTCAGGCTACTCTTGTTCTATATTTGAATTATTTATTTGTCCTTCTAATATCTCTGGTCAACATGCTTTAAAACACAAACTGTACTCTCAAATCGACTAGATAGGATACATTCAGAAACAGAAATAAATCTACATTTTTATGTAATTAATGAAGAATGTATCAGGTTCATGAAGGCCTCACAAGACACACCTTGAATAATCTCAGCAGAATGTTTGTGTCCAAAATATTGTCAAGTCCATTAAGAGTGTACAGATAAAAAAGTTATTTAGTACACACTGTTATCTGGAACATTTGAATATCACTGAGTCATGGTTAATGTTATTAGTGATGTGCTTTTCATCACAAATAAAATCTCCAATTTGAATGGCTTGATGAGCAGGTAGACATATATATTTTTAAGCATCTACTTTAGTATTTTTGTGTTTTTTTCAGTTGCTTTAGCCTATTACAGGTTTTTGAGATATTTTAACTGTTATCCATCATGTTCCCCATTCTCTCTCTCTGCAGAGAAGCCTCAGTATTTTTAAAAAAAGGCCCCCAGCGTATCGGCTCCACCTACAAGAAGGCCGTGTATAAGCAGTACACCGACTCCTCCTACAGGACAGAGGTGATAAAGCCAGACTGGCTGGGCTACCTTGGACCTCTGCTAATGTCCGAGGAGGGAGACACTGTCATCGTGCACCTGAAGAACATAGCAACAAGGCCTTACAGCATCCACCCACATGGACTGAACTACAGCAAGGGCAATGAGGGTGAGGAATGAATGAATCATAAGGCAGACTTAATAACAGAAAGATAGATATGTGACCTTGTGAGCTTGTTTCTGTCTCTTCAGGCGCTCTTTACCCCGATGGTACTGGTCCAGAGCTAAAGCGTGACGACTCAGTGGCTCCAGGTTCCATAGTAACGTATGAGTGGACCCTCCCAGAGACCCACAGTCCAACACCAGAGGACAGCAATTGCCTGACCGAATTCTACCACTCCCACGTCAGCCCACCAAAGACATCAGCGCAGGACTGATAGGACCCCTCATCATCTGTAAGAGAGGTACAGGAACACTTTAACCTTATGGTATCTAGTGGTAAAACTAAGTACATTTACTGCTGCTTAAGTACTATTTTCAGGTATTTGTACTTTTATTTCCCCCTTTGTATTGTCCCCTCTATAGCCACCCAATTTTTTATGACCTTTTGTGAACTTTCCCCTTCAGTACATTAATGCATATTGTACCTAAATGTCCTTTTCTCTGTAGGAACTCTGGACTTACATGGAGACAACTCAAGCGACTATCTGTACGCTTTGCTGTTCATGGTGGCAGATGAGAACTTCAGCTGGTACCTTGATGAAAACATCAGGACGCACATTACAAGTCCTGCCAAGGACCTGAAGAATGATGAAGATTTTATTGAGAGCAACAAAATGCATGGTGAGGGTGAACATCCTAGTCTACATACAAATACCCATACCCTTCCATTGAATACCTTTAACTCTGAGTATGGATTACAGGCATAAACGGTTTTCTGTACGGTAACCTGCCTGGACTGACCATGTGCCAAGGCAACAAGATCCACTGGCATTTGATTGGCTTAGGCAATGAGGTAAATATTGAATACTTTGTATAGGTCTTCCGGTTGCTGTTGCTCAAATTAAATGCTTTTCAAATGTTTAAAAACTATTCAAGGATGCAAGTCAGTTTGACGTAATGTCTTGGTGTTAAGCATCTGGTCTGAACTCAGTTTAAATGTAATTTATCTCCAACAGGTGGACATGCATTCGGTTCATTTCCATGGCCAGATCCTGACCGTGCAGAACCACCACACAGACACAGTCAGTCTTTTCCCCGCCTCCAGCACCACAGCTGAGATGGTAGCTGACAACCCCGGACACTGGCTGCTGGCTTGCGGCATCAATGACCATTTGACAGGTGGGCTAACTTCCCCCATTCTTATTTTGATTCAAGCAGGATGATCTTGCCACAAATGTATAACTGTGCAGTATTTTCTTTTGTTGTTTTGTTCAGCTGGAATGCAGGCTATATTTGAGATCAAGAAATGTTTTCCCAACGTCCATAAACCCCAGCCACACGGTGAACTCAGACCCTTCTTCATTGCTGCTGAAGAAGACATCTGGGATTACGCTCCCATCCCACCAACTGATGGGTCGGTTACTGTACACACACACACACACACACACACACTCACACACACACACACACACACACACACACACACACACACACACACACACACACACACACACACACACACACACACACACACACACCACACACACACACACACACACACACACACACACACACACCACACACACACACACACACACACACACACACACACCATGTATACATCACTTCAGGGGACATTACATTGACTTACATGCATTTCCTGGAGACTTATCCTAACCTTAACCATAACCAACACATGCCTAACCCTAACCCTTACCCTTACCCTAACCAAGTCTTCACCCTAAAATTAATGATTCCCCTCATGGGACCTCCAATTTGTCCCCATAAGGGAGGCGAGTCCCCACACGTGACAGATTTAGGTCCCCACAAGTATAGTAATGCTAGGCCACACACACCCACACACACACACACACACACACACACACACACACACAAACACACACACACACACACACACACACACACCACACACACAACACACACACGCACGCACGCACACACGCACACACACACACACACCCACACACACATGCACACAATTTCACAAAAATGTCCATGCTGGTTCTTGATGTATAGAGTCATCAGTTAATCATGTGTACTGTGTCACTGTGTGTGTCTGGCTGTGTAGTGAAGCAGAACAGTTTGTAACAAGAGGTCGATACCGTATTGGAAGCCGCTATAAGAAGGTCCGCTATGTGGAATACACTGACAACACCTTCACAACAAAGATGCTACGCAGCCCAGAGGAGCAACACCTTGGAATAATGGGTAATCCAGGATGTGCTGGAGTTTTATAGATGTTTCAGATATTAGGTATTTTATGCAACCAATTGGCTCGTAGGTAATGCTAGCCATTATTGTAATCACCTATTACTGTATTCTGCAGTTTACTGTTTTTGTTGTTGTTGTCTATTGATGTATTGAATGTAGTGACATTTAATATAATTGTTGTACCAAACGAAATGTTGGGTACAACAATTCTCTTCTCTTCTGACCTTTAAGCATTGTCATTAAAGGCATTGATCATTTTAGTCCTTGTTCATATGTTGGACCTCTTTCTTTGCTGTCCTGGAATCCATTACATAACAGGACTAGGGTTCAATGCAAAACTTTCAAAAATATTTTAGAAAGATCTTGTTACCACAATGAGATATCTCCATAAAAAATGAAAACCTAATGCTCCTACATTTCTAACATGTGTGATTGTATCCATCCATGTCTGCAGGTCCAGTGCTGAGAGCTGAAGAGAAGGACACTATCAAGGTGGTGTTTAAGAACAAAGCCAGCCGGCCTTACAGCATACAGCCACATGGTGTTCAGTACAGTATAGAAGACAGTGGGACGCTCTATCACAATGAACTGGAAGGTAAATACAAGCACATATACACACACTTTTATCTGTGCACAAGACACAAAAATGAAATCCATTTTTTTCCCCTCCTAAATTTCTTCTCCTCAGAGTCCCATACAGCAAAGAAACTACGCGAGTTGAAAAAGGAACCAAGTGAGTAAAAAACTTGAATTAATACAATACCAGCCTGAGGTTAGCGTGAATTATACTTATCACCAATTATAGACTGTTGAAAAGGAGTACAAATACTTTAGTTGCAGTAACATTACCATGGGCTTTGAAACCTTGAGTTTGTCATTTTGGTCATTTTGTTCTTTTCCTAAAATGAAACAAAGAGGGTGGAACTGAGTACAACCAAATGCCAAACAAGGCAATGTTATTCAGCAATTACAGTTTAATGTGATGCACATGAACACATTGTGAGTGGGTTTTCAGACAAAAAACGGACAAAACCTAAATTGTACAAAACTTTAGCAGAGACATGTCAATCACAAGAAAGCCATGGCCTAAATCATATGCTGCTTTATCTTCTATTTTATTCTCGAAATCTATTTTTTTTAAATGAACAACTTGCTGTATTGAAAACCTCGTTAGTAATAAATCAAGTTTTCTCATAGACTTTGCAATTCGACTTCTTCTTGCAACCACTGGAGTATCAGAAAGAATGCCAGCAGGGGGCTTCTTTTTTTTTTAAACAAGGAGGTGGCCCCTCTTACCCTTATAATAACTACGTTTCTCTATATAAATCTATGTAATCAGGAGTAGTGACCCCTCTGCCAGCTGCTCTAGTCAGACCCGGGACAATCTACACCTATGAGTGGACAGTGCCAGTGGGTGCTGGTCCAGTGCAAGGGGAGGCTGACTGTCTGACCTATCTATACTACTCTGGAGTGGACCCTGTTAAAGACACCCACTCTGGGTTGATGGGACCGCTCCTCATCTGTCGACCTGGGTCCCTGAAGAAAGGAGTCCAGGTGAGAAGCTTGCACAAAATAATTTGTTTGATTAGGTCACATCGTATTGTGTCTGTTATTCTCAGGTCTGATCGGACGTCTGCTGTGTTGGGACAAAAAGGCATTCTAGAAAAGGAGACTTCAAATCAAAATGACTTAAATGTAGCAATGAAACCATCATTTGACACCTTTCCTCTTTTTATTTCCCTCTTCTCCTCATGTAGAAGAACTATAACAAAGAGTTCCACCTCATGGCCACAACATTTGATGAGAACCTGAGCTGGTATCTGGACGAGAACAAGAGAACCGTACTTGGTCCTGTCACTGTTAACGACGCCTTTATAGAAAGCAACAAGATGCATGGTGTGTAGGAGACACACATTCACACCTACTCACTCAACCTGTAACTTCCTTATGCTTGGCCCCATTTGATGTTTGTTTTATCTCATATTTTTAGCCATCAATGGCTTTGTGTATAGAAACCTCCCAGGTCTGACCATGTGTAAGGGGGATAAAGTAACGTGGCATGTGTCAGGACTGGGTACAGAGACAGACGTCATCAGCCTTTACTTCCAGGGAAATCGCTTCATCTACCGCCAGAACCGACGGGACACCATCAGCGTCTTCCCTCACATCTCACACACTGTCACTATGGAGCCAGACAGCATGGGTATGTAGATCCCTCATGCTGTACACAGGCACACACACTGTCATCCTACAGTGTGCTTGTAAGACAATTCAGGGACATTGTTACAACCTATAAGGTTTTAAAAAGCTCAACACGTGTCTGGTGTTGATATTAGGCATGGCCTGTGTGTGGTATATTACTTTACATATGATGTGTGTGTGTTTCAGGTCAGTTTGAAGTGGTGTCAGCTACAGTTAACCAATATCGTGCTGGAATGAGAGCTAACTACACGGTACAGAAGTGCAGCTTGTTGCAGCGTCAGGGTGAGATTATGCTCCACTCAAAAACCTACTACATCGCTGCCATGGAAGTGGACTGGAACTACTCTCCAAATCGTACCTGGGAGACTGAGATGTTTCGCGGACCGGACAGGTACAGAATCACCTACACATGTACAGTATAACCAAAGTAAATCACAAATAATGGGTACAGAATATCAACAGAAAATTGTCTGTAACATTTGCATTCAAAGATAGATGTGAATGGACACCATGCACTTCTCATATATACATTTGTGCAGTTCTTGTTATATTTTAACATTATTCTACACATCTGAGCCTGTCTCTCTCTCACGCTGCAGCCCTGCTCCTGCCTTCCTGGACCAGCAGGGTGGGTTTATAGGCTCCAGTTACAAGAAGGTGGTCTACCTCAGGTTCACCAATAAAAAGTTCACTCAGCAGATGGAAAGAGCAGCTGATATGGAACACCTCGGTATTTTGGGTAGGCTTTCAGTACATTAAAAATTCAAAAATTGTGATTATAAAAATACTTTCAAACATGCTGTATTTTCCAGCGTGATTTTTCTTGAAATAACAACACTTTTCCTTCTTCCAGGTCCAATGATTCATGCCGATGTGGGAGACAAAGTTACGGTGGTTTTTAAAAACATGGCGTCTAGGCCTTATTCCATCCACGCCCATGGAGTCAAGACAGAAACCCCAGATGTCCATCTCACCCAACCAGGTAGAGATGTAAAATATCAGCTTAGAAAGAAACTGAACATTTTCAATGCAAGTTTTTATTTATATATTCATTTCATTATTATTTTTGTTATACAACTAGAGCATGTAGCTACTGTATGGCATTTATTTCTAAAAATATCAAGACCGTTTTATTTGGCCTCAGTAATCTGTGTCTTTTCCTCATCCTAATTCTGGATTCTATAACTTGAAAACATGTAATTCCCAGGCGAGACTCACTCGTACTACTGGTACGTTACGAAGAATACAGGACCAACCCCAGAGCAGGAGCAGTGCACTGTGTCGGCATACTACTCCACTGCTGATGTTACCAAGGTAATCACACACACACACACACACACACACACACACACACACACACACACACACACACACACACACACACACACACACACACACACACACACACACACACACACACACACATTTACACACACATTTACACACATAAACACACTTATTTTGTCTCACTGCCTAACAGGACATGTACAGCGGTCTGATTGGTCCGTTGGTGATCTGTCGTCGTAGCTGGAGCAGGTGAGTGTCCCTGCAACTTAAAAAACAAAACATTTGAACTACCTAACCTAGGTCATTCTTATTCATTTCATTGAGTTCATATAATGCGCTTGTGTGATTTAGCGGGGAGTATGTTATAGTGCTAGTGTTCACTTTTATAAACAATGTTCCCTTCTCCAGGAGTTTTGGTGCGCGGAAGGAAGTGGAAGAGTTTGCGCTTCTTTTCCTGATTTTTGATGAGAATGAAAGCTGGTAAGTGAAGACTAACCTAAAACTAACCTAAAACTTTGTAGTCCTTTAGTAGCACACACATATAAATTCAAAACCAGATCCATATCATTCATTGTATCTAGCGACGCAAAGGCTGTTTTTGATTTAAATTCTGAGGTAGTGTGCCTGAAACCTATTTTGCCTCTTTAATGGCATGGAATGGAATTTCAATTGTGCTATAAAAATAAAAACCAAACACTTTAGTCTAGACACTATTTCACAGATAATCAAGATAGTCCACAGTCCAACTGTCAGCATTTAAAATGGGAGTATATCATCAGTAGAAATAGTTCAACACCTTTTGGGTTAAATTAAATTGCCCTTTATAAAACACATCTCTTTCAAATGTTTGGCAATTTATCGTTGCTGTTGTTATTCCAGGTATCTGGACGAAAATATCCGGACACACATCAGAAACCCTCGCCCAAACCTGAAGGATGATGAAACATTCATAGAGAGCAACAAGATGCATGGTGAGACAAATATGTGCACAAAAAAAATGGCATCATTTTGAAAGATTGGATATTTTTGTTTCATCATCTAATATAATGTGCATTGTAAGGGAAACTTCTGCAGCAATGGAGAGTCAGGACTCAGAGAGACACGAGGAGAGTTGGAGCTTTGATGTCAAACAATGATAGTTTATTACAAGTCAACGGCCGGAGAATTCATATCACAAGTCACAGCAGCAAAAGGTTCTGACTGCACGGGTGGGTTGTCATGTCAATTCTGCCCAGCCTATCTCTCGATAGACCTTTTAACTAGTTTACAGAGAGTTAATGAGCATATTGGGGAGACGTAAACATCTGGAGGAGACACAGGAGATGTCTCTCACATCTGTGGAGCTTAGAAAGCCAGCGTTCTCACAGTCGTAAACTCCCCTATCAGGCCATAAAACTGACCCTTAAGTGCTGGAGCACATTCCTTAAAGGAGATAACAGAATATTGGTTGGTTATTAACGTCAACAGGCAATAAGGTTAAATATCTAGGAGTAAAGACAGAATTATTCCCTCACATGCATAATGTATTCTCAATAAATGTTTGTTTCTGTTTTCTGTGTATACAGCCATTAATGGTTACATGTATGCAAATCTGAATGGTTTGAACATGGAGGTGGGTGATAAGGTGTACTGGTACCTGATGGGAATGGGCAACGATGTGGACATACACTCTGCCCACTGGCATGGACACAGTGTGGAATATAAGGTATGCAAAAAACACGAACATGCAATACACCTGCACAATCGCACATTTTACAAACTGGTAATCATAAATACCAACTCTTCTTTCTCCCCAGCTGGGTGGAGGCCCTCATCGTACTGATGTGTATGAGCTGTTTCCAGCCACCTTTCAGGTAAAACCACCAAAAAAGCCAGATTCAGCTGATTCAATTTGTCTTTTGAAACTTTAAAAGTGCTTCTTGTTTTATTTGAACACCAATAAGTTAGGTGTAACTTCAGTGATCGGTGTAACCCCAGCAATTTCGTTATTCATCAGCTGTTTTATAGATACATCTTTAATCCTTTTAACAACGTAGTTATTTCCTTAACATACATGTTCTTTATCGAAGTGTTAGTTTGCCAATCTTTTTTATCTTTGACTATCTTCTCCCTGTTCAGACAGTAAAGATGCGTCCTCAGTATCCAGGTACCTGGCTGCTCCACTGTCACGTCACTGACCATATTAAAGGTGGCATGGAGGCGATGTATACTGTTACCGAGAAAGGTAAGGGAACATTTGGGAAGCAAGACACATTTGCTCTGTGGAAAATAGTTATAACATCAGGATACTGTACAAAGAAAACATGTTGGTTTGTCTTCAACAGCAAAGAAGACAGGACTATTTGGCTGAACTTTTGAAAAAAAAGGATCAAGAAAGAAGACAGCAGGTCAAGCTAAAGTTTTATTCCAGAATCAAATTCAGTAATTTGGTCTTGTTCCATATTGCGTAAATGATTGTAATGTCCCGAAAATAACACCAAACCTGTAAAACTACAATAAAGAAAAAAATGTAAAAGTGTTATGACAGTAATGTGTGTCCTGTCACAACAGCAGTCAGGCAGCAGGGGGCACTAGAGCCTGACAGTACATTGCCTTGCCCTTTGAATTGTTTGAGGCAAAGAAGAAACTGTGACAGGTGGATTTTCTGTTTACAGTATCATCACTTTAATGGACTGAAATGTAGCAGTGGTAGCAGTCTGTGTTCTGCATGGCGTGATTGCTACAGTGTTGTAAATCAGCTCAGATGTTGCTGACCCATCTGTCTGTAGCTGCTTCATGCACTGTGATGGTCTGACTTTCTAGAAACATAGTAGCCTACACTTGGTGCACTGCATGAATGCAAGACTAACACTTGTTCTGCTCGTCGTGAACCATGTTCAGATTAAACCCAGGAAGCAATTTATTGCTGTGCTAAAGCAATAAAGTTGCATGTTGCCACAGACCTGGCAATTCCTATTTTCATCCAGATGATGTCACTGTGATCGAGGAAGTTTGAATCAACATACAACTCGAAATGCACTGATTTATGGGGCTTCAACATGCAAGGTCCACGAGTCCTGTCCTCAGATTACCCTAGACTTGGATTTTCAAATAAATCTGCAGTTTGCCACTTTCATTGTTCTATAGGAGATTGTGAGGATTAACTATCATCACCTAACACACACACATTAATAACAATTAGAAACACACACACACACACACACACACACACACACACACACACACACACACACACACACACACACACACACACACACACACACACACACACACACACACACACACACACACACACACACACAACACACAACACACCCACCACACACACACATCACACCACACACACACACACACACACACACACACACACACACACACGCTGACCGAGTGCAGATCAGTGTTATGTAAGCAGTCCTCCATTAGCTGACAAGGAAATGGAATTTAAAAGATTCAGACCATGAAATGTGGCCCATAATGCCAGTTCTGATCTAAACCTGTACTGAGTCTCAATGACGAGCTCTGTCATATCAAACTATGAAACTCTGCCTGACACTCTCACTCTCAACCATGGTGGCTTTACCAAAAGCCAACATAGTGTGTGTCTGTTTCTAGTTGTTGTTGAAGCAAACATATTATATATATATAAAGATAGAGGTGAGATTTGATGAAGCCAGGCTATCAACATGTGAGGCTAAGATATTCAAAATAGCCAGAAATCCAAAATGCTAAGATGTCAAATGAACAGATTAGTTATCCAAATTTGTCTTGAAGGGCTCACCAGAGGGAAGACCATGATGTTTCCCAAATACAATGTGTTCACCAATAAGGTGGCCATGTTTGACATTTCAGAATCAGCTTGTAAGAAACGTTTTAAAATGTGGCCCTTCCAATCTCAACTTAAAAAAAGTAATTCATAGGAGCTCACATTTTTGCAAAGCGTATGGAACAATCGAACGGAACAATCGATCGCCATCCTGGCTGGATCCACCATTTCTGTTTTGTGGCCTGGATGGCTTTCGTTGAGTATGAGAAGTGTCCTGCGTTCTACACTCAACTTTTTTAACACTGTGAGTGCACCATCTGGGTATAAAGTGCATGAATGGTGCTATACTTCACATTGGGACAATAAAGTCTGTGATTGGAACTCACTTACACACTCAAAACATCAAATGTAAGTACAAATGTAACATTCCGACAAAGTACAGCTCTCATGGCCTATACTACAAACTTGTTCACATCTTTAACACATTTTAACAAAAGATGAGAAAGAAGGTAGTCCGGCAATAACATCTTTATTGAATTTTAATATTTTATATAGGGTATCCATTTTCTAAAATAACCTATTAGTTCATACTTATCTTTTCAAGATGATATAACATATGTCATACTGGAGCTATTGAGAGATAAATGGGTCTCAATAAGATGTCCACTAGACAGAAGATGGCATTATATTAATAAAGATGAAAGGCTAAAGTTTCTAACTAGGAGTACAGACAAATATAGGAAAAAATACTTGTACCTATATTTTTGCTGGTTCGTCATCACCTCCCATGAGGACTTGTTATCTTCTTAAAGTTAATTTACAAGTGCTTGTCAAATGTGCATCTATTTTGGAGTGTGTAATTCCATTTCATGCAGGTGTCTTTTAAAGTGAGAAGCAGACCGCCCAGTATCAGGCTCTAAAAAAGTGCCCTGTTAAAGAGCTGCTGATACAAATGCTTGTTCTGGCTCTGCCTGGACAGAGGGCCTATTAGGTCTGATCGCCTGTGACATCAGCATGTTGGAAGCAGATGGCTTGTGGTGCCTGCAGTCGTATCTCTCTCCCACACCAGGCTCTCTGGGCACATTCGACATAAGCTTAATTAATGATGTGATAGCTGCAGAGGTGTTAAAAAGAGCATGGAGACAGGCGTGAATTCCAAGAGCTAAACTGGCTGGTAATACGATGTGAAGGGATTTCTTACCACTTGCTTTCCCACATGCTCTCCCTTTCTCTTCCTGTCTCTCACACTTACTCAGATCGACCCAGTTGGAGCTCTACAGCATGCTGTGTGTAAGAAACAAGTTGCAGATCTAAGAACTAAACAAAGCAGATGTTTTCTGAAGGCGGTGCTTTCTGTGAGATCTCACTCTACTAGCAGCCTGTGTTTCTTAAATATATAGAGCTAGTCATACATGTGTCAAATATGCAAGTCAATTTGGATAAATAAAGATAAGCTTTTCGATCTCAGTTTTGTGTTACCTACTTGTTTGGCAGTAATCAGTAATAACAATGGTAATTAAGTATGTATGTAAAAGAATCAACAAATATTTGATTCAGCTTCAAAACCAAGTTAGACAACCACAGTCATGATGACGGTGAGGAGGGTGATCATTCACTTCCAAACAGACTTCTAGCTACAAAAAATATATACATTTTAACCACAGAAAAAAGTCTTGTTACCCCTACCACGCTGGAAAAAAACATACTTAACCCTTGTATGGTGTTCGGGTCTCTGGGACCCGTTTTCATTATTTAGCTAAAGAAAAATGATATGATAAATCATTTTATCAAACCCACACTCAATTTCCTTGGCTCATTTTCTGTGAAGAACATATATCAGAACACATTTTCAATGACCACCCACTGTACACCCCCCCTACACATTTATATTACGTACAGGATGTTCGGCCCGAGGCTAACAAAAGTGTGAAAATTGTAGGTCCTGTGCACCTGTCTGGGCCTTCTTTTTGTGTGTGTGTGTGTGTGTGTGTGTGTGTGTGTGTGTGTGTGTGTGTGTGTGTGTGTGTGTGTTAATGTGTGTGTGTGTGTGTGTGTATCACGGGTGTGTATGTGTGAGACTTTTGTGTTTCTGCCCCTGCCATTCCCGCACAAGGTTGCAACATTGTTGATAAATTCAAGCCCCGACACCTGTCTGCTCTCACATTCCTGCATTATGTTTTGCGGGTACCAATCTTTATTTTTTTCACATTCTTCGCCAGTTTGGGTCCTTATCACAACTGATCTAGATGGCCAAACGATTCTTTGCTCAGAGGGCCTTGCAAATGATTTTGGAAGAGAGAGAACCATTCGATGATGATGTAGAGGAAGAGGAAGATGTTTCAGAATGTGAGGATCACATTTCTCAGAATTCTGAGTCTGACAGTTACTTTGAAGAAGAGGATGAGATTGAGCATCAGCTAGTTACAAAAAAAAGACGAGCCACAGGACCAGCCGGTCAGCGGGCAAAAAACCAGTAGCACTTTAAATCATTAATGTGATCTAACAAAAGAGAAAAAAAGAGAAAATATTAACCATATATGCTGTTTATATTGCTTGTGAGATGAAGTAAACATCTGTTGAGTATTAAAAAGTACATAAAATTGTTTGATTGTGTTGAATTGAAGCCCAAAAAGGCAGCGGGTCCACCAGACACACGAACACTGGCTGAATAACAAAAATATGAACACCACACAAGGGTTAAGCACTTGTTTCTATGGAAACAGAGAAGGTCAGGTGTCAGGGGACAGCATGTGTGATCTCCATGAACCTCACGGTATGTATTTACATCGAAACACACCAAATGAATTCCTTGCTATACCATGTAGAGAAAAACAAAACAAACCTGTCAGCTTAATAAAACATGAAATTAGGCCATAACATCAGCATATATTTTGTAAAAAAATTAATTGCTATATAAATGATTTTCCCAGGTGGCAGTTCTCCAATGCTGGAAGCATACTGTAGCATGTTGGGACATCCTGCACAATTGGAGGTCACAGAGTTATATCATTGTTTTTATGGGTAATCCTACTCATTGTGCCTTTTAAAGGTTATTATGAGTTGGCCTCTCTGAAGAACCAGCACCTTACCGTGGTAGAGAGGTTTGTGTGCCCTGATGAACCTGGGGGCTGTGTTGTCTGGAACCTTGTGTTCCTGGTAGGGTCTCCCATGGCAAATTGGTCTCAGGCAAGGGGCCAGACTAAGATTGGTTCAAAAGACCTCATGAAAGAAAAACTAAGAAGTGAGGATACCCGGCCCGGAGGAAGCCCGGGGTCCCCTTCTGGAGCCAGGCCCAGAAGGAGGACTCGTCGGCGAGCGTCTGGTGGCCGGGCTTGCCACGGAGCCCGGCCGGGCCCAGCCCGAAAAGGCAACGTGGGCAACACCTCCGCTTCTCCGTCCCGCGGGCCCACCACCTACGGGAAACATCGATGGGGTCGGGTGCGCTGCCAGAAGGGTGGCAGTGAAAGCGGAGGGTCTCGACGGACCAGACCCGGGCGACAGAAGCTGGCTTTGGGGACGTGGAATGTCACCTCTCTGGGGGGGAAGGAGCCGGAGCTTGTGCGGGAGGTGGAGCGTTACCAGTTGGATCTGGTTGGGCTCACCTCTACGCACAGCGTCGGCTCTGGAACCTTACTTCTGGATAGGGGTTGGACTCTATTCTTCTCCGGAGTTGCTCAAGGTGTGAGGCGCCGGGCGGGTGTGGGGATACTCACAAGTCCCCGGTTAGGTGCTTCGTTGTTGGAGTTTACCCCAGTG